AAAATTTAATTAAATTGATCTCCACCGTGAAAATTCAAAGTCAACCGCGAGTATTCAGACCATTAGTTACTATAAAAACGAAACCTACAAAAGAAAATAATTAAAAACACTATGTGGGAGGGATGGTGTGTCGATGGGGGGAGGGGTTTAAAGTGAAAGTGCTATATATTTATACAAATGCATTCTTTACCTCTAGTATAAAATAACTTGATCGCACAGTTAATTTTGCACTTATTATTATTCAATACTTTGGTAAGCAAAAACAAGTTGTACAACATTGACTGTCATTACTAAAAGCTGCATCAAAAAATAATACCTCATTTTTCCAAAGACGCCGCCTTACCCACTCGACCACTCTTTTCGTTAATATTATATTAAGTATTTAACTATTATGTGAACATTTTTAAATACCTGTTGACGGTTAATTCACTCACACATAGCAGCCTGGAAAATTTACAACGGTCGAAGTGTAATTTTCCCCTTTTTTTTTGTTTTTCCTAAATTTAAAATTGTTTGACTACACATCAAGAAAAAATATTTCACCCCTTGTAGGGAAAAAGGGTCTATGGTATTTTCTAGGTTTGTCCACATAATTTACCGATACTACTTTATCTAAAGAATATTTCATACAAATTTTGAACTAGTTCGACTATTTTTAAAAAATTATAGAAGAAAGAAGTTAACTTTTTAAATTGTTGGCCAAATAAAGTACTTTTCAGGTGCGATTTCTTATCTATAGACTTGTTACATAAAGAAATTGGTTTAGCTGATTAGAAAATATTGTAGGTCCAAACTAAAAATTAATAAAAACGCAAAATATAAAAATAACACTTCCTCGGCGACACATCGAAGCTAAAAATCGAGTGATATTTATTGCTAATGAGACTTCAATAAAGCATAATAAACATATATATTTTTGACCACATTACTTCTTCAATATTAAACAAAAATATAAAATGGTTGTTGATGCTAAAATATAATTTTAGCATCAACCCATCATCCCCATCCTTATAACAAATATTCGATTGAGTACATTTACAATATGCCCTTATTTGATGGGATCTATGTTCGTTTTATGTCTTTTGTTCGTAGATTCGCATTTTCATATCCTAACACACAAAACAGAAAAGGATTTCGGCGCGTTGCGGTATACTGACAGGTGTACGTCCATTATTTTATTTTTTATTCTATTACGATGTACGTACAATTCTTACAGAGCTTATCCCTTTGACAAAACTATGTATGTCCAATTTAAAAGCGTTTTGCATATCCCCATTGTTTTATTGTTTTTTTTTAGTAACGAGGTTTCCCGGGTTTTCCCGTTTCCGAGAAAAAAAAGGGTTGAATTTTTACACTATTACCCCTAAGGTTTCTGTATGGATACTACTTCTGATGTATCTATTGGTGTGCTACTCAAGTATATCAGTCCAGATGTTATTGTGATTCATGTAGACAAACACAAACAAATAGCACATCATTGTAAAATCAATACTTACTCAGTATCTCATTAAAGCTAAAATAATAAATGCATAATCCGAAAGAAGTTATCATTTGTTTTTTTGCTTTAAGCCAATTTCGTGCCCATTCAATATTTCTAGAAAATGTTTACTCTAGTCTATCTTCCTAGTAAACATTAAAAAAATAATATTTATTAACCTGAATAAACAATGGAAGAATACATATACACCAAAAAGTTATGGATTACGATAAAAAATAAATAAATATTGACTTGATCCAGTCTTTAATTCGTTTTTCTTTATGCTTCATTTATTTTAGCTTACCGTTTTATTAGCTTTTAATTATTTTATCTTTAATTAAAAATCAAAACTGTATTAGTGTTTACCCTAATGCGTGTATCTTCTTGTTGTAAGCATAAGTGATTCCTAATTAAAGTATAATATGGTGTAGGCCAAAGCAAACTCCTTAAGTAGAAATAGTATGGTTTCCTTTTTTATTTATCACTTTAAATCGTTTTCGTTCCTGACAAAAACAATTGTCATTAAAATCTACACATTGCAGAAACGATTTTCTTTGGCATGATATATTTTGTAAAGCATAGTAGCAAGATCAACGTGCTTACCGCAACTCGGGGTATGAATAATTTGTGTTGGTGTACTTGCCAAACGTTAATGGAATAGTTTTATACGAAATGGTTACATCCGATTTAAATGAGAAATAATAATTTATTATAACCACGTAAAAGCGTATTTTATGATTCACCGGGGTTTTCGATTTACATATAAAATTTAAATGTTTACAACAGCATAATTCATTCGAAAAATGGATGGAAGTATCTATAAAACCGATCTCGTGGAATATTGATTAACCTGACGGCTCGGGAAATACTAAAGTCGCTCGTATGACATTTATCTGGAAAACTTAATGTTTTCTTAAATCAACAAACTCAGAAATTCTATGTGGACCAGCGAGTATACATAGGTCATAGATGAATTCCGTTAGAGTGTATTTGAACGTTTTCGCTAAGAATAGGACCTCTAAAGTACAAACCAGTGCCTACGCACAGCTATGTTAAGTTAGTTTTTCCGAATTTCCCCCCCCTCAAGTTTCACATATATTTGGCAGTTTGTCTGTTTGAATAAAAGTCAATTTGTAGGAACTCAATAGTGCGAAATTGTTTTGTTTACCTATGAACTACAAAAGTAGATTTCAACCAGATTTATTTTTATGGCAATGTTTTTATTTCATTTCGTTTTTGTTATTTTACTGCAGTACGCCCACTATTTCCCGAAACGACAAAATAATTCAAAGGTGGTTATATACGACATGAATTATCCATGTAATCACCATTAAGCGTCGAGTTAAAATGTATAACCATATCTTACATATTTACTCATTGTATTACAAATAAAACATTTACATAACTTGTTGACAATTTGATATATAAAACTGTATTATCGTGAGTTATTTGTTTAAAAACAAAGTGGGACTAAATAGTATTAAAGAATAAGCGTATACAACTATATGCGGTAAAAGTTTCAAATTACAATATGAAAACAAATAACATTATCATTAAAACTAAAAACATAAAAGAAACTAAAAATTGTTTGCTGTTAAAAAAATATAGTCTGTATTATAGGTATCGTTAGCGTAACATTACATTATTATCAAATTGTCAGTTTATAAAATTAATTTTATGATTATCGGAATTCAGGAAACAAATTTCTAGGTTAGAGTGTTCTCTAACGAACAAAATATAGTGCTCCATTGTTTTTGTACATTGAAAAAAATGTTCAGTAACTTTACAAGTCCATAACAAAATTATTCAAATAGTTGTACAACGTCCAAAAGTACAAAAAGAACCGAAAATATAAAATCATTATTATACAACGTATACTTATAATTTTTTCTTAAATGATATATACAGGCTTATATTTATCTATGTTAGCTGTATATATAATTTCAACATCAAAGTTATCGCACATATTACTGTCGAATACCATTAGCCTCGACTTATGTGTTACCACCAATTATATACACACCAGTTTATGTTTTTTGAACCACCCGGAGTTTATGATAAGTAAAAAAATATATTTTTTCATCCTTATAGGTCATTGTTCCGGAGTTAATGCCAAAGGACATTCATCAAAGTCATACTTACGCTCAGCATGTTCTCTTGCAAATGTCCTCCGGCTAATCCTCGACTCAACCGGGTTGCCCATGCGGAATCTTTAACAATAAATTATTTTTCAGTTAACTAACAAATAACATTATATTATATTTTTATTTAAAACACACTGTTAATATTTTATTTACCAAATAGCGTATCTGGTTGTTTTAATATGGAAGCCCAATATTGCAACACAATATAACTTAGAAAATCCAATCAAAAACTGTGTGATCTATGTGCGATATAATTTTAGTTTGTTTTGGTAAAGTTAAGTTATATTAAACTATATGGTGAGATCAACAGTAATATATAAAATATTATAGTGTACGTTGGACATGAAATTACCGTTACTCGATATCAATAAAAGTATAAGTTTAAAAAATATGTGAAGTTACTAAATTATGCAATATTGTTAAAGACGTATATTTATAACGGGAAAATATTTAAATAATGATGTGCGTTAGTTTAATACAAATGTTGTATAACCATAAAGTTTTACAACAATAGTATATTTTATAGGGTGTATAATTTGATATTCAGAATAGCCTCCTTGTGCGAAAGGGTCGCCATTGAAAAGGGTTTACTGTGCACAGAGAGTGGAGACCTATCGATATATCATCCAGTGTCACAAAATACACCAGAATAGGGTCTCTCTTAATACCCGATTACTATATCATTCCAACAATTCAAAATTATTATTACTATATCGTTAAATATTTTCAAAATGTATACAATCGATCGTTCGAATACTGTTCTCATATAGGTGTCTAACATACGTTATTACAGACTAATTCAAATATATATTAATCTATTCAATTTATCTGACCTAAATCATTGCAATGCTAAAATATACTCTTAGACATACTATGTACATAAACTAATCATCCGAATTCACTAAGATTAAAAAAGTTACATGGGTAGTATTCAACAACACAATTATTACTAAAAAAAAAAAATCTTTTGAATATGTAAATTTTTTTGTAGCTACATAAATAATACATTTTTATTTAGACATCTGTTTTTTTGTATTGCTTTTTTCAAGATTTAAAAATAGTACCATATTTTGATTGGTTTTTGTAAATCCGGGTTTTTAAAATCATACTTCTACTAAATATATCTTACAACAATATCGTTTGATTATTAATTATTAATCAATTAGGTGGAATTACAATCGATTTTTGGCGATTTATTATGTTTAAGGCAATATAAATGTCCATTGTAAATCACCACATAATTATTTAAAATGTATGCATTTTGTTAGATGAATATATAAAACCGCTTATCTAAACGTGAAATAATATCTATTTAATTATTTATTTTCATCATATCAATTATAGTGTTTCATTATTTGTATACTTGTATATTGTTGCAGTGACACTTGGGCTAAAAATGATTGACGTGTTAGTTCCGAGATTTGCGGATTTGAGACAATCAGTTGTGCTTGGTTGCAGCTTTGAAGTAGGACACGGAAAACTTTATTCTGTAAAATGGTACAAAGACGACAATGAGTTCTACAGATTCATTCCAGAAGATCTACCTGCTGTGCAAGTATTCAAGCAACCTGGTATTACGCTTGACGTTAGTATTATATTATTTTATAATTTTAGCTATAAATCAACTTTTTTACTTCTTCTCCCAGCTTAATTGCTATTACAAGTGCTTTCCGTCTCTTTTTATCATAGATCACTAGTAAAAATTCAAGCGGTACAATCATACAGTCTTTCAATGTCTTAATTCGTGTTAGCCAATGACCAAGTTTCACCTTATGTCTTTGACTTAGCGACGACAACTATGACCTCCAAAGTGTATGATACTGAAGTAGCACCCGTCTCCACTTGTAATGTATTGATATATCTCGCTTCTTGCTGTTAAAATTGACACATACTCGTATGTGTTTAAATACTATTTTTAAATGTATAGCTCCCATATATAAAACCAACGTCAAAGTGCTCCTTAACACGATCCTACAATCTGAAGGAAAAATCTCAAAGTAGCTATAAATGTACATATTTTACTTCCAAAATACTAAGTTCTTTTAATTTAATTTGCTTAAGTCGTGTATTTTATGAATATGAGATTTTCTGAGGTACAGCGAAACAGTAAATTCATTGTATCGCATTGAAGTTTAGTTTTGAGTTGGCTCGTTTGTTTTACTTAAAGGGGAAGCCACGTGGAAATTTCATTTGTACCAAACTGCTAATATCATACAAGTTCTCTTTACGAAATTAATTTTGTATACACAATACAAACTGCATAAGTTCGCTTTGCTTTCAACTCGAGGGTAACGGAATGAGCTATTTAATACGAGGAAAAATATAGAAAATATTTTATATAAATTGATCTAGAATCCATTTTTAAGTAAGCCTTTTAGTTTAAGGGGAAATGAACATTAAATTTGTCTACTTTTAAAGTTATTTTTCTCCGACTTATGGTAACAGTTTAATAAACAAATTACTTGTAAATTGATTGTTAGTATAGGGTTTGTTTTAAATTATTACATAGTTTACAGTTACACCTGTATTTACATTTTGGCTGTACCAAATTTTTGGAAATTATTCTTCTCAATCTTCAGGGCTGGGTTACGTGCTGGTTACGTGTTGGTCGCTCCGCTGCTGCTTGTGAGTTGTGAAGTGGTCGTCATCGCAGTCACAGTTTATAATATATGCCGTAGCCAGTACCGTGTTATACCCCACTATTCTTTTCTTTCTGCCACCTTTTTGGTTTGTCGTAAGAAAAAAATACTTTCGTAGAAGTCACTTATGAGTATAGTAATATATAATGGACGGATTTCCATTTTTTTTTTTTATTTAAAGCGTACTACTTTCTCTTTGAGAGCTAAATGGTCGATTTTGAATTTATTTATTAGAAAGCTAGAAGGATTTAAAAAATATATACATATATTTTAAATAAAAACCCCTATAATAAGGTTTTAAAAACAAAAATCGGACTTTTAGCCCCCACAGAGAATGCGTTAAACTTAACCAAAACTAAACTATCTGCGAACATCATGCACCATGGTACCTCTTTCTGTATTCTCTCCTCCTGTTCTTCTACCATAGCTTAAATTGTGTTTTCTTATTCTTTATAACACTCTGAATTTCCTCATCCCACAACACAACTACATATCCTTGTTTTCTGGTATATTACTTCTTCTCTCACCAACAATCCATCATCTTAATTTTCTTTGCAGCACTCTCAACATAAGCGGCCTTCCTTTTTCACACCTTGTTTATAGTTCCCTTAACATTTCACACGACCCTTTCTTTCACATTCTTTATAAACACTTTTTCTTTGTTCCCTTATTAATTTCCACCATTGAATTATTTCCTCCTTTATTCTTTTTATTTTTGTATACTCTCTTTTCACTACACCTGAACTTCACTCCACGACTTTTATTAACTTATATTATGCTCTTATAATTCTTAATCTGCTTTACACTTTCTCTCTTCCACATGAATTAATATATTTGTTTTCCCTCTTAAACGCTATATAATGCTCTCCTCTATTCCTAAAATACGTTTTGATGGGGCAAGGTCTTATCTCTGCCTTATCTCTTTCATCACATCCACTTGTGAAACATACACACTTTCTACGTTCAGTACTTTTTTCTCTAAAATTAATTTCATCAGGATTAATTCTAATCCTTTTTCTTAAAAAGTCTACTTCTATACTTATCTATCTATCCACTTATCTTTATCCACTATACTCCACACCATTCCTTGTATTAGTTCTACCTAAGTATTATTTTATAACTCCTTTTTGTTTTCCTTTCTACTTAATTTTCTGAACATAACAAATCTTGACATTCCTCCTCTTTAACGCTTCTACTATACTCTACGTCTATTGGTTATTGTTCCACGTGCCTATTCTTAATTTATACCTATTTCTCGTACCTAGACACAGGTTGTGAATATCTCTACACCATTGACTACAAGCGTTGGGAAGTTGACAAATGAAACAGCTACAGCACTGACTGTCCGGCTGGTATCACACTATTCATAGTCCTACATCGTCCATCCCTATCTACGTCATTTCCTTTCACCTATTATCCCCGCGGCCGTGCACAACCGTCTTTTTTCTAGGACTCCTCATATTGTTTGGCTGTTTAAAATTTTACACCGGCTGTCAAATTGACGCGATCTCATTAATTGTCGCCTGTTACAACAGGCATAGTACCGTGGGTGTATTCTGATCCCCTTTACATTGAAATTAATTGAATAACGGTTTTTTTCGCATATGACTTTTTAAATCCGGGAGTAGGCCCTAAGGCCTAGTTCGGACGCCTGATTGGCAGAATGGACATATTAATACTGAATACAAATTAGTGGTGTCAATTACTGTCAAACGCTCTGGTGCGATTGAATTAGGTTAATAAGTTACTAGCTTTCCATACATTTTAGATCAATGCGTGTCTTCTTGAAACTAATTGCATGCCTACCAAATCACTTTGTTATTTAAACTTTAAAATGTAAATATTTGTTTAAACAAAATTGTTCAAATTCATATAATTCTGTGTTAAAAAAATATATAATACTCTAAAATCAACTTATTATAATGGTTATAGAAGTTCTGTATACCTATCCTTATCTACATAATAAATTTCTTGGGTTTATTTATTAATTGCTCGATTCATTGCATCTATCGGATTTGTCAAATGCATAAATTCTTGCACATTTTAAGCTAAAACCACATTCCTAGTGATAACTAGCATTCAGTAATTACAGTCATTACTTTTTATTTCAAGCGTTCAAACCATTTTAAGTCAAACTACGATGTGTGTGAGGAACATCTATTCTCGTTAATCTCTTAGCACATTTCGTTAGGCTTACGATTTCCTTAAAAATTACAAAAAAAACAAGCTTTAATTTTTTCACAGGCTGTAAGTAATTCTTATTTATTTGATACGAACACATTTATGTAAATAGTAAGTATTACCATTTTGGTGGTAGAAGTTATTGATGCTGCGTTGTTACCAAAACGCCAAACAGCATAAAAAATGATTCAATTAAATACATACATTTTAATACATAAATATAAGGAAAGCAGTTAAGCTCCCAAAAGGCGTTTAATGATGTGTATGGAAAATGTATACAAATTTATTTTGTTATTAACATGTAACACTGCAATTTATATAGTTTTAAGTCCACCTATATAAATCTGTTCACGTAACAACTTTAACGAAATCCCTGAGATTAGCTCAACTCTAAAATGTTGTCTTAAGTACTTTATGAATCAGCTTATAATACGAAACTGACTTATAATTAGTAGTCTCCCTGTATGATGTAAAAAGGACGCATATATTATACCTTAGTTAAAGAATTTCTGTACAGGTAATTTTTTCACTAAACATGAATTTTACCTAAAGCTAAAACTATAATGTGTATTTATTAATTAGTATGGTATTGAGGATTTCATATTAATAGCTCATTTTTAAACTAGTTATTCATAGATACTATTATTCTAAAGTTTAAAATCTAAGTTATTCGGTTTATCAAATATCTGTCATCTGCTGAGATATGAGTAATTTTCCTAAGAAAAATATTTGTCATTACTACTTTTCTTTGTTCTTTCAATCGGTGTAGAATGACTATATTATTATCTAGTTACCAATAAACTAAGATATTTTTTAGCCAGAAATATAAAACATGCATTATATAAAATATAATTTTTGTTATAACCTGTAAACTATAATATAAGTGCATATTGACATTAACCTACACTTGTTCATAATAACCAGAACTATTCTATTAAAAACGATTTTTAATGATTTTATTTTTTTTAGCTTTCTCGGTGCAACATGCGAAGAGTGACTCTTGGTAATCTCACGTTCCAAACAAGTGGGATTTACAGATGTGAAGTCTCAACGGATGCACCTAAATTTGAAATGGTATTTAAGTCTGCAAACATGACCGTTATAGGTATGTTGTCAATAATCAATTCATAATATATTTTATGTATAGCAATAAGCAAATAATGAAGAAAAAGTTAAGCATATATCGTATGAAAAGTTCGATCAAATTCTATCAAGACTTGACTTCGTAACGTTGAGCTTATTTTAGAGATTTCCTTTTGCTGTATTTTAAAATAGCTTTAAAAGCTTCTAAAGGCATTAAGTGTAGAAATGATTAATGATAAGTGATAACTATGTATTGACAGCATATCCGGAAGGGAACCCGTTAATAGAAGGTGTACGCAGCAGGTACGCAGTCGGTGATATCGTGTCAGGAAACTGTACTTCCTTCAAATCCTACCCGCAACCATCATTAACATGGTACATCAATGGTGTTCAGGTGAGTATTCAGACTATCAGTTAGGAATTTATAATACTATTATCACTCAACAGGTAAATTTAAATTAATGACTATCTAAGTAAATTACTGTCGGCTATTCCAAAAATAAAATTTACTTCGTACTTACATTTAAATAGTGGTAATAAATAAATATAGGTGTATTGTAGCAATATACCTAACCTAACTCAAAAATGTACAGAACATTATCCTTGAAAATCTTTTTTACAACATTTTCCATCGTGTATATTTTGAAAGAGGTGTCTGCAAGTCGTGTAGAGTAGAGACTAAAAACTAGGGTGGCCAATCCTAAATAACCTAAATTTAAATACACAACAAAAATAATCTATACATTGTTGAATTGTTGCAATTGTCAACAGCGCTGTCGATTTATAATATAATATATTATCCACATAATAATACACGACCCATTTGCTTTTGACGAAGTAACCAGTGCATACACCACTTAAAAAAGTATTTTTTCCTATTTTACATGACATTTGTTTGTATTTATTTTTAATGACTTCCTTTTACGTAAATCCAACATTAAAAAAGCCATTTCAAGTGCCAAGAGAAATAAATATAATTTGAATTATAACTTTGCTAACCATAATAGCATAAATACACTTGCATACACAGTGATTATTATAACATTCGGTCGTTAAAAAAACTCAAATGTTGGATTTTATAAATTAATTGCATCGCAAGTCTAGATTGTACTCAATTTCAATTATTGCACATGTAAAATATATTTTTAATTACAAATCTAGTTCTTAATAATCAAATTAAAAAACAAATTTAAAGGGTAATATTTCCAGGATAACGAGTAAAAGTCCATTATGTAAACTTGGTAAAAGTTAAATTTGGCTCTATGATTTTGGGTTCATTACACTGCGCTACTGAAGAATGAAGATGATTACAAAGCAAAACTCTCTATTCGTTCGCTTTAATATTGTTACTATTTACACATTTTTTTATCACACCCCGGTTTAGACACAACCATAATCGATCCTATGTTATAACTAAGAAATTATTTGATTAGGTATATACTATCGGCAGACCGCCGACGTATGCTTAATGGCATGTAGGTACAATGTACATACTGCATATTTTATATTCTCTATTTTCTAATAAATATTTGTTTTTATTCGTATAGGCAAGCGACCGTCAAGTGGAAATCTATCCGGTGCTGGTCAATCCCGAAGGACCTCTTTATTCAAAAGCTGTAGGCATTCGATTTAAGGTACGCACTCATGTATGTAAAGTATTAATGGATTTTGATTCTTTTCAATTTATTGTACACCTCAGAAAATTCTCTTCTTGTAGTAAAAACGAACGGGAATTGTGATAGAGTACTCGTTTCTTTAAACACAATAAATATTGATGTGGTCGATGAAGAATCCAATACAATGTACATACCAATTTTTAGCATACCTTAGCTACAATTTATATTATCATTAGGATTTAAGGTTTTCAGAGAAAACATACTACATTTTTAATCAAAGTTTTGATAAATATTTTGACTATGATAATACAGTAAATGACCCAGCTATACTAAACCTACCAAACAAAGCCACGAAAATACTTAATTTGCATTCGTCACAGGTTTAGTAACAAACATTGAAAAACTGATCATTGCACGATTAATTTATTTTTAGCTTCGTGACCAAGTTAGTAAATTGTAATGTAATATTATCTGACAGAATTTGTCACATGAGGTGTCAGTAGATTGGGAAAGTTGTGTAGATGTGGAAAGTCTTTTATGAAAATGGAAAGAACCCACCTCTACGACGACTTAAATCCAGGAAAAACTTCCTTATCGCGTTCCAATTGGATCCAGTTGGATCGCGATCCAACTAATAAAGAATTTACCAGGAAAAGAAAGAACCAACAGGTGGAAAGAAGAAAACAAAACACCACGAGGGAAATAAAAAAAAAGCTGCCTAAAGGAAAGGACTGGAAGTGGGGGGGAATGGAAGGCATTAAATCACTAAGAACAGGAGTCGGACGATGCAAAACCACACTCAAGAAATAGAACATAATAGGAGAAAAATGTAAGAAAGCTTATAGAAAGCGTGGTTGTATTATGGTTAAGATTTGCTAAGAAACCAATTCGTAGATGTCCAATGAAAGTGGTCTCGCTTACAGCGAGTGAATTGAGAACAAATGACTGCTATTAAAGCATCGATGATCTGGATTGCTAATCGGAAGACAGGTGATCGAGATAAAGCGAATGCTGTTGTGTAATGAGTAATGAAAAAAAATTGTTTTGAACCGCTGTGCTGCCACACGTCGCACAAACAGGTGTTTGGCTCAAGACTGAACTGTTGCGCGACATAGTTGCAATTCAATAGCAAATACATATCACGTTTTATGTTTTAAAAGATGTATGTAAAGCGTAAGTCAATATCCAATACTTAAATCATAGTCTTGAACCGCACAAGTAGAAAAGGTATGATATTAAATCCAATAATACTACGGGTTGAAACAAATAGCATCCGGCAAAATATTGAAATTAATGAGGAGAACTAAGAAGTCTGAATTATTACGTCCTCTATACAATTAAAATATACGACATTCGTGACTCGTGTGATTTAGCCCGCTTGGATCAACTTGTACATTCATGAAAGTATTTTTTGTATTTATGCATTGCAATTTGTATACCTGATATATATTTGAATATTTGATTGATTAATTAATTGGAACAAACAATATATATATTGTTACATAAGTAAATGATTTATATTTTATAGGTATATGGCAAAAAAGAAGATTATACAAATTATATATATTTGTTTATTTATACAATCGTGAAAAACGTTATTAAACTTTGCAGGTAGAGAAAGATCATTTCCAAGGTCTTAATGTAGAACTAGATCTGACTTGTGAAGCCAGTCTTGTACAAGAACAACTAAAATGGCGAAAAATGATTGTAATACAACCGTTAACACAAACGTACACGGATAATATGCTGCAAGAAGAATACAGAAACACCGGAAATACATTAACACTGAGTTAGAAACATTAAATTGTTTTTTAATTCTTAATTTTTTAACTTTTAATACTAATAATGTAATCATTTACATGTTTTTTAACAGGAAAACAATTATCAATTCTAACGGGATTGTTGATTACATCATATTTGACGGTTTGCAAAACGTGACAGCAACATATCTTTTGTAAATATTGTGTTTTTTTGTAAAATAAAAGGTTTTTTTTATATATTTATTTGCATTTTGTTGAATTTTAACTTTTTTTTTAGAATTGTAAGTTATCACAATGTGTTTTTTACTAGTTTCTCGTAATTAGGTCCGTTATATAAAACAGCATACTCACAATTAATAAAGTGAATTCACAATTAGAATAACATTTGCGTTTCTGCATTTCTTCAACATATCATGATAAAAAGAATATTTTCACGTTAGTTTACTTTTTAATTTTTTATATTGGTTGAAAACAGTTGAAGACTAATAGTTAAATAACGGCAATTTAGAGCAAATAATGTAAAATACAATTCATTAAAAATATTTTTACGACTTGGAGTGGTGTGATATTATTATTAAGTCCATAAGTAAGTACAGTGTACGCGCTATATATATATTCTATAGGTTATAAATAGTAAATACGCGTTTAGCACAGCATACTTAAGGTATCAAATAAATAAACATTGTTTTTACTTTATCTTTTTATTTTTCCTTGCCCATAAATTAAGTAATTTTTCATCAAACTTTACGAATTCACTATTCTATTGTCACAGTTTGACAATCGATAATTCATTTGGTAAACTGGTATTATTAGCACAATACGTGCGTGTAACAGAAACACATTTTACACAAAGCTCACTGATAATTTTAGAAATTATAGTGTTTAATATATAAGGTAAATTATCGATACCTACCATAATAGCATATTAACATATTAACATATAAGCATACTAACATATTACTATTATTTTTTTATTTTAATGCATTAGGTATTACATTTTAATCCACTCTTATATATTATGTCCATCGAGTATAATGAAATATGCAAATGTATTTATCGGGGTATAAAACTTTCCAAAAGTTTAATTTTAACAGTTTTTATAACTTTTAAAATGAAAGTTTCAATTATAAAACCAAATTGAATACTATATAGGTAGATAGGTTTAGTTAATATACCTATACAAATACCTTCTGACTTCTCGAAAGTGGCGACTTACTCTTGTATATATTTTGAGGGGTGTTCAGGCAATGTTAAATTCATCAACGACATTTATTCCTCTACAGTTATACAAGAAATACATGCAAACTGGGGGTGATTTTAATTTGAACCGCACTACCTAATTATGTCCACTATCTCACCACTCCAGATGCCAAAGTCGTTTGGACAATATTGAGATGAAATCAACTCCGATCCCAACCGACAATATCCAATAATACCCGTCTTACCATATTTATGTCAAGCATACCTACCTATACACACCGCTGCCTTATAAATATATATATCACACTGTATAAGCGAAATATACTCTAATTTTGTCCTCCTCGTCATCGACAGACGACAAGATTCGTTATGTCAACGCAAAAGACGTTCGACGTTCATTAAGATACGGACAAAGGCAAAACAAAGAAGAAAGCTGTGAAAATTCAAACAACAACAACGATAAATCAACAGACGAATACAAACGGTCCTGAGCCATTTTAACAACATTCTTCAGGATTCTGTTTATTGCGCAATTACATTTATTCAGTAGACAATCATCTTTTAAGACAAACTTTTCTCATTTGTATAATGTGCGCAAGCAGTTAAAATTATTTCTCATCGTCGAGAAAACGGAAAAGAAACCTCTTACCGTTTACCAACACGCTTCTCGTGCGGTTCGGTCTATTTCATCACTTCGATAAAACACGGATTCCAAATGTTTAGACCCCTTGTCAGGTCAACAACGAGTTCCTTACATGATTATTCGATTTCAACTCGGTCAGTGAATTGTTCTAAATATATTAAAGACTATATGCATTTAAACGACAGACTATGTGGTTCGGGTGAAAAAAAATCAAATAATTAACGCCAAAATTAAACTATAAGTTATAACACGGTACAGTAGATTGTATTATTAAAATATATTTTGAACTGACCATACCACTTGAAACACTTGAAACAAGTACATATTATATAGATAGTTTCAACCACGATTATAATTTATAGATGAACCATAAACGCGGTTTCGACAAATTCATAACGTTATAAAATAATAATAGCAACAAGCAGATAAACTACGGTGACCCATATTTCGTGAATAAAATAATAATATATTACCTAATGACGTTATGAAATAATGGGATGGCAAATTATAAATAAACGATAATTATAAAAACAATCCAACAACAATTTTATAATACAACAAGTACACGGAAGCGTATAAAAATCATAATAATAATATAATATTGTAATTTAATTTTTAATTAAAAAATAACAATTAATCTTATCACTTTTTTTTATATTACTGTTTTCCACGTGGACACTCTTTATCTGGATTCAAAACTGCCGAAAAATCGCACTATCGACAACACAATACGATCAATGGCATTTTTCAAACGATAAAACCTAAGAAATATACCCATTTTTCACTGTTACATAATAGGCGAGCACCTCTTATTTTATATAAATACTAATATTTATTGTAATCACACTGCACAACACGATTTTGGAATAAAACCAATATATTATTTTTTTCTCACAGAATTCGAATTTGGCCTCAGAATTATTTCTCTGGCACGTCAATTTATTTTATAAATTTTGCTTTCAAAGTTCAGAGCAATATTAAAAAACCAAAAATTAGAATTATCTAATTTTCCATTGGGTTAAAAATTAAATAAAACGATTCAGCGAAAAATCAGATTTACTTTGTTTCTTGATCCAAAAATCATTGTAGTGTTATAGTTGTGAAATTATAGATATATATTTTGTTTATACTTTATAATACATGAATTTTAAATTGCTAGTAAAACTTGTTATTAGCAAACCGAAACAACACTGAAGGGTTAGGGCAAGTGTATGGAAAACGAGTGGCACAATCTCAGCTTATAAACATGTACATGTATAAACTATAAACTAATTTTCAAATCAAAATGAGGTAACGATTTTGATGGGGTTAAGCACAATGGTACTATATAATAAACCCTAGTGTGTAGTTAAACAGGCGCCGAGTAAGGATAAATGTAATAACATTATTACCAAAATCTACTATAAGAGTCGAGATGACAAATTGTAAATCCAGCAGTGATTATGTTTATTGCCAATAACACATTTATAATCACAATCTAATAACGAGTTAAAATAAAACATTACAAAAATCGTTCTTATTAAGACAGTCGGCAGTATAAATAAATAGTATATTAACGCAAATGATACATTTACCAGAATAAAAAAAATTAGACAATTCATACATTAATGCAACTAATGTCCAAAATCTGCCAAAAACGTAAACAGCACGTCAATAGTAATCTTTGTACATCAAAGTTGGAAAAAAATGTAAAAAAATGTCAAAACATACAAATGAACAATGATTTTATCATTAAAAAAATGTTAATATTGTCAGTGCTATTTCGGAAATAAAAGATATTTACTACCGATTTTGGTTTACACAAGTACAACCATACAGAATAATAACATTATTGACAACCGAAAAATCTTTAAAAATCCCTAAGATACTAATTTACCTTAGGGGAAACCCTTGTAGTGAATACTAAATAGGTTTTATTTGTGGAATCATTTTTTAATATTAAACAATTTATAATACTTTGGGAACATAATGAAATTAGAAATCTATTGTAACTAATAATCTAATCTACGAGTTTCTGTTTATTGAAACCATTTTTTTTAGTTCTTAGCCATATACTTATTTGTCGTGATATTTGAAAATAATTAGTTGTTTTTTTTTATATTATCAAATAGTTTGATTTCTAATTTGTGCATTAATACATGGATTTTGTAAATTGAACACAATTATAAACAAACATTTGTCTATATATGTATTAAACAACACACTGAATTTTAAATGTTTACATAAACTATTTTTATCTGATCAACCGAAGAAAGAAAAAATTAAAATACATTGACTAATAACATCTAAAACGTTAACATTGTTTTTTATTTCAAACTTATCAGAACAGACTTACAATAAGAAATATTTGATTAAAGGTTTTAAAACTTTAGATAATAACTTTAATTAATATAAAATTGTACACCTTGAACAAATCAATGTCTCAAAAAATAAAATAATAGTTTTGGATAGATTATAATATTTACAAGATTGTTTTTCTATTTTTAATTCATACACTAAATTTAAATTTACATTTAAACAACGGAGTTTCAAAAAAATATATACAAGTAACTTAACATAATAGTACAACAAAAGTTTTTAAATTGTTTTATACTTGAACATGGGACATAACTAAATTCTTTTTAAGACTACCAAAAGAAATTAAAAAAATGATTTGGACTTCGAGCAGAATATGCAATAAAACAAAATATGAACATTTTGTTCTATAACTAATGTTGTAACAGTGTAATGTCATAGACATATTTATAATGATGAATATAAAAATACTTATTGAATACTTTATTTGTTCACCATTTTATATTATGACTTTAGAGTGAACATTCAAACTTAAAATCTTAAAGTTGGTTTGCTCTTCATTATATGTCTGAAAAAAAATGTAAAGTTTATATTAATGCTACATAAAAATAAAAATATAAATTGTAAATTGTTTTGTAATAAAAAGATCCTCATTATAATTATACATTATATTTAAATAATTACATTGTTGGGCAGTAGACAAGAAAACTGAACAGAGATGAATGTTTAGTGGAGATGAGAATGCTAAGATGGATGAGTGGAGTGATTAGGGAGGATAGAATAAGAAATTTATACATAAGTGGAGAGTAGGAGATGCATCAATTGTGGGGAAAATGAGAAAGAATAGGTTGAGATGGTTTGGTCACGTTATGAGATGGGATGAGGCAGAGACAGTGAGAGTTGTTATGAAGCTGAATGTAGAGAGAAAGAAAGGAAGAGGAAAACTGAAGGAAAGATAGGTAGACGGAGTAGAGAGTGATATGATAGCTGGGGTCATTGAACGAGATGTAGGAGATCGAGCTCTATGGAGGTGTAGAACTAGGGTGGCCGACCCTATTAGTTGGGATTGTAAGGCTAAGATGATATTTCTATATTAGCCAATAGATATAGCCAAGAGAAAGTCAGAAACAATAAAAATGAATATATACTATTTATCACAATATTATACTAATTGGTTTTTTTTCTAACGGATTTTTTTTTTTTTTTGCTGGGTAAAATTTAAAATATGCTACTTTTATAATACACAATACTTATAAAAATAAATATGTAAATATATAAGCTCCGGTTCCAAATTCATTATAAACAAAAAAAATCTGAAACTTCAAATAACGATTCATATTTTTAAAATATATGTTCTGGTATTTTTAAGTATGGTTCCGGCCCGTCCGAGTCCCCGAGTTTAATCAAAATTAATTTATAGTTTTGTTTTTTTTAATATTTATTTTATTATTAAGGTACTGAAAAATAATAATAAAATACATTTAGTGTGCAATTTTTCTAAATAGTAAATTATTTATTTTAATAATAAATGATTTACCTACTTATTTAATATCACGTTTTACAAAAAATTAATTTTATTTTGTCTTACTATTTATTTTTAGGTAATTATAAATTATTTATTATTATTGTTATTTATCTAGTGATATCATACAGTTATTTTTTTTAATTAACTTTTTTTTTAAGATACATACTTATCCAATTTTTCCCAAAATACCATGAGAGTGGCTCTGTCCAAATGCCGTCTCGTCCTCGATATTTGAAGTACATTAACAGCCCAGTTAGCTACATTTTTATCCAGTTTCATTTCATCAAATTTTAAATGAAATGCACAAACTGCAAAAATATTTTTATTAAATAATACATACATTAAATATAAATATGATGCCTAAAATTATTGGCACTTTACTTCTTCAAAAACCAATTCTACTTATACTAGAAATTAAATCATTAAAAAACAAAAAAATATTAATTTCCATAGTAACATAACCAAAAAAAGGTCTTTAATCCTGGTGAAATAGTATATGGAAAGATCCACTGATAACAGCAAAAATAGTCATAACATCTAAAACTTTTTAATTAAAGGGCCGACATTTTTACACATACCGAGTTTAATAAACTACCTACATAAACTAGATAGATAACTTCAATAGATCACGGACAAAATAAAAAATTCCCACAAAACTAAGTCCAAACTCCCAATCGCCACAAACTTAATTCAATTTATCTAGACAAATAAAACAAACATACTGGTAACATTTTTGGGAAAAATTCTAATCCACACAGTTGACGGACTTAGAAATTGCAAATAAAATGATTGGAAGAAATCACAAATATAATATTATAACAATTATTACAAATTACATTTTGTATTCATTATTAATAGAATAAACTAACAACAAAAATATTATAATATTATAAGTGGTTTTAATGACCATGTTTCTTTTAAATATAAATCATAATTTGAAAAATATATTAATTAATATAAAATTTTTCAATTGAATCGTTTTTTTTATTAAATAATGATTTAATTAAAAACATTTTCAAATAACGACCAACTCTGATATTGTACTTACTTTTCGAAAAAATTTCTACAGGATTTCCACTCCAGGGCCAACCTTTGAACTGCCACGCTGGACCCATAACAAACACAGCAACCACTCGTTCCCATTCACTCTGTGTCAGTTTTTGTGGATTATCTACTACTCGATACGGTACAGTCATGCCGCCATCTTTACGACGTTGAAGAAGTAATTCATTATCGCGTTTGAAGCCATTTTGTTTTTTTTCTTCGGTCGACACAAATCTATCGAGTATAATATATACTATAATTTAATAATACAAAAATACTACAATTCAAGAAAACACCAAAATAACTATATTCTCTACTAAAATTTCAGTTAATAGATGTTCAACACTGTTTTAGATTCCGACTAAATTATTTTACTCTTTAAAAGCATTAGTAAAATGTGAGTATTGTTTTCTGTTCAACTCCAATGTGAAGCTTTTATAAGTAATGATTTTTTATAACCTTTTTTTTTTAAGATTATAGTTTTAGTTAAAAATTGGGAGTTAACAACATAAAAATTTGAATCTGCAGTAATCAGTTCTTAGCTATTTTAATAATTTATAATATGTCTTTATTAGTAGCCTTATATTATTATTACTAAACAAAATCCATACACCTTTAATACAAATTAATCTAATTTAATATTTTTATAGAAAAATTATAATAAAGAAGAGTGGTTTGACGGGCAAAAGAGTGAATTAGCATTTGAGGTTAAATTACATTCATCATAATTTGCCAAATGAACAAACTATAAAATACTCAACTCTTTCGCTAGGTCTCAGTGTTTGGGAATTTTTTTTATATTTTTAAACAAAGTAACTATTTAAAAAGTATTTATTAAATTATTAAAATTGCTTACTTCAAATCTTGTAAGATTTCTCGAGCGTTATGCATGGTAATTAAGGAAGACTGTCCTGCAGGAATGACGATAATTGGAGTTCGAGACACTCTTTGTTTTGCTTGTTGGGAAGCAGACAATTTGGCCTGCAAATAATTCATAATATAATTTAAATACATTTTAACAATATACTTAAACACAAATGTCATTAACTTACCAAGAAATCCCTTTCCGAAAACTTAAAAATAATTAAATTTAAATTATTAATAAAGTAATTTAAATGATAATTATAATAATAATAAAATAATTAATTTAATATTTTTTGTTGTTCTGATGTTTATTATTATTATAACTTCTAATTAGAACTGAGCCAATACCACTTTATACCGGTATCTAATATTTTGATATATATTTTTACAATCAAGAATATCAAGAAATATCATTTCCCCCGAGCATAGCATATTATTTTTTTAAATCTGCTTTTTTTAACTAGACTATGATACAAAAAATGTATTAGAACTCGTATACCTCACTGCACCACACACATTGACAGATGTAAACTTGAAATAAATATCATTAACAACTTACTTGTGTTCCAGGTGGCCGTGATGACTGTTGTACAGGTGTAACAGTAGCTACTGGCTTCTTTGGGACCGTTCCTTCAGTCACTGATTTCAAAGTCATTCCGTGATATGTTCCCATAGTATCAATTTTGAAACCCTCCGTATCTAACATAAAATTATATTCGAATGAACAGTAAATTGATCTAGATATTAATTATATTTTATAGATTATTAAAATATTAACATATTTTAGTTACCTTCTCTAGATTTAATAAAACGTTCTTGATCATAACGGTTATACACTGTAGGCTGTGGAATTGTCGGTTTAGGTGGTGCGGCACGTGGAGTTGCCGCCATACTATGAGGCGGTCGTGATCTACCATCTTCTCTGTTTTTAATTGATTGAAGTATGGCAAATATATTTTTACCAAATACCTTTATTAAAAATGGTATTTATTGTTATTATTTATAAACATATAAATAGAAAAACTATAGTTATATTTATTTAACACAAAATTGGGTACACTTAAGTAACTAGTACTAGTAATCTAGTATTTAATGTGATTGGGCTTAAATGCAGTATCTTTAAAATTTAACTTTTACTCATATAAGTTAAAATGATTATTTACTATGTTTTTAATTATACTAAATTCCTAGTTAGCCGATCAAGCTGGCATAACAACTAATATAATGCAAACAAATAACAAGTAACAAAAATTATAGTTTACTTACTTTTCCATTGCTTTGTAAAATTGTTGTCCGAGTTCGCCACTGTCTTTCTCTTTTAATTATATCTTTTGTAATATCTACATCAAAATCCAACATAACTCGTAAATCAGGTCCTAAGCCGATGTCATCATGTCCTTTGATTGTAGTACGCTTCTTTGCTAAACGCTTTGCTTTGATCGCAGCGATTTTTTCTACAGACATGGCTTCTGAAAGTGACCTAAATAAAGAAACAAAATTTAACATTTAAAAAATATTTATAAACTCTTAACATTATTTAGACATCGTCTCATTGTACTTTAAGCAAGGAGCCATAGTTCACAATTATAAAAGATGAACAAAACCTTACAATATTCGATAGACGATGGCTCGTCCGGAAAACAGAGCGCCCGTGACCAAGTGTCGAACCGGCGACAGTGGGTGCCAACAACGCACTGCCGCCTTACCCACTGTATAGAAATATATCAGAAGAGGATATAGCAGCAATAATGTAAAGCAAATGAATAAGTTAGACAGGACACGTTATAGGATACAAAAATAAATTATTCTAGAAGTGGTAAAATGGAAAAGAGTAAGAAACCACTAGAGGATGAATCTTAACAAAGATAGATGAATAGAGTACATCAAATTTAAACATGCTGGGAATTAATAATGGCAAAGGAAAAGCAACTAATAGAAATAGAAGGAGAAAAGTGGTGGTTGGCCGAAGAGCCTGAATGGCTTTACCGTGTAATTCTAAAAAATTTGTTTGTTTTTGTAATAATCAAAATATTATTTACTTAATATTATCGACATTGACGGCTGATTCTTTAGGAGCGTCTAATCTGGCAGCCAGCTGTTGTTTAACTCTTTGCACTTGTAGCGTATCTTCCATACGTGGCTTTTTAGCAATTGATTCTTGAACATCCTCAACAGCACTTCGTTTAACCTTATATAGAAACATTTTTTAAAAATAATAATAAAACTACATAATTAAAATTTAAATAGTCTATACTTGTGTAGGGATTTCAAGTGGAGCGCTTCGATCAATACTCGTAGAAGTAGATAATTCGCCATTTAAATAAGCTAAAAGTTCCCTTCGATCAGGTCTTCTTACTACAGGGATATTCTCAGCCTAAAAATGTTTTGATCAACATGTTAATCAGGAAAAAATGGGAAAAAAAATATGTAAGCAATAATTTAGATACTTACCGCTGCTTGCCGTACATACACAGGATGTGTCAATGTGACATTTTTTAAAAGAAAAAGTAGACATTCTAACGTATAATATTCTTTAGGTGCGCCATCTTTTCCAGAGCTAAAAGTAGAAATGAAAACATTTAACAAGTCATACTTAAAAAGTCTTGTCTGTAAAAAACAATGTAGATTTACATCGTACAGTGAAAAATAACATTATTAACCAATTGAAAAAATATGCTGAGGATTGTGGAGCTGAATGATTACATAAAAGTTTTGACAAAAACAGGAGTACTTACCCATACATTAAAAAGTTGGTATTTACTGTTTTTGGCCAAGACAAATCGCCAAACAATATATGATTGTCCTTGATTATTATTTCTTTTTTGTTAATATTATACGTTCGTAAAAGTGTTAACGGGTCTGCCATTTTTACAAATTTACTTTATAAAACACACAACACAAAATATAATAGAAAATAGTAGTACACAAAAATAAAACTTGAAATATAATATATTGCGTACGTAATTTAGCTTGGTAAGTTAATTCTTAATTTTATCAGTGGACAGTGTTATTTTCAAAACCTAAACAAATGTTATCAATACATCAAACAGTGTGACATAAATCCAGATAATAATAAATAACACTGCAGTCTGCACGTGATATTCTTACACTATGTATTTATCTCGAAATCCGCATAAGCGGAGAATTTATGGGCAGACATTTAAGCAGTTGTATAAAGCGCCAAGAATGACTATATTTTTATTTTAAAAAATCTGAAAATATTTTTTTGGCAATATGGTGTAGTATATTATTTGCCTAGGAATGAAAAAAATTTCAATTCGCCCCTCATTAGTATCGAGGATTTTGCCAGATATTGAATCACTTTCAGGTTAATAATTCATTGCCCCAGATTTGCTAAAATCGTATTGTTTGAATGACTGTACTCGGATAAGCAAAATATTATTTAAAAAAAATATTACACCTTTACGAAATAAATTGTAACTCTAATATTATAAATAAATCAAATTTCATTCTTACGATAAAAAGCAATATCATTTTTAATTAAAGGATAGGAACACAAAAAAAAATAACTCTTACAATAGTAACATTTCTCGCAATAATAGCATTTCTAAAAATAATAAAATGTACGACTATTGATAAAAAATAAAACAGTTAAACTTACTATTAACGTTTAAGGCCCCTGGATACCGACCATTTTTAAGGAGTTTTGTATAGGCAATATTTAAGAAAAAAGTGGTTTTATTAAATTTCGACCATGTAAATTAATTTATCGGTTAATTTATATGAGCTTCATGGTATTATTTTTAGTTTAATAATTTTGTCTATGAGTAAAAGCCATTTTAGTTTATATAATAGTACATTTTTTGTCCATCGCACAGGCTGAACCAGTGATCCGATAAGTAATCTGAAAACAGATTTGAATTCGTCATGAAGTTTACTTGTGATCGGTCAGCGTACTTTTTTGAAATCTTATTCCTACTACGCATAAAACACGTTTGAACATTTTATAAAATTTTAAATTTTAAAATCAAATTTGGAAAGGGTTAAAATTGAAAATTGAAAAAAGTGCTCTGACCGATTTTAAGTAAACTTAATGTCGAATTCATATCTGTTTTTAGATTGCTTATCGGATTAATGGTTCAGCCTGTGCGATGGACAAAAAATGATGTGTTTTGGCTGAAAAAACGGTCGGTATCCAGGGGCCTTAAGTAAATTATTCCCTCTAAAGTTGTTGATAGTTATTTTTAAAAATTTATAATTAGCTAAATAAAATTATTATACCTAATATGGTTCATTTTTAATATGATGTTTTAAGCTGGGAGCCGACCACGAAAATATTTATATAACATAATATAATGCAATAATTACAGTTCATTGCCTGGTTTACTTGCTTTATTTATTTGTTTGAAAAGTCTAAAAACATTATCACGATTTTACATTTCTAGCTTTAGCTCAAAATCTCACGATTTTTTTTATCATTCCAAATAATAAGACCGCAAAAACCGTATTGCTTTTCAAAATTAAAAACTAACAGCAGGTCGGCCGTAGTAACAAGTAATTTTTGATACTGCACTAAGTTCGAGCTTTGAGGGTCGATTACTCTAGGAGGCAGGAAGTAGGTAAGTTATATCTATGGTTATGATTTAGTTATTACTTATTAGGTATAACTCTGGAACGCTTTGATATTAAAGTATTTTTTATCGAAATATACACCCTAAGAAAAACATATACTTATACTGATGTTATTTAAAATAAACAAATTTTCATATTTACAATATTATATTCAAATAAAAACTTTAACATATTTTGTAAAACATGTTTTAATTACTAAAATAAAGTATAATTGGATAAACATAAAGTATACATATTGGAACGAGAGAGAATATTTTCATTACATACTACAATTTTCCATAGTTTTGTAATATAATATTTATTGTTGAAATGGTAAAAAGAAAGACGTACATGGGAATGGGACAGACATACTATTATTTATACAATTAATTAGTAATAAATACACAGGCCACGGATAAATTAAATCCGTAATTGATTACAAACAACAGAATACATTTTAATTAAATGTTCATGGAACAAATTTTTTATTATGACTGATAACTGATAAGTGATAACAGTTAATCTAATACGATAGTAATAGTTAATAACAATGTTATCCATACTCTAAAGACCTATAATTAAAATTTTGAATTGTAAAACATTAATAAAGATGTTTTATTCAGTTAATACTTAATAATTCACCATCATTGAATAGGCTATTTTTTTTAAATTACATTTTGTATAGACTCATTTTACGTTTTCAAAGGAAATATTAATTTTATCCATGCTTAATTAATTATTAAACTTTAAATATTAGATATAATGGACGAGTTCAATGCAAAACGATTAATAGTTTTAGTTGACATGGATTGTTTTTACTGTCAAGTAGAAGTGCAGCATAATCAATCGCTAATTGGAAAACCAGTAGCTGTTGTACAATATAATAGTTGGAGAGGTGGCGGGTAAAATAATTTACTCAATATTGTTAGTCATAAGAAACTATAATTTATTTGTTAAAATCTATTGAAGGATAATAGCTGTAAATTATGAGGCAAGAGCAAAAGGAGTTGGGCGTCATATGAGAGGAGACGATGCGTTGAAGACTTGCCCAGATTTAAATTTAGTTCGTGTAAAAGAACTCCACGGTAAAGCAGACCTATCCAAGTAAGATAAATAAATCCTATCTAACTTCAGTTGCTTTGAACTTATATTTTTAGTTTTAAATTTGTTCTTAATAATTTTAGTATGATAATTTTGATATTTAGTATGATAATCATTATCTAATAAAAACTTATTGTAGATACCGGGAAGCGAGTCAAAAAGTGTTTGATGTCCTTAGTGAATTTTGTCCATGCGTACAACGAGCTAGTATTGATGAAGCCTATTTAGATTTAACTAGTGCAGTAAATAATTATGTTATATCAAATCGCAATAAAGTGATCACTGAATCTGATTTACCTAATACATATATTGAGGGTTATTCAGATGATAAGAGTTCTACGGGTAAGTAAGAAATAATAATAAATTATTATTATATGAAAATAATAGCAAATACTATAGCAAGAGTTTGTGCTATAATAAAGCTAGCAGAGGAATACAAACTAGTCTAGTATAATAAAAATTGAGCATTCCTTCAATCTCAACCATCATAATAATATTTTAAAACTTGATGTTTATTTTTTAGAAGGTAATAGTAAATATATCAAATCTTGGCTGAACGATGTATATAATAATGAGCTACAAGATGAAAATTTACTACATTTAACAATAGCTGCCATGATGGTAGAAAATCTGAGACAATCAATTTTTTTGAAAACCGGTTTTCGATGTTCAGCAGGAATAGCAAATAATAAAGTAAGTTTTTAACTCGTAGTACTGCTATTTTTTTTTTTTTTTTTATACATAAGAATAAGCTGCAGAAGCACAGGCAATAGTAAAATATTATTATTATTAAAAATTGTTCTGCTGCACAGTGGGCAGAAATCACATTAAAAGTGGCTAAAAGTATACTTTCAAAATATTTTTTTAACCTTTTAAAAAAAATAAATACATTCTAAAATATATAATACACAATATATATAATTAATTATATAACGTTTATGTAAAATCAATGCTTAAATTAGTTTATGCAAATTAACCCTAAGATTTTTCATTTAGGAATGTTAAAAAACTAAGTATAATAATATTATATGTACTAGAGCTGAGACCTCGAATCGAATTTTTCTATTATTCGAATTATTTGAATAATCGAATAATACTATACGTATGAAAATAATTCGAATAGTAATCGAATAATTCAAATAGTAATCAAATAATTTGAATATTCAAATTTTCGAATATTTTGTCAAATTTATGTTTTTTTGTAATTATTATATCTATATAAATTGTTAAAATCTTATTTGTTGTAATAAGTAATAATATTTATTTTGTCAAAAGAATAATTTGTTATAATTATATTTATTTTGTTAAAAAATTATTAAAAATATATCAAGGTCCACCTTAGTTGTCTCTTAATTATTTTTTTTTTTAATCTAATTAATCCTGCAAAGAAAATGATAAAATGTTCGAAAAATCAGATTGAATATTTGAATAACCCATCGAATATTCGAATAAAAAATTTGAATATTCGTTATTCGAATAACAAATATTCGTGCGAATAAAGTATTCAAATATTCAAATTTTTTTTATTCAAATAGTCCCACCACTAATATGTACTTAACTATAGATTGTGACCAGCTGCAATTATTTACTCAATGTTGATAGTTTTTTTAATTTAAACTTGTTTGGAAATTATATTCTTTAATATAAGTATAGATGGCTTGGGTATAACACATACCTGTTATAATATATGTATGACATACCTGTCGCCACATGTCTGTTATAATTAAAAACTTATATAACCTCCCTAAGACATTTTCTAAAGGAAGAATCCTAAGATTAATTTATATAAATTAATTTATGCACTCATTTTAAATAAATTTAAATTATACTTATTCTATATTTTAGAATGAATTAATTTTTTCTAACTGTTTTTTAGATATAATGGGCAACCAAAATTTCCAATATTTTTAAAAACAATTCCTCAACTAAAATGTATGAATAAAAATATATTATATTTTGAGAAAATGTACTTTTGGCCACTTTTTTTGTGGTTTTTGTCCAAAAATTGGACTTTTTTGAAATCGCCAAAAAAAATTTAATTTGATTGCTTAATGGTGGCTTGAGGGCAGTGCCCCTGACCACCAAATTTGTTTGGGCTTTAATCAAGTTACTTTTCAATACATTTTTAATCTAAACATTTTATTCATGAATAAAAAAAAAAATTATATATTATTCACTAAATAATCAGTTTATTCATTATGAAAATAATTTTTGCATAACTTTGAAAACAGATATTGTTTTGTAAAATATTTTGCTAACTTATTATTTATATTACAGATTTTAGCCAAGTTAGCGTGTGGCTTGCATAAGCCCAACCAGCAGACATTATTACCCCCATCTAGCATACCACATCTATTTAGATCGGTGCCACTAAAAAAAGTACGAAATTTGGGTGGTAAACTAGGCATTAGGGTTGCACAAGAATTTGAATGTGTTTTCATGTCAGATTTGGCTATAATTCCTTTAGATATTTTACGACAAAAGTTTGATGATAAAACCAGGTACTAGTTGTGTCATTTATTAATTGATAAATATATTTTAAATAAAAAACTGTATAATCAATAACTGATAATTTTTTCAGTCATTTTTTGTATCAAGTTTCAAGGGGTATTGATAATGAACCAGTTGAATCGAGATTAATTCCTAAATCAATTGGCAGTTGCAAATCATTTCCTTTGGGGTTAAAAGTAAAAAATGATGTTAATCATTGGGTGTGCACGTTAATAGATGATGTTGTTGACAAATTAGAAGCAGACCTAAAAACAGTATGTCATTTGCATATTCAGACAGCTATATGAGGAGCAGAGGATTTTGTAACATTTTCTTAAACAACACATGTAAAATTTTGTTTAGAATAAAAGACGAGCAACGTCAATGACAGTCAGCGTCAGATATCAAAACAGAGATACTAGTCTCCCTACATCGCATTGCGGGGAAGTAACAACATATAACCGTGACAAATTATTGAACACAGCTCATACACTGTTATATTCTATGACTGATAATCAAAAATCATCTATAAATTGGTACTATACTTTTTAAAATAAATTTTAAATGTTATTTTAAAGCAGCATAATAATTGTTTTAGGAAAAATCCTTTGACACTTATAGGACTAGCTATTGGGAAATTCAAAGAAATGAAAGAGGGAAAATCGTTAATCAACAATTATTTTAATAAAGCTACAGCGGTAGAGACAAAACAAACGAATGACATTAATTCAACTGCACTTGACTGCAAACAACCAATACATTCTGAAACTTATGTAGACAAAATAAATAAAAATGATTGTCTTGTATTGACACAAGTTTTTGAGAAACCAAAAGAAATATATCAACCATCAACAATTTCTAAAAGCAATGATTCAATAACTAATAATGAAAAGTTAAATTCGGAGAAATCTGAAAAAATTAATGAAACCAATAACATACATCAGGAATCACAGCAATACAAACTGAAATCAACAAGTCAACTTGGTGGTTTTTTCTTTAAAAAACTTGAATCAATTCCTCCCATAAAACCACATAAAACTGGAGAGTTTTCACTAACAGAATTCAATAAAACAAACCATGAAGATAATAACACGTATAAATCAGATAAAGTAACTTCTGAAGATAAAAAAGAACTTTATGATTCCCATTCGATTAAACAACCGTTCGCTACAGGGGTTTTCTTAAAAAAACTTGATTATGTATCTCCTAGTAAACAGGTTATAAGAGATGATCTATCTATTGAAGAAAATTCTGTTGTAGAAACCGCTATTGAAGATAATCCATTCAAGTTGTCATGTGATCGATGTAATAAGTTAATCGATATTGAGGAATATGATGAACATTTGGATCATCATATAGCTTTGGAACTAAGCAAACAGTTAAATTCTGTTGAAAATGTAAATAAAATAGCGAAAATTGATGGTTTACATAAATCTCCAAATAAAACTGTAAATAACAATCGTAAACGAAAACTCGGTATACCTAAAAGTCCTAAAACAAAAAAATCTTGCACTAAAAATATTTCTTCTTATTTCAAGCCAGTAGGTACGTAAATTCTATGCATCCACGAGTGCATCATTCATCAAAGAGGATTTCCAAAATTAATTATATATTTATCAATACATTTTGATTGCAAACCATAATGTTAATAAATAATATTTATATTTTAATAAATGTGACCTAGTAAATATTACATATTTTTTTAAGAATACTTGGTGCAATTCCAGATATGTTGCCTAGTCATTTGATTAAAGCATGGTATAGGTCACTAAAAAAAACAACACATTTTTATCATTTTTAGCAAATATTAGAAAAGTTTACTGTTATTAATAGAATAGTTAATGTATAAATATACAATATAATGATACTACCGTCCTTTATTTAATTTTACATTTATTTGATTATTATAGTATTTATAATTGATGATAATTTATTCACATATTTGTATTTAAAGTTTTGTTTTAAAGAGATCAATGTGGAAATGTTCAACGATTGTTAATTTTAATACATCCTTGTGTCTTATTAAAAAATATATTATTTATTTGATATTTGTTACCGTGCGTGCTTATAGATATATAATATTTTAAGTTATATATAAGTCTATATAAACTTTTTGTTTGTTTGAAAAAGTTATATTGCTGTCTTCCCGAATCTGCTAAAATAATTTGGCCATCTCTGTACAGCAACCATATATAATTAAATGATAAAAAGCTTTGACTGGCGTTACAAAACATGTTATTAAAAAATTCCTTCTAAACTTCATATTTAACTTAAATAATGCCATCATTTGTTTAGTATATAATACAAATCTAACTTTTAAAAAAAATATTTTTTTTTTTTATTACTTCCTTATTAAATAACCAATGATAACTAAAACAAACTAAAGAAAATATCAATTGAAATAAAAAAAAATATTTTTTTTTAATAATTTCCAAATTACTATATTTGAATAAAATATTTGAAATTTGAATAACTAAAATTATATCTATAACGTATTCTGACCGGTTGGTCGTGTACAAATCATATTATTACAGAATACCGACGGCTAACCTGTTCCATATAATCTGTGATAGTATTTGATTTATCTTGGAGTTATCTTTCACTTATAAATCAGCTGTTAACATAGACGCGACTAAAAACAACAAGGACAGTCAGTGGAAGATAAAAAGTTCTACGATAAATCCACATGGAGTAGTATAAGCTGTAACATAAATCCTAATAAGTAAGAACAATTGTCAATCATTATTAGATTGATCTTTTTATAATCGATTTTAAGTTAAAATAGTTTAATTTTGTCAAAAAGAAAACATTATGTTTTGTTCTCGTCAACTGATTAAATGGTATGGTACTCTTACGAGTAGCAGCTTAAAACAAAAGTCTGGAAGGTTTGCATTTCCGGAACGTTTTCGCGGTACAATTGTTGAACGCTGGAAAACGTATTGGGAAAGCGTAGCCAAAGATTACTACGAATCCACATTAGGTGTCGGTACTTATATCAAAGAAAATCCTATCAAAAGTGTTTTGGCCAGTACACTAGGAGGCTGTGTATATTATTGTGTATCCAATAATCCCGATGAAAATAGTTTCAGATCTGAACTTCTGGAATGTGCAAATTCAATGTTGTATATTTCACCTACAATACGTAATCCAAATACTGTACAGCGTTTGGAATATTTGGAAAAATGTTATAACATGGGCATTGTTAAAAGGTTTGACCTATTGCTGTTTTCAGTTATCTGGATCGACGAGTTCAATAACGACATTCAATTGTTCAAAGCAAACTGTTCCTACATAAAACCAACAATACTGCAAATTCCTCAACGAGCCATAGATATTGGTTTTTTGGGCAAATGGTGGCATCTCAAACAAATCATGGTCGATTATGACATAAATCCCGACGAATGGAAAAATATTGAAGAACAAGTGTAATTTTTTATTAACCCTGTTTATGTTTGATTTCACTCATTTCTTTGCTTATTTCTGTGTAATCTTGTAAAATACCTGAATAAGAACGATTCCCCTCTTCGATTTATTTACTGAATTGATTTATAACATATGGTTTTCTGCTCATTTTTTTTTTAATTTAATATTGTACCATACAAATTTAAAAAGGTTAATTTACTGTACATTAGTTATGATGGAATGTAAATATACATCCAAAATTACATATGCTCATATGGACAAAAAAAAAACCATTGTTATAAATGCATTTAGAACAAAACGATGACAATCATTTAGTGTGCAATTTAGAAGTTGTTTTTATTAACTAAAAATGATAATTACCTTTTACACTTTATATCAAAAATAGAAAAATATGATAAATTAAAAAGATATTGAGCTCGAAAATAATTTTGGCCGAATTATTTTTCTATTTGCCACACTTTGGATAGTCTAATTCCATATAAACACAATAAATATAGTGAAGATAAATTTAATCTAACCTTACCTGACTATGTATTACAATTATTAATTATTGGATTTGATTAGACAATAAAAAAAACAGTTATTATAAGAAAATAAGGAAAATTATAATATTCAATTTTTATAAAATTAACAATGAATAAGCTTGTTTTTCTTTAGGTATACATAAAATCTTAATAAAAAAACTAACAAAATTTAGATACATTGATCTTAATATAAATTCAAGATTTATGTATTTTATGTTAATATAACATTATTTAAATATTATCTTTACTTTATGCTTCAATAAAATTATCCATTAGGTCAACCTAATAAGTAATAGACTATTTAATTACTTACTGTATTGACTATGGCATAGTCTACAAGGTAACAATAATAAGAGACGTTTTAAAACAAATTGGTATCAGGATACATTAATAAACATATACTCAACATTATAAGGGTAACTAAAAGTATTTCTTGAAGAAAACCTCATTAGAAATCTATAAAGTAATATAAAACAAATTTAAAAAACATTTTCACTAAATAAACAAAATAGGGAGAGGAATATAAAGCCAGGAAAAAATATTAGCTATTGCAATGTACGTCTACTACTATTGTCGAACTTGTACCAGGTGAATTATCACTAATTTCGGTACAAGTGCTTTCTTCTTCTTCATGACCGTTTTCTAAAACAAATAGATAATATGACATTATCAAATTGTTATAATACAATTTTAAAATATTAATTCTTACTATTGTTGTTTACTGTAGTACATTTTCTACATTTAATCGGAACATTATTGGATTTTAATAAATTTTTTGCTGTTAACTGCATCATGGTCAAACCAAACAGCCAATACCCTACACCATAACCTCCGACAACAGCAATAAAAACAAAAGCATTGTACGTCATTACGGCACACATAAGAACGTATCCAATTAGCATTTGTAAGGAATAAACTCCCAGCCCTTTAACACAACTAAAATAAAATATATTATAGTTTTCTATACCTATCAAAAAATAAAACATTTGTCTTACTCAATTATTTTCGTTCCAAGAGTAACTGAAGACATTTCTTTATTGACATAGTCTTTGCAATTTGGCTGGCTACAACAGCGTAGTCGTTTGTGGACCTTTGACATATAATGAAAGGTTTTTAGGGACTCGAATACAATTGCTAAAGCCGTTAATCCAACACATATGGTAAATAAACCTATAAAGTAATTAATACTGAATAATATATATATATATATTTAATTTTTAATACAGCTGGCATATTATAGTTTTTATTTACCTATTGTAGTTTGAATGTTGAAGTTCTTAATAAGAAATGGTTCAATGTTTGGATTGAATGTAAAAGACATTGCTTTTTGGAAAAAAAATTCAATATATTTACTCGAGAAAAACTATTGTATACATTGCGTTATTTATTAGACCAGAACTCAAGATATTATGTCGGCAGTCGGAGACATAATATTATAAAGGTATGTAGTATACTAAATGTTGGTTACTAGTAATTTGATTACCAGTACATTCGATCACTAATCGTAACAAATACTGTTACAGATTAATGAAAAATTATCAGTAAACACACTGTCAGGTTATCGGCCGTGTAAAAATGAACCTTCGTTAATTATTAACAACTTAGATTTCAGAAACAGTATATTTCCTCAATCATTGTGGACTGAAGTCTGAACGAGTTCGGCACTTCAACCGTCAGGCGTCAGCGGTAGGCAGTCTTTAAGATAACCGTAATGTTATTATTGTTATTTAGTGTTTACCACCAAATCTGAATCATGTGACCTATCTACTATTGTTCACCGCTGAATTCTGTACGCATGCCGACCTTGAGGGGCATTTCACGCTAACCGTATATTATTTTCATGGGGAACGTACCGATAACGGCATGACAAAATAAATAGGTAATAGGTATGCCGTATGTCAGAAACCTGTGTTATCAAGTATCAACTTTATCGGTTACTGGTTTTCACCCGTAAGAAATACACGGCCGCCCATTTCACGGTTATCACAAGTTGCCGCCGACATACCATAGAGTAATACCCTATGCGACATACCAGCAGCAGCTGTTTATTGGGTCATACTCTACGGTCCATCAGCTGCAGCTGCTGTGAACCGTATTAAATCACGGTTATGGGATATGGCTAATATACTGTGACCATTTTTAAAAACATAGGTGTACTAGTACAGTCTGATAATCGTAAAATGGCTGTTGGTGTTCTTTGGTTGACTTGTACATGGCATACACAACATTTACCGACATACCTGTGATTTTATATTCTCTTTAGTGTACTTTAATTGTATATTACAAATTGCATTTTACAATAATATTATTTCAAAATTATTTTGATTGTTTTGCAATAAATCATTTACGGCTGTAGCGTATGAAAAATACCATATGAATTGGCACATAACAGTGGTTTTAATGAACTTTATTTTGTTTTATTAGTTATAAATGCTTAAAGAATTTGCGATGTATTGTTAGCATTAGTAACAAATATATTCCTGTGACCCGATTATTATCATAAAGTTAAACTAGATATCTATTTTTTCCATTGCAATTATATATTATTTTAAGTAAACATTTGTTTTAAATGGTAAATTTAAAAAAATATAGTAACTTACTTCTAAAATAGATTTATTTATCATAGTTGAACTCATTTAAAGAAAAGTGGTGCATGTCATAAATTATCACTATACTGTGGGTGTAAATAGACTTATGTCACTCTTGTTATAAACAAAAATTAAAAATCGTCAAGCATGTTAATTTAAAATAGATTTCACTTTCTGGAATATATAGTTATGTCATTTAGGCATTTAACAGGTAGTAAGTATTCACTTACAATATAAATGCAATTTTCAAAAAAGTTGACTTGCACCACTGTTTAAAAACGACTATTATAACTATAATATGTAGTGGTACTAACTAATTACAATTCGATGACCACATTTGAATATATATACTTTTTAAGTGATTACCATTCTTAAAGTATAGGGGCGAGTTGGGAAGTACGGGTGAGTGAATCTACTTTTTACTGTAGCCCATACCTAAAATTTGGCAAGTATTCAAAACTGATTAACGTTTCACTGCAGTTAATAAAATACGTAGATTGCTACTCGATTTTTAAAAGTTACCCTTTAAAAATTTTAAATGTTATTTATAATATTAAGGCCCCTGAATACCGATCATTTTTAAGGAGTTTTGTATAGGCAATATTTAAGAAAAAAGTGGTTTTATTAAATTTCAACCATGGTAATGAATTTACCGGTTAATTTATATGAGCTTCATGGTATTATTTTTAGTTTAAATAATTTTGTCTATGAGTAAAAGCCATTTTAGTTTAGATAATAGTACATTTTTTGTCCATCGCACAGGCTGAACCAGTGATACGATAAGTAATCTGAAAACAGATTTGAATTTGTCATGAAGTTTACTTGAGATCGGTCAGCGTACTTTTTTGATATCTTATTCCTACTACGCATAAAACACATTTGAACATTTCATAAAATTTTAAATTTTAAAATCAAATTTGGAAAGGGTTAAAATTAAAAATTGAAAAAAGTGCTCTGACCGATCTCAAGTAAACTTTATGACAAATTCATATCTGTTTTAAGATTGCTTATCGGATTAATGGTTCAGCCTGTGCGATGGACAAAAAATGATGTGTTTTGGCTAAAAAAAACGGTCGGTATCCAGGGGCCTTAACATAAAAATAATTTTTTTAAATTTATGTTTTTCCTAAAACATTTATTTCATGAAAAACATTACTATAAAGTACAATTTCTAAATACTATTACAATGCACACAAATTATTTAGGAATAAACAAAAATATATAATTGCAAGCCAGGCACAAATTGAGTATATATATATATATATGTACACGAGAATGGATTTTATTGATGTATATATTTATATTATTAATAATATATATATATATACTGTTGTTTTCTTTCTTGAATCGTAATTACTACTATATAATACAAAAATACTGTTTATAAAATCAAAGATCTTAACCCTAAAAGATAATATTTTGAAGTTAAGCTATAAATTCGGTTTAGATTGCTTGGTAGCTAAATTTTAATTTTCCAGTATTCTTATTTGGTCAAAACCCAATGATAATTAATTAAAAAATAGCAAGTAAAATACAATTTCTTTTTTAAAAATGAATAGTATAGGTATTAGGTATAAAATGATTGTATAGTATGTAGGATAAATATTAAATAGTATCGGTTACAAGATTTAGACAGATACTATACATATATATACAAAAATTTAAATCTGTCAATGTCTCATGATCCATATTTTATAGTACAATTATTTAATTATTACAAGCATACTTTTGAAAATAAATTGGTTTTTATTGAAAAAAATGTAAAAAAAAAATTAAATTAGAACAAACAAGTTATTTTCTATAGTATCAAATATTAATTGTTTACAAAGCAAAATTGATTATAAAAATATAAATTCTTATTTCTATTTCTTGTTTAGGTAACATTATTACTTTTAATTGGGCTTAAAGTCAAGACTAAAAAAAAAGATCTTATCACATAATGCACAGCAATCTCATTGCTATCACAGATTATATGTAATTATTATATAATCTGTGTTTCTATCTTAAATAGATAGCTTAAATACACTTCAATAATTTGTGTTTTTTGATAATTTAAAAACTACTAAATGACCAGCTGTATTAATAGTTACAAAATTTTCCAAATTAGAGTCCACAATTAATTTATCAGCCACTATACTAACACTTGCAATTTTTTCCCCAGCTTTTACGTTGTAAACAGCAATTTGATTATCTTCCTTAGACGTTAAAAATTTATCATCAGACGACCATTTCAATGATCTTACGTAGTTCATGTTTGAGTCGCTCAAAAACTTGTTTGTTGTCTTCAATAACCTGTCAATCAACTAACACCCAAATAAACTATAAATTATATTGTTACTGTAAAGTAAAAATGTTACTGTGCAACTGTAGTGTGATTTAATTTCATAAAACGGTCAAATTTTTACATATACTTACAACAATGCACTTTTGACCACCTACGACTAAAAAATTTGAGTCATGTGACATACTGATGACAGTTTGCTCGTTATTGTTAAATGGCAGTTTATACTGTTCTATCATGGACTTATTAATGTCATTATTAATTATTTTGAATATTTTCAAACTACTTCCACTGTCAGCGACAGCTAATTTAGTTTTATCAAGCATCAGACTTCCATTAATCTTAATACAATTATTTATTTCCAATTTCGATTTAGTTCCTGAATGTACATTTATTATCTAGAAAATGCATAATTATAATTTGTATTTCATTTTATAAGAATGTAAGTTTGGAAAAAATTAAGCTAGTATATATATATATATATATACTGAACATTTCTTAACCCCATCTATAATTTATGTAGTCACACATTAGTCATAGTTATACCCAAATAACTTACAGTTGGCGCGACAAATTTATAGAAAAACAACATCGTCATCATCAGTTTATCGAGCCTTTAAGGGGGGAGGGTCGTGTAAAAAGCAGTTTTTTTAGTATTATGTTGTATAGGATGTTAAAATTTATTAAAATGTAATAAATTTCAACATGAAATTAACCATTCAAAGTGTTTAAAAAAATTTAATTTTGAATAAATTCAACATAGCGGCGTTGCAGCTGCTTGAGTTTTGTAATTCAATTTTGCGCTGTACAGTGTACAGATTGCTCTAATTATCTAAAAAAAATTTCAAAATTTTTCTTTTAAAATACGTTCACACCCTTTGCCTGAACCTAAAATTAAAAAAAAAATTCAGTATCATTTTTAACAAAAAATACCTATTTTTTGTATAAATAGAATTCTAAAAATCAGTATTTATTATTAATTAAGTAACAATAATTAGTTAACTTTTAAGTTCGCGCAAAGACTAGTAAGTTAAGAAAAAAAATTCGAAAAGAAAATTTAAGAGAACATTCTTCAGATGATAAACTAATTTTCTAAGCAATAAAAAAAAAATTAAAAAAAAAAATTGTTCACACGACCCTTTCCCCCCCTCCCCTTAAGGCCTAATGCTGCTATCATGAGATAATAGTTTCTAGACGGTTTCGCTGTCCGGGACGGGTCGTCAATCCGTCGCCGGAGAGGGGGTGAGTCTCCTATTCACCGGACGATTGCTCGCCCAGCAAATGGAGTGCCCGTGACCAAGTGTCGAACCAGTAACTGTGTGAGCGCCACACACTGCCGCATAACCCACTCGGCCACTCGTCCCCTCCTAGGAAAACAACACTTCTGCATAATTGGAACATAATTTTACCAACATTTTTTATAATTCTTAAGTGTTTTTGAGTGCATTTTGAGCATATCAAATCTAGGAATTATTTAGTAAAACATACTTTTAACTCATTGTAATTGTAGATAATAATGAGTGTGTCTGGAAATATATGACAGTCAATAAAATGTTTAATATAAATGTTTTGTATGTTTGTATTGTCTCTCCATATCTAAACAAAAAATAAACTTCATACAATAATTTAGAAAAATAAATAAATAATTATACTATGTAAATAATCACTTCAATTTTTTGGCATAACATTTCATTTTTCCTTTCAACTGTTTTAAGCAACATAGCAACAATCAAAACATTAAAATTACAACAAGCATAAATTTTGTCAACTTTATTTGATGTACTAAACAAGTATTCTGCCGAATTTTGCTTCAAGGAGTGTACAGATAAATCATCGCACGCTACAATAATCATTGTTTGATCAACTGTTTGATTTAAACATATAACAAACAATGCAGATATTTTTTTATCGATAATCGCCCACTGACTTAATCCTTCGTATATTATCTAGTGGAAAAAAATATATATATATTTTAAAGTTTTTTTAGTTATATTTTTAATATAAATATATTTTTTTAAATTTACTTTTAAGCTTCCACATTTAGTCATTGCAGCTATTAAAATAATATTATTGTTGAGCCAAATAGCATCGAAATTTGGATTTAATTTACAACAATTTGTTTCTTGTCGTCCCAAATTTACTGTACACATATATTCTTGTAAGGTAATTCTACTCGCCTTACAAGTGCACATGTACTTAGTACTATCATCTAAACACCATAACCTAACCGATCCATTATCGGCTGCACATAACAACCAACTACTGCGCTCGGTGTTGGACCACAGCCAGTCCATGTTCAATATACCCCTAAAATGTTGTAAGTTATTATTTTACAGGAAAATAACCTTGATAAATGTAATTACTTACTGAATAGGGTCATCTAAATCCATGAAATTATATCCTGTCAATAAATCGCATATTCGAATAGTGCCGTTATTTAAAGCAAGAGCTATAAAACGAGAGTTTTTAGTAGCATCAACATTTCCCTCTGAAATAGCAAACGATGTGTACTCCTGATAACCAATTGGATGCGGACTTTCCTTAATTCGAATAGATTCATTCCAATTCAATTTGTACAGTTCAGATTTTTTTGGCGTCATCACTAATATTATATCATCCCCTAGAAAAAAAAATTGTATAAGTATTAAAATATATTATTTGTTTACCACATATTTTTTAAAAGAATTATGTAACCAAAATTTTTATTCAAATAAAAATTTCAAAAAATAGTTTTTTTATCTTCCGCTACAGATATTATAAAACCAATGATACAAATTATAGTAAGTTTCATATTTTTTATCTTTTTATTCTGAAACACCAACAACACCGTATTGAAGCTGAAAATAAAATGTTACCTTCTTTTTCGGGCAGAGGAAAAATTGACAGTACTTTTTCACTTGGGTATAATAACCCAGGATTATCGTCAAATGGCCATTGAGATCCATAAACAGCTCCATTTTGTAATGTTGTTGAGTATACTATTCTATCATTAGTGACACTTTCCATAAACCAACAACATGAAATCACACTACTTTGAATAATTGTTTTGTGGAGAATTCCAGTATCTAATTTCCATATCTGTGTAAATAAAATTTAGTTTATGCATTTTTTTATTTGAAGAAAAATTACTTTGAATACTACAAATCGATCTCTACATAAAAAATTATAAAATATTTATCAATGGATATAAATATTAACTAATAATTTGCATTACCTTTAAAGTTTTATCCATTGATGAAGAAACAACTAATTCGCCACTTGATGAAAACTGAGCACATACAACTGGTCCAGTATGCCCTTCAAGGGAAACAACACAATCAGTTATGTTAGATTGCTTGTTAATACAATCTCGATTAAATGCACTCTGCCAATGATCTTGTCTAGTCTCAGGCGACGGTGTACGGGTTGTTACCAAATCTTCAAATGAAGTTAATTATTTAATAAAAAAAATAATAAAATAATAATAATTTGATAAATACTTTCTGAATTGTTAGGGGAACTAATTATATTCCAAATTATTATTTTTGTATCGTCTGACGTGGATAAAAATCTATCTTTTAATTTATTCTTAGCCAAGTGTGTAACGCTCTTACTATGCCCATAATAAGTGTATAATAGTTTATTTGATATCACATCCCATACCTGTTAGAAGCAAGTTAAAAACATTAATTTTCTGTTTATATTTTTAGCAACTCTATTGAAACAATAGGGAGTAAAATGTTATAAATATTTTTTCTATTTTTTATTTATACAGTATTAATTAAACATTCTTTTTTTGTAATGCTACTTGTAATTAGGTACTTTAAAAACCAAAAATAAATATTTTTTCTTTATTCCGTTTTTTTAGGTGCAGTTTAACGAATAAAAAATTTGTAGTCACACTTATTTTATAGAGGAATATCTTGAAAATTTAAATGTCAAATAAACATATTAATTGTACAGAAAAGGATTATTTTTATAATTAATATAATTTTAAAAAAAATTGTGTGGGTCTCGGGACAATCAAATCCCAAAAACATCATATAATCGCGACAAAAGTGAAACTTTATAACGGTGTGTTACAGAACTTGGTGTTATAAAAATTGTGAAATAAAATATATGCTAATGTAAAGATTTGTATATTAATTTAAATAGTATTAAATTGGAAAAAACAAAAATTTTTGTTTAAGTGGGGGTTGAACATTAACGTCTTTGCAACTTGAATGCATTTTGTACTATTATACGGCAGATACAGTGGACTTTCGTGCGAACGTAAAATGTCAGTGAAAACGAATCAACGCACGCAGAATTACAAGGCACTTTAATTTTAATGGCGACATTTTAACGCCAACAAACACTAACGCATCTATTTAGATATCATAATCAAATCAAAAATATATGTATGAGAGAGAGAGAGAGAGAGAAAGAGAGAGAAGAAGTGGGGGAACTCGTACTTTATCGTACACGAAGATCCGCACAAAAGAGAATCAAAGAAAGCTAGGCGTTACTGTATACCTATATGTATCTGCGTTCGCCCGTTTTCACGGGTTAACTACCCTTATGACGCACCTAAAGAAGTTTCACTTCAACAACTAAAGTTACGCAATAAAGTAATTTTTTAAAGAGATCTCCCCTACCCCAATGTGCAGGTTCTTTTTATTCTCATCTATTAATAAAAAATATAAGAATGTTTTTACCTTATAAAGTACAACAATATTATATTTAATTGCAATTTCGCATAATAACCTCTTACCTTAATATCTCCGTTGCGATTGCCAACAATAATTTCATTATGACTATTTCCGAAAATGACAGTTTGAATTTTCTCGCGTGATATAAATATGATTGGCTTAGGTAAAAAACCATTTGATGGTGGAAGACTAAATGTTTAAATAATTGTTTTAACTAATTTAAATGTAAAAATTTATTGAATATCTAAATACATAAAGAAAAAAAAAATACTCACATGCTATGAAAATACAATTGTCCGTTTGACTTTGAAATTTCCAATGACTTTTTATAAATAAAGGAATATTTAGGTTCCTGGAGACCTAACTGGACAATATCACACCGAGTTTTGTACATATGGGGACCAATACGTTTAATAAAATTTTCTACCTCGTCCATACATTGTTCATTCTAAATGATACACAATACCATATAATAAGGCAACAAACATGTACTAGCTAACTTTATAACTGAATATGTTACAATTAAATTAATTTTACATTTTAATTATGATTAAAACACTTATATTTAATAAAACATGGTTTTTAAATAATAACTTACTTTGGCAAAAATATATTCTTTATATTTTCTTAAATCTGCTAATAAATCTGCAGGGCCAGTAGCGTGTGTTTTAGATTCTAAAAACTTCAAATCTAAAAACCACTTTGAAAATTCCTGAAATAATCCTGCTTCTTTTAAATGATAACCAAAGTATAAAAATATATAATTATCATTTTTAGGCAGATCAGCAAAATTTCCATGACAATTGACTCTGTATTGATCTATAAGTTTATTATGTAATAACTGTTGAAAAAAAAAATGAATAAGAAAATACTTTTTCAGAATCGCCTTTAAGCAAATTTTATTTTTATTTTCAAAACTACTTTTTTTTCCTGGTCATTAATCATGTTCTTCAAATTGTCTAACAATAAATCGTGTATTGAATATATGTAACTGTTCAAAGGTTGATTCCAAATTCTGACAGCTAAACTTTTACGCATAAATTCAAGCATGATATCTTCAACTTGTGTTTTATTCAAATTCCACATAACAGATAAGACCTAAAACATGTTTGAGATTTCTTCAAAATAAAACAGTGTATTAATATATATTTAAAATATTGTAATTGTTTTACCTCGGGTTTAATATTTACATCATATACAAACAATACAAAATCTTGATAATATTTTCGTAAGTTTTCTGGTAAATCGTTAATGGACATTTTTATGGCTTTTTCTAGACTTTTAAGTTGTTGAATACTTTTTCTATTATACCTACAAGAATAAAAACATTAGTAATCTTATCTTTTAGTAGACTAATTAATATGTTATATGATAGTTTGTTTGTATGTAACTAACTTAAACGTTTCTGATATTTTATTTTTATGTTTATCTGATAATTCCTGCAAGTAAAAATTCCATCTGTTTGGATTTTTTTTTGTGTCTTCTTTGTGGGCTTCAAGTTGTGCACCAATAAGTGAAATAGTGAGAGGAAACCCTAACAAACAATCCTTTGTTGAAAATTGTATTTTTAATTAAAGTAAACTAAATTCTCTATTCAAATTACCTTTGCATATGCTATGAAGCTTTGATGCTTGGGTCGGTAAAGAGAAGCTGTTTACATCTAAACATTTTGAAAATAATTCTAATGTCTCTTTTTCGAGGAATCCTTCGGTAATTTTAACATATGTTATACGCGAATCAATTATGTCATCCATAACTCCATCATCATTTGTTGTTATCAACATTTTACAATTTATATTCATGTATTTTATAATTTCCGAAGTAGAAACGTCATCCAAAATTAATAAACCTTCTTTCATAGAGCTTTGCTTCCATCTATAGTACCCAAATGTTTAAAACAAAAAAATATTTTATTAGTATAATTCTAAAACAGCCAACACAGTGGGAAAAAAAACATTGGGAACAGCGCAAGGTCTTCAAGAATAATTATTAGTATAACTGAATTTTTTTTTTTATTATTACCCTTGGTAGCAAAGATCATTGGGTTAAATAAATATTATTATAAATAATTTTTACGGTTAAAATTATCTTGTATAAAAAAGTTTGACTATATATACATATTTTGTTATATTATAATGCCACACTAAGTTCTATACTCAGCCTAATTTTAAAACCTTAAGCCCTAATACTACACCAGCAAATAAAGAAAATGTTTCCACACCTTCTTGGGAAAAATTCATCATTATTTGTTGAATATTCCAGGTACTTTATCTAAATAATGACTTACCCAAGTTTGGAAGTAATTTAACTATTTTAATTGAAAAATATACAACAATATTCAGGTAGTACTTACTTTTTTGTAAGTATTTTTTGTGTTTCTTCATATTCAGTGTTTAGTGGAGGCGATATAAGTTGTTCTTGATTTGAATGTAACCGATTCAATACTTCTGCTTGTATACAACCCACGTCTGTTGAATTTCCTCGTCCAACATTTACCCATTGTACACAACCCTAAAATACGTAAATGTTTATTGATATCAATATTGTAACTAAATTGTTTATGAAAAATAAATACTAATAATATCAATGAAGTTCACATTATCAGAAGGAGAAAATGCCTAATCTAATATTAATTAATTTTAATGATTACCTTAAAAAGGTCCATTGTAATAGTCGGATCCTGTAACACTTCAACCACTAAACTAGATTTTCCACAACCAGTCATACCACATACAACAACAAAGTTCCCAGCTTCCAACAGTTGTAATTGGTTTTTTAAACTGTTTACCTTAATCGTTTTATAAATATAATGTTATTTAAAAATAAAACTCAACTAATAGCCCTTATACATACAAATTCTGTTCGAGTTATGTGTCTTAAACATAATTGAGGTACTTCTCCAATTGTTAAAGCATTCCGTATTTTTTTTGAAGAAACATCATGATACTCATTTTCTATTGTTGTTTGTATTGTTTTAGCAATCCAGGAATATTCCGATGATAAATAATCAATAAATTGCTTCATACCAAAATTACCTTTAGACGGTAATAAATCTAGTAATTTACTTGCTTCTTCCTTAGGATTTTCCTGCCATTAAGAACAGTAAAAATTTTAATTAACAAAGTAGCAAATAACTGTAATATTTTATATAGTTCTTACCTCAGATTTTATATCTTGATACTCATCATTGGTCAATACATTTTTTTCAAACAACATAGCGATTACATCGCCTTGTATGTCTTGTATTATTAAATCACGGTTTGCTTTAAGTACATCGTGAATACATTTAGTGTCAATTTCCATTATAAATGGGGAATATTGACTTGAAATATCAATGGTAGAGTAATTTCATTTGTGTTATATACTGAAAAAATCAAACCATATTATGTGGTTTTTAACATACAAACTATATATTATTTGTGTAAAACATAAATGGTACAAGAATCTATAAATGTTTGAAACATACATTTCGATTAAAAATTAAGTATTACCTATTATTTACATACGTATATCTTGTTTATGTGACATATGAGGTCTAATACATTAATGTCAATGTCTTAAAGACTATAGTTCTACAAAGAAAGTCGGTATTGGTTATTGAGATTTAAGTATAGTGAAATTAAAAGTATGATAATCAAATTTTACTATCACAAAATACTGAATTATTGTTTATAATGATAACAGGTACATAATAACACGGAATAATCAGAAGAGACAGTGAATGAGAACTTGAAATCTGTAAAATTGCCGAGAGCATCAGCGTAGCCAGAAATCAACCATTATTACAAATTATTTATTGCTGTCGAAACTGATTTCACACATTTTCCGGATAGAATATGGAACAGTCGCCTGAAATAAGATAAAAATGGTAATGATTATCTTTACCCATAAGTGTGGCAAATCCCCCGTAAGAACCTATGTAATTCTTGAAAGTGTCTCTTCTGGTTATTCTGTGATAACACCACACCACGGCCCAGTACCCATAGAGTATACGCTTTTGACTTTCTACGGCCATAAAAGATTCAAGATGTACCTTTATTCTTAATATAATAATATATAGGACATAAACTATAAAGTAATATAAAGAAGCTGTTCGGTCAAAAAAGTGGTACAACAAACCTCTGTTTCACACTGCAGTGTCATTTTTTCTAAATTAGCTGGTTCCTGATGGAGAACGAATACCAGTTACTTAGAAAACTGCTAGTTATTTAATTTACTCCATCGACTTGATAATAATATGGACCAGGAAACAAACATTACGTATGATAGAGCTCTGTCTTTCTGGCACATATCTTGGTAACATTTTTACTTTTTAGGTTTCAATGTGTGGTCCATTTAATACAAAAATAATTCACTACCGTTTACACGTGTTTTAATGACAATGCTCTCATTGCGGCAAACAACCTCCTTTTATACCTATGCAGAAGTGTTACACCCGATATTATTCATCGTCAATACGTGTTTTTGTACATTTTCATTAAAATATAGTGTTCCAGAAAGCAGCCACATTTTGAAAATTCTATAACTTTTTTAAAATTTGTCCAAAATAAAAATAACACATACCATTGTGTTCAGGAGGTCCTGAGGTTTATGTGTGGAACATAACATCGGGCATATGACCGCCATCAATTCAATGTCTATGAAATTTCGGATGATGCGTTCGCAGATTTTGATACTAAAATTATTCATTATAAATCGTTTTTCAATTTAGGAATATTGACTAATCTGAAAACTATACTATTGAATGCTGCCATTTTATATTGACAGCAGTGATTTGAATCTTTGAGGACGTACCTGTACGTGTGCGTTTTCTTACGATAAATCGCAAAACCTAAATTATTGTCTATTCTTTTAATTAGTACTTAGATCAAGGAAAGGCAGTTTTTTATTTACTGTTGGCTAGTCTTTTTTGAAAGTTTTGCTTACACACCGAGTTGCGAAAGCGTAGGTATCAAAGCTGACGTCGATGGGTCTCAGATCTGGCCGTCGATGCCTACGTGCATTATTATCACTATAAGCGATTGTCGCACGCTGCCGACGCAATCGAACGGCTTCCGCGCGAATTCTGGCACAATCACCCCTTTTGGCTTTCACTATTATTTTTAGGATAAATATCAGAGGAAGGAACGCGTTCTCCCAAAGATGGTACTTCTCGTTAGACATTTGTCGTACAGTCGTTGGCCGTTTAACACGAGACGGCGATGAAAAATCGTATAGCCAGCTAACTGTGCGCGTTACTACTTACTTTTACGAAGCGCACCGAGTCGCTAATGCCGACGGCGGTAAATACCGCTAAGATAAGTTTAGAGAAGTGTTTTTTCTCAGTCGCAATCGAGAGGTGTTGGAATTTTCACGAGCTTTCGGGCTGCCGACAACTATTGGCGAGCTTTCTAACGCCGACAAAATAAATGTATACTGCTGTTCTTGCTGCCACATGCTATAATCTATATGCATTTGTTTTTATTTAGTCTATGTCGGTACTCCAAACCAATTCTAAACATCACAACACCTTCAGAGTTAAGGGATGACGACGACATCACCGTAATCATACACAAAAGTTCCATTTTTGCAGAAATGTGGAATTAACGCCACGCCGTGCCGCCCACAACATGATGTTTAGGACGCATGTACTACAGAAAAACATACTCGTACCTACACACAAATAAAGTGATAAGTGCAAAAAATAATAGCGGTCGAGAAATTGTTTGTCGGAGAATATAATATATTCTATAAAGGTAGACCCCCTTCGCTTGGTTATTTTCTTAATAATAAATGGGTACCGATTTACTTTCGTACTATTTCTTAAGGAACAGTTTTTTTTCGTGTACAGAAGCTGCTTATATACCCAAGGCTAGCCAAAAGAAAGTTCTAATATTCCATTGAATACGTCAACCCCTTCAAAGTTCAAACGCTCTTCCTCCCACACCACTTACACCCACCTAAACCAAACTCTTTTTATCAATGGGACACATTAGGCACACGTATTTTCCAGAGCTCAGAGCTGTATCAACTATTGAATCTTTTAAGATTTAAGCAATAACGTGTAACCTATATTAGACTGATTTTTTAAATTAAGAATAATTTGCTGAACATTTCAACTGGTCGATATCCAGTTTTGGATAATTACTTTTAAAGTTACTGAAATTTATAATTTAGGACGGAAGAAATCAACTAGTAATAATGTTCAACAATTGAATAATAAACATGAGAAACCAATTCTATGATTATGTACTTGAGTCCCTAACTACAGAATAAAAAAAATGTAATCTATTCTATGTCCTAACTCTCAAAATATCCCCAAAACAAATATTATAAACTGAATGAATCAAAGAGGGCCGTGAGCCGTCGACCAAATGCAATACACATTTTGCAGTGTTAAAAGTTAATCCGTTAGTTTGAAGACTTTTGGAAATTACATTTGAGACAGATAACTTAAGAGATTCCGGAGGAACTGTTGGATTTGCTTGAAAGAAATAAACCAATCAGTTAAGTTTCAATATCTTGATATTGAAATGTGTTTCGACGTGAAATGAAAGAATCAGATCTCAATTATGTTAAATAAGTTGAGAAAAATGATCTATGTAATAGAGCTAATACCATTCAACGATATTAGAATGGTATATTTAACACTTATTGAATCCCTAATTACTTATGGTATAAGTAATAGATTGCATTGGGGCCCACGTTAAAGCGCTCACACAACTTCAAATCTGCCAATACGCAATTATCAGGGTCACGTGTAAAAAAGATTATAGATATTAAAATATATAATAAATAAATTAAATATGAATATAAAAACGTATACATAAAACTATGTAAGCAAGTACTATTTAATTAAAAAAAACTTAACATATTGTCCCCCTTTGAGTCATAAAGAATACCAGATGGTTATGCAGTTAACATTATTCCTTAGTTTGGCCAAATAAAACTGGATGTCGAAAAGTATAAGATTTTTTGGGAATTCAGATATACAACTCAATGCTCATCTATCTGACCAACATGAATTTGCTGCAATTAAAAAGCTTATTTCACGCTGATTTGTTATGTATATGACGTTACTAAAACATAATTAAGATCCCTTTATTCTTTATGTATACTACAATCAAGTATCAAAGTCTCCAAATTGTAAAAACGTATTGCTATTTTTATTGTTGCTGTTACTATTATAATATTTATTCTAAATACTTAAAATAACACAAAAAAATATCTGAAGTGTAGAAAACACTTTGAGTTGGAGTGAGGCCCAGTTAATTGGTTATTAGGAGGTACTGATGTACAATTATAAATAAACAAACTTTTACTACCCAAGACCATTCTGTCAAACATGACTTAAAACGTGTTAGAAATAAATCTATCAGTTCTTTTCTTTTTAATTTCTCCAACAATATAAAGTAGGTAACCTACTCAGTATCAAAAACATATTAATGTCAGTACATCAAATTGTTTATCTAAAGAAATACTTCATTAGTAAGAAATCATATTAAGAACAATTAAAATTTAAATAATATGTCTAAGAAGCAGTTAAATCGGAAATACATAATAATGTACCAGTAAAGACGGATGAGAATATTGCATCTCGCTTGCCCTATCCCCAAATATCAAACCATATTTTACGCCATGTCCGGGAGATCATATAAATAAATACCTAAATTAAAACTTTTTATAGCACAGACATTTTCCTTTTTAAAGTATTAGTAGACAAGATGCACATCATCCATTAACACATGTCCTGAAAAAAAAACCAAGGCCATAATTATTATTAGGCAATAAAAATATCAGGAAGGCTGACATTAGGTGGAGTAGTCGCAAACAAATTTTTTTCATCATAATATATGTAAATGCATTTTTATTATATATAATAAAAAGTAAACGTTATGTAAATGACCTTAGATGCAGTGGTCAAATATTAATAAAAAATGTATACATATATATTTATTATAAGCATGTATAAAAATTACCAATTTTTTTTTTTTTTAATGTTATTTGGTTTGGAATAAAATAAAATAATTGTTCGGTTACAGTTAAATTCATTCAATTAGATTTATAAAACTGTTAAATAGTTTTAGATATAGTAAAAACGCATTTACGTTTGTAACTTTCATTTATAATCACCCAAGTAAATTTGAAAAAAATTCATTTTTCTAAAAAAATAAAATAATAATATTTAGGTAGGAATATATAGGTTTAACAATGACATTTTATAGGATTTTTTTTTAAACCTTTACAGTCACATATTAATATTGTACATAAATACAATATAACAACAATACAACTTTTAAAATTTTAAAAATAATTAAAATAAAGTTGAAAGGTTATTTTTACATTGTTACATAGTAACAATTTATGTTACAATATAAATTTAGAAAAAACCTACTTTACAATGAATTTTATATTAATTTACTGTGTGTATGTAAAACACAAACAATGTATATTTTATAATTTTTTTTTTTTTATGTACATAATATATTATTAAATCATAAGTGTAACTCGGTTTTAGGAAAAAATTCACATATTATTGTAATTTTGAGGTGGCCTTTCTGGATTTGATCTGTAATTGGGCGGTCTTGTGAAGTTTGAGTCCATTAAATTGGGAGGTCCATTTCGCATATTATTTTGATAAGGCGCATACTGTCTCGGTGGTCTATTATTATTTTGAGAACTGTTATTATATGGATGTGATTTATTATAATAAGACCTCATTGGTTGATTATAACCATTTGAATTAGGAAGTATATGATTTATTGGTGGCCTATTAAAGTTATCATTGGGAGGTCCAGTTTGATAATTATTAGGAGGTCCATATGGCTGGTTAAAATTATTATTTACTCTTAAATCCACATCTTGACTAATAGGAAAATTGCTATTGTTACTAAATGGATTTCTTCTTAAATCTTGATCTTTTTGAAGATGCTTTGCAGCATACAAATAAATTGGATCTCTATTACTTTCAAATGATAAATGTTGTCTCACTTCAGGGATTGCTCCCGAGTGTAGTAGTCGCATTAATGAGTCTCGTCCTTCTTTTATGGCGAATGCTAACTGTGAATTCTGATCTACTTTTATCATTTGTCCATAAACGAGTAACGATTCTGGTTTTAACTCACTAGCTGGTCTCGAACCTGGTATTAGATCCATTAAACTTTCTACCACATTATTAACAACGTCATTGTCTGGACCTACATTTTCATCTCCGTCTTCTTCTACGATATCATCATTGGTCTTATATTCATTCCAGAATTTTTGGAAATTTTTAGGAATAGGTTTGGAATATGGTATTTTTTTTATTGGTCGAAGTTTAGCTGGTTCTTCATTGGTAGCGATGATGTCTAATAGTGGTATAGTGGTGTTGTCTACTGTAGCTCTATTAGTTTCTTCATCGGTAATGTCTTCAAGTCCCATACCAGGTATAGTCGACAGGGCATCTGCAGTCATATTATCTGTTTTCAACATATTTGAGACGGTATTTACTGAATGATATTTTCCAGTCATTTTATCTCCTGGTCTGTTACGTGTCCAAAATTTACAAGTATAATCATTAGAACCAGAACATAAAACTTCTCCTAAGGGATGCCAAGCAAGTGACCAAACAATGCTATCATGAGCTTGATCTACTGACCCAACAAATTTGTCAACACCTACGTTCCAAAATAATATAGCTCCATCTGAACCACCACTACAGAATAAGTTTTCATGATACGGGTGCCAAGCAATTGTGCTAGCTTCTTTTTTATGACCCCTAAACGTTTGAACTTCATGCGATAAATTTCTTATGTCAAATAATTTTAACAAATGGTCTCTAGACGCAGAAACAACCCAATTTCCATTAGCATTCCATTTCACATCCATTACAGTGCTTTTATGAGCATGTAGAGTAGCTAATGACTGGCCAGTTTTAGGATCCCATAATTTTATTGGCTGTTGATTGTCTTTGCTACCAGAAATTAATAGACCTTTATGTGGGTGCCAATCTATGCATTTGACGTCTGCTCCATGCCCTCGGAGTATTTTCTCTTCTCGATTAGTAAAAAAGTCCCATATTCGTATGGTTCCGTCATCTGAACAAGTTGCAAATTTATCATCAGATTGACTAAAACTAATACCCCTAACAGCTTCATTGTGTGCTTGAAACATCTTTACATTGTTCATATTGGATTGCCAATATTTAATGAACCCAGTATGATCTCCAGTAGTCATCCAATTACCATTATGTGACCACACCATTGAACGAACTGGTGAATCATGGGCCTGTAGGATAGTTTCAAAGTTAAATGTTAACCCATTCCATAAAGTGAATTCACCACTCGATGCTCCAGTTATTAATCGTCTACCTTCAGGAGTCCACGCTAAACAAAATACTGGGCATCGTATTTTATTTGTAACAGTTTTGACAAATGCAGTAGTAACTGCATTTACTGAGTTATCTACGTAACACTGTGGAGGTAGTAGTTGAGGTGTATATAGTATATCTGGTTGCAAAAACGGCCGATCTCGGTGGTCACGTTGCCAAATGCGATTTTGAAGCATTCGTATAAGAGAAGCATTGTAGTCTACTGTTTTACGAAGCCCAGATTTTCGTAAACGTTTTCCGTCAAAGTCTAAATCTAACGGCGGTCCACCTTTGGTCATCGGATGTCTTGGAGGTCCACCACCCATATTTGCACTACGGATATTTAAAGGTATTGGACCTTGAAACCTGTAGTTTGTTGGAATAAATGTGTTTGTTGAAGGCGGTGGAACTGAAAAGTTTAAAGGAGGCGGAGGTACTGAGAAAGAAGTATCCACAACAATGGACATTGTTATTTTTTAAAATAAAATATTACCTAAAACTAAATTTAAAACAAACAAAAATTAACGTCGCACAAATACCGAATTTATAACATGTTACATTGTTATTCGTTACGGAATACAGTTACACTTTAATGCATGATGCATTCATAAATCATAATACATATTATCTAAAACCTGAAAAATACGTATTGATATGAATTATTTGGTAGTTACTGCCAATAATTACTCTAGAGTTACTGGTTACTACAGCCATGTTTACCTGATAATATGAGACATGGCTACACATTTTTGTATGTCTGTGATATGAGATAATATGTATAGTTTAGATAAAAAACTATGGATATTTTTTTACAAGCGGGTGTCCACCATTTTCGAGGTTAATGGCCGAGAAAAGTTACATTTGTTCTATTGCGCATGCGCCATGCAGTGCAGTGTATTACGCATGTGCAGTAGCTATTGAGCATGCGCACTAAAACGTAATTTCACTTAGGTATTCATCTCGGCTAAATGAAGTGGACTATGACCAAATAAACTATAAACTGAAGTGGACCGTGGATGAAAGTGATGAATACAATGCGTTCATCGATAAGATACCGATAGGTACCTCGTACCGGGTAGTAGCTGCTTCATCCATTGTAATTTGTAACATTGATTAATAACAATTTGTATTAAATCAACGGCTGTGAATATTGCACAGAGTAAAAATATTATTTAAAATTCTGCTTGCTAGGTTACGAACTTATCCTATCTTAAATCTTTGCGCATTTGCACGCGTTAAGTTCTAATCATAGATTTTATAACTTATTAGATAGTTAAAATGAGAAATTAATACGGTTTTACTATATTTCCATGTCTGGGGAGATTACTCTGCGTAGCTGCTGTATTATAATATAGACAGGGTACACCGGGACCCTCAGCGCTGCAGTGGACAACAACGCAAGCTTTTTTTATCATACGCATTGCAAAATGTAACATTTACATTATATTTGAAATTTTTAAAAATGATGATAGTATACTTTTTTATTTTAATCAAGATGTTTGATTTACAAAAAAAGGATAAAACCATTCGTTTTAAAACTATAGTGGTTGGTAAATGTCGTGTGCCCTAAGAAAATGTACAGTTGTTTATATTTGCATAGTGTGCTAACCATTTAATTCTGTAGTTTTTTTACTTCCACAAGCAATAAAATTATATATTTTTTTTTACATAAAATTATTTTATACATAAAAAAACCTTTTAAATTTTATGTGTAGCTAATAGGTATTTTCTTATGAAAAGTGAAAACCGTTGGTTTTTTCGATATTAGTTATTTTAACAAGTTCCAACAGGCATGTGAAATTGCTTTGTTGTCAATAACAATATACAATATAGTTTAAACGAGTATAACAAAAACTTAATAAATTAATAAAAACAATTAATATAAAATAAAATAGTAATTGACTACTCCCATCTTTAAAATTTTCAACATATAATAAATACATTTGAATTTTAAATTATGGAAATATTTTGTAAGGGTTCAATATTTGTCTATTATCAAATGTATTTTTTAATTTTTTCATTATATCAATTTCTAATTGGGATTTCGAATATTTTAAGTATTTTCTTTTTAAAAAACCAATTCCATGTTCAGCACTTATACTTCCTTTATACTGACTAGTCCATTCATATACATAAGGTTCTAATTCAGAAACGACATCTTCATTGTGTGCAGTAGTAGCAACATTTAAATGCAAATTCCCATCACCTACAAATAATAAAATAATTACTATACACTTAATGTTTTTAAAACACGCATGTATATATATATATATTAGGGTGGTTCTGATTTGCACAATTTCTGAATTTTGATTATGCCTCTTCCTATTCAATTAAAAAAAAATGTTAAGCCTACTTTGAACTTTCTATTCTGATCCTAACCATTTGCTGTAACGAGGAGAAGTTTGCCGTTTAAAATATGTAATTGTAATTCAATAATTGAAAATGCAGTTTTCCTATTTTAATTTATTTATTACTGTGAAGGCAAATAATTGACAAGAAAAATTAATTTAACATGAAATTGTCACAAATTTTACAAAAAATGTATGGGTCTTTTAATGTAATTTTTACACTATATAATCACGACTTAAATTGTTTTACTGAAAAATATCAGAAAAAAATATATTGACGCATACAATGTTCTAAACGTGTATCCAAGTCATTTAAACATAAAGCATTGAGAAACATTTTTTCTTTTTTTTTTTAATCAAATAGGAGGGGCGACATAATTAAAATTCAGAAATTGTGCAAATAAGAACCACCCTAATATATATATATATATATATACACCTATATTACCTAAATGACCATAACCTGAAATGGCTTTAACATTAAATTTATTATTTAAACGTTCCTTTATGTCTGGTAAAATCTGATAAAAATATTTATGTGGCAGAGTTATATCATATTTATACACATAGCCAAACCTTAGTAAACTTTCAGGTATACTTTCTCGTATTTTCCATAGACTCTAGGCAATAAAAATTATATTTTACAAAACACATACATTTTTAAGTAATTAACTATAAATTAATTTGTAATATACTTCAATTTGAGAAGGTTGATCTGCTGAAGTAGCATCTTCAATTATTTTTTGCATAAAAGATTCTTCCAAGAAATCTTGTAAAGACTTGGTCATAAAACTATGATCAGTTGATAGTTCTAAAAGTACATAAAATTCAAGTCCATCGTCAATAGGACACTTTAAGCCTATATTTTCACACACACATTTTATGGCTACAGAATCCATAAGTTCAAACGACGAAAGACTATTAGAAAATTTACTTCGTATATTTTCAAATAAATGTAATACTTTATGAAATGAACTTAAACCTAAAAAAAAAAAAAAATGTTGAAAAAAATTACAGAATAGTTGTTTTTTTTAACATACCAATAAAGGCAACGTTTACATATTTAGGAGCATTTGGACATTGAATAGCGACTTTTGTAATCACGCCTAAGGTTCCTTCAGATCCAATAAATATATGTTTTAAATGGTATCCAGTATTATCTTTTTTTAAAGTACTTAAACTGTCCAAAATTTGACCATCAGCTAACACCTATACATATTAATATTACTAAAGAAACTGTTTTAAATATTGATAACTTTCTTAGTAAATAATTATAAAATAACAATAGTTAATAATCCTAATAGCATTATACGTTTAAAGTGTGTTATTAATCTACTATAAAACAAATAAATATTGAGGTAATTTATAAAAAAAATTGGAAAGATGATAACTCGTAACATTGTAACATTATTGCTTCAAAAAAGTAACTAGTCCATATTCACCTTAAAAAAAAACTCAGTTAATTTCTTGTTCCATGCTTAAAGAGCAAACAAAAATTATGGGATCAAATAATAGTTTTTTTATTGAAGCTGAAAAGGTATTGTTTTACAAGTGTTTTTTTTTATTTTTATGCTGAGACTAGACAAACAAATACCTTAAACCACTGTACTAATTTTTCATATAGTAGGGTTATAAATCAGAAATTGTACCTTAAATGCATTTTAGAAAGACAAAAAAAAAAGTGGTTACTGCTACTCCTTCAAAATCAAGAAAAATAACGTACAAATTTATATATTTCAATAAAAAAATATAAATTTTTCTATTGATGTTTTTATACAGGGTGATTTTTTTAAAGTGATACACTCAATATCTCCTAATACGCCTACTCACTATTTTCTTTATTACTGGGGCTGGCTATTTAATTTTATGTTTATTTATATTTAAGTATTGTTGTATCTCTGTTATTTTATGTTCTAATCTAACTTTATTTGTTTTAATTTTTCATATAATTGTAGAGATGAATGGTGTATGCAATATCCCAATAGCATTTGTTTAAAAAAAAGGGAAATATTACATTTTGCCAGTATTTCTAAGTACTATGTATAAATAAATTAATAATCAACAGGTTTCAAAAAACATTTTCAATTTATTGTTTATTATGATGCAAACAAATTATTAATAAAGATAGACGATCAATATCAATTAAATCAGTACCTCTAAAAGCTTTGTACTTATTATTCATAGCAAAAAAACAGTAAATGAAAGACCCAAAAACATACTACTTGCAATCCAGATACACTGCCTTGCAAACTTCCATATTTAATTAATCTAAGTCCTCCGGCATTAGTTGCTACATTGCCGCCAATCTGACAACTTCCTTTGGCACCCAAATCAAATGGCATTATAAATCCTTCATTTTGTACATAATTCATTAAATTTTCTAAAACACATCCAGCTTGACAAACTAAAATCCCTGCAACAATATATATATATTTTTTTAAATAATGCGAGTTTTTAATATTATAAGATATTAGATAATGACAGATAAATGATTACCAGATAGTTTATCAAAGCTTATAATGTCATTCATTGCGGAAGTAGATAATATAATTTCATCAAATACTGGAACACTACCGCCAACAAGGCCAGTATTGCCGCCTTGAATGCAAATAGCAATATCTCGTTTATGACAATACGAAAGAATTTGTGATACTTGTTCAGTTGTTTTTGGCTTAAGCACACACTTACTATAACCTACCAAACTTCATTACATAATTGTTTTTAATACATTAAGAATTTGTTTTGAAATTATGTACCTGAGACAGATTTTAACCAATCTACATTATAAGGTACCAGTTCTGTTTGATCGGTAATTACATAATTGACTCCCAATATATTTTGAAAAAAATGTATATCGGTAGTTTCAATTTTAGCATAGGGACCTCTTCTTAGGTACGGATATTTATCTTTAGTCAATTGAGTAGAGTTAAATAGTGATGGTTTGGTAGACAAATTTCGAACCAAATTGAAAGAACGAAAGGCAGTTTGCATTTTGAAATCTATACAAAATGTTAAGTATGAGTATAAAATTAGTTAAGTCATTTTAATTTTTTAACTTTTTAATCTATAAACTAAATTATACATAAAATAACACCAACTTTTAATTTTTTAATATAGTTTTACTAGGTTGTTCTAGGGATTCAAAATAAGTTTAAATTGTTTATTGTATTCCAAGCAACACATCATGACCTGTTGTTAATCATTTTATATAAAATATGTTTTTTTAATAACTTTGTTTTCAGTAAGCTGAAAATTTCCGTTACGTAAAAACTGCTACTGGGCAAAGGTAATATTTTACCTTCTATCATTTCTACTTCTAAAAATATAGTTTGCTTTGACCACTTTAGCTTCAGCCTAAATTTTTTTTTTAAGTAGTGATAATGACAATACAGTGTTTAAATTATTTTTTAACTTTTTTGCTAAATTTTTTTGTAAAAAAGATTAATTTTTAATTGCTGAGAAACAACGACTTGCTTTGAATAGCTAAATTTTTTGTATTGACGTACGGATTACAGAACGTTTGGATATGCCAAACGCAGTTCTGATAATTGAGATTCTACTGTACATTTAAATATTGGTATAATGAGAAATTATTGTCCTATGAAAAATATCCAATTACCTTATTAACACAGCTTCTTTAAATAAAAATAAATGCTAATTATAGATAAAATAAAAACTGCTTAAAAAATCGTGCACATAACAAATTTATACTTTCATAAGTAATGAACGTAGCTTTTCATTTCTCTAATCTGATTTCTTTTAGGATTTCTTGAACCCACGACTCATCAGTCCAATGTTCGTTACTCATTTGTCTAGCAAATAATCCCAAAACTCAAGTCAAATCTATTATCGGAATAATTATAAAAAATGATAACGTAATGAGACGTAAATTAAAAATATCAAAGTTACAACCAGTATTGTAGATAAACTGGTTTATGGTGTCTAGAGTTGGGGGTAGTTCTTCCAAAAAATGATAACGCGTGATAAGAAATAAATGTTAGTATTTTCCTTACCTAGTCTATTTAGACAAATGATAAAACAATTATTTCTTCCAGTTAGTGTCAATGGAGACTATTCAACCATCATCTTTGACTCATCTTAAAACTGAAAGATATATTATTAATAAATAAGTTAAAAGTTGAAAAGTTAATTAATAAAATAATAGAGATTAAAGCAATTAAAACAATTTTACTTAAAATAACTCCATACCTGTTACCACATTTAATCAGACTAGAGATGGTTTCAGCAATCAAACTGTTCTAATGAATAAGCATACCGATAAGCTTTTTATGACTTCAGACGACATCATACTGTAAATTGTAAAACATAATTTTCTTGTATTAATAGTTTTATTCAAATAGGATGAAATAATATTGTCACACAAATTAGTACAACATAGTGTACGTATGAACTTTGTCGCTACAATAATTGATAAATATATTATGTTACACATATTAAATATTGCAAGTTTATATTATGTGAAAATAAGAGTTTTGAATTATGAATTTAAAAAGAATTCTAATAAATATATTCATTTAATATTAATAAGAAACGAAAGTAAGTTTTATTTACCAATTATTATCGTTGTCGTCATAATATGAACTAGCTGGTTTTTTGTAATTATAAATGTGTCGTACAAATTTGTACTATTTAAGAAAATTTAATATATTATTTTAACATGGTTGTTTTTTATCATTTGAATTATTGCCGTTTGGTTCTAGAGATAACAGTTAACGCTGATAAACGTTAGTTATATTTTAGTTACTTTTATTCTGATAGAATGTGATTTTATATTTTGGTGTTTCGGGGTTGGCATGCTGATAAAAAAATTTTTGTCTTTTCGAAGACATATGTCGATTTTTTTTTATAGTTGTCGTGTGCGCATTTATACGTGCGCGTTGGGTGACTTTGATCACATGCGAGAAGTTCATCATGATTTGTCACAACTACCGGGATCTGGCGATCTGACCACGTGTTGAGGCGGTATCGATGCCGACAGCTAGGTTGCTCGAGCTGTGGCGCCTCGTAGCCATGCATCCGCCACAGTGCTGTATGTCATAGATTAAATACATACATGTATATAATCATGTAAATACATGTATTTAATCTATGCGTGTGCTTAGTACATCTATAGATAAAGAATACACTGGAGCGCGCACTCGAGAAAAAAAACGAGCCGCCATCCCCACTACCGTACGGCAAAAACGTATAGCGGCTCGTTTTTTTTACGTTGCCGTAATAGGGAGTCCGCGCTCCAGCGTATTCTTTATCTCGATGGCTTAGTACAAATTGATACTAAAACCAAAATTGATAAAATGGACTTGTCGTCTTTCTACAGTTAGTGATTCATTTACTTACCATATGCGCTTATATTTGTTGATTGTCATATATTATTACATTAGGTACATGAATTATAAATATTATGTTGAATAATAATGATACTAACAATGCTATATTTGAAAAAAAAAATTGTAATATTTATAATTTAAGTACCATTATTTTTAGATGTAAACTAATTTTGTACTTATTAAAATTCATTGTTCTACGTCTTTAATTTTTATTCCTTAGGATTTCTAATTCTAATCTCATCTATTTCTATTGCTGTTGACCCCGCGGCAGTTAGGCGAGAACTGAGAACTGAGAAGTTTCGAAGGCTCGTATATATTTTAATAGACATTGTTTTTTTTAGCTTCGATATTATTTAATATTATTTCAAAAAAAAAATACCAACATGATAATTATTATACATGACAATTAAAAAGGATATTATTAATCAGATGGTATATATTAATCAGTACGTGTCGTAATGCTTTTTCGTCACGGTCAGCTATCTCTCAACAGTTAACCCTCAAGAGAGCGAGGCCTGCCATTAGAAGTCAACTTTAAAATACCCTCAAAGGCAAAAGTGTTCTTAATCGTATTATTCTTCTTCGGCTAATTAAAATGTGCCATTTGCATAGATATTAAACCGCGTCTTATATTTTTCTCCATTGTTCTCTATTCAATCCTATAAAGTTGTTTAATGTTGCATTAGTCTTGTCAGGTCCCTTTTAATAATGTCAAACCATCTTAAGTTGATAACATCTATTTCATTGTGTAATCGATTTTATATATTGGCCACGTCCATTCCGAGTTTCACTCTGCATAAATTACATTTCTCATTTGTCTTAAATATCCCTATTATTATAGTCCTTTACCACCTTTTCAAGCGTATAACTTGAATAACGGTGATTAACTTATTTAGGACTTCTTCATTACATTAAATGTCATGAAAGAAAATTCAAAATTTATTTATGATGATGCGGTAAAATATATATGTTGATGTGCGGAAAAATTAAAAATCCTCTCTGTATTTTACTTTTTTTGTATCAACTAACAACTTTTATCATTTATTACACCTATGAAAACTAACCAATGAAAATTAATACTCACTGTTATACAAACATTTTGTTTGTACATTGTACTAGAACTATAAGTTTATAGTTTTAATATTCCCGTTATAAATTACAGATATTATAACAATATAGAGCCTATATAAAATCCTTAATTAAGCTCTCTCTAAATTATAGTTTTTTTCTCGTAAGAAATATACATGATCCTCTAAAATTTTAAGCGACAAAATTGGTAGGTACTTACTACCTACTAGCATTGGTTATATTTAATTTCGTCACGATAGTTGAAAATGTTTATACCATTGATACTTTGTGATAAGACTAGGTATGTTATTTTAAAATTTACGAGATAAGGAATACAGGAATATAATATTATGATAAGTAATATTATGTATTGATCAGAGTATGACGATATTAAAATCGTCTACTGTTAGCTACTGTGATATGTTTAACTGTTGTTTGTTTTTGTTGATTGTATTATAATATATAAAGCTATTAATATTTTTGTAAAAACATATTCAAATAAAAATAACATATAATGTAACTAATATTCTTTTAATCACGTTAGATTATTGACTAATAACCAAATGTTTTAAATAAGGATATTGTGTTTATATTAGTGTTGGTGCTATTATATTTTTGATTTTTCATTAAAAAATCATGTCTCCTAAAATTAAAAAGCGTCGTAACATATTGCAGTTATTAAGGGAAAGAGAAATCAATGTAACATATTTATAGAAAAAATTATATAAATAGTATTATTCCTCACTTTGATGAATTTTTTTTATTACTGTTATATTAGGATCAAATTCGCACCAAATATGCTTTAAAAAGCGAAATATCAAATAAATGTATAACAAAATTAAGCCTGCTCACTGAACTTGAAGGGCATGAAGGATGTGTGAATTGCCTGGAATGGAATGAAAATGGAAGGTATCTAATTTTATTTATAGTGTTAGCCATTAATTGTTATAAAAAAACATAACTAATTAAACTATGATATTTTTAGTGTGTTGGCATCAGCATCAGATGATTTTCAAGTGATATTATGGGATCCATTTTTACAAAAAAAAAAAACTACTATTAAAACATTGCACCGGGGCAATATATTTACAGTAAAGGTAAAAAAAAAGAATGCCATCTATAATAAAATCCATCCTATAAAGTAATATAAGTGAAATATTTATGAGTGAGTAGGCTAATTTGTGTTACTGGGAAGTATAAAAAGGGCCCAAATCTACTTATATGTACCGCCTCGTGGGAGGCTTTGCTCAAAATAACTTCTTTTACAAGAAATGTATTCCATTTTATTATTTTTATCATGCATACTTAATACATTTTTAAAAAAATGTTTTTGTTAAAAAACGTAATCAATATACACCTATTTATTTTTAATCTTATAAACATACATATACATATTCATGAGTAATATGTTAAAAAAATAACTTTTAAATTACTGTAACTATTGTTATTTATAATTTTCTTTACCTTAATATTTTTTTATTAGCGGAAGTGTTTAAATGTATTATTTATTATTGCGTATTATAATTGGTTTGGCCTCTGTGTATATTTGCATGTGTTAAGTAGTAATATTGTATAGTTAAAAGCCTACCAAGAAAAGGACCAATTGGGAATAATTAGTATCCCATTGAGCTTATTATGTACACTTCTACTGGTAAAATGTAATATACCTAATTTTAAAAGTAATTTTATTTACATTCATATAATCAAATTGATGTTTATAATTATAAAAAGATACGATAGTGAGGTTCATTTAAAGTTTTAAAAATTCAGTTTCCTGGTATGCATGACATTATGCTGCAGATACTTAAATCATTTTGCACCTACCCTAATAGTCTTACTACTCTTTTTTTTTGCACATGAACCCATAGTTAACTGGGGAGGTACTTGCCTGTTGGGGCATAATTTCCCCCCAGTTTTCCGATGCTGTTTATTGAAATCAATAAATTTACTACTTTGTTTGAGTGTATGCTCTACACACCCACTCAACCTTTGAGTTAAACCTAAAAACTTAAATCTTAGATCTAACACACTCTCTCCGGGTGGGGGCCCAATAACAATATGCACATTGAGATAACATTAATTTTTAATATATTTTGTAATGCTATGAATAATTTCCTAATATATTGGCTTAAGGACATTGTCTAAAATTCCTTGGCCTGTCTAACACCCAAATTGCAAAATGAAAAATATGCCTCTAAGAGTCTGAGAATAAGTTTACCTGAAATAAATGTCAAACTATATGATAATTGTTTTGAAGTTAAAACATTTAAAAACTTTTAGTACATTTTTCTTGAATTTTATGCAAAAGGTGAGAATTGTTCCTTGTTTGACCCATTAATGTAATAACTGCTTATACCACCTTTACATTCAGTCATTGCCATTGCTTCTAGCGCTACTGTATTTACTTCATGAAATACTTCAGTGGCAGCGTCGAAGGTAGTGAGTGTTTACATTGCCCATTGTTAACCAGTTAGGCTGCTGTTCGCACTGCCCAAAAAACCGGCGTTGGCGGGAGCATCGGGCAGCGACAATGCAAGGAGCATGGTCAGTGTGATTGGCGTGTTTACATTCTCACGCTGCCAACTTTCATGCTCACTGCCACGAAAGTGGGCTGAATGTAAAGGTGGGGTTACATTTTTTGTTCTTTACCCGAAGAGCATATGATTTTTGTTATACACCCATACAAAGAAAAGTGGTGGTAATGTGTACCCACACATATCGTATACTCTTACGACTACACCACTGATTAATAGTTGATACATAATAATAAGTATTAAAACCGAAAATGACTGGAAATTATGTGTGACCAGAATTTATTCACAGGTTATACACAAAATGTATTTTACTGTTTAGCTAGTTTTCGCTTAACACAAATCACAATTTTAAAATCTATGTTTTCTAGTTTCTACCTAACTGTCATGATGATATTGTGGCAACTGGAGCTGGCGATTGGTTCTCTCATACATATAACGTAACTACCGGGAAGCAAATAACTGCTTGCACTTGTGCTCGAGGCCGCGTGAAGAGGATTGCTGTTGCAAATGACACCCCTCATGTTTACTGGAGTGCTTCAGAAGATGGAACTATCAGGTAATTACATTTTTTATGAACAAAATAAAATAAGTAAAATTAAAAGTTCTAATTTTTTTTTTTTAATTAAATAAAAAGTACAATTTTTTTCTTATGCTTTTGATAATATTTTAACAATTAGCTTTGTAACGCTCAGTTATTTATGTTTTATTGTTTTATTACAGGCAACATGACATGAGAATTAGTCATCAATGTTTATCGGAAAACACTAAAAATGTTTTAGTGTTCTTGCGTACTCATTTAGGAACAACGGCCGAAGCTAAATGTTTAGCCATAAATCAAATGAGACCAGAACAGCTTGCTATTGGGGCAAATGACCCATATGTTCGTTTATATGACCGTAGAATGATTAATTCATTAACATCTGTTAAATTAACACCTACAGCACCTCCAAATGATGGACCTGTGGACTTGCCTCTGATTTTTTATCGTCTGGTTGAAGCTGTCGAAGATAACTTATTTGCTAAAACTAACAATATTACAGATAGCAGTGTTCAATATTATATACCTGGTCATATTTATTTGACTGAACTTCAGGCACAACAAAAGAATCAATCTATTGGAACCACTTATTTGAATTTCAGTCCTGATGGACGCGAACTTCTTGTTAACTTAGGGGGAGAACATATTTATCTATTCGATTTGATTAATCCTGCCGAGCATTCTTATTATGCTATCCCCAATATTGTAAACATTTCTCGTAAGTTAATATATATTTAATAAAATAAGATTAAAAGGAAAGATATGTTTTTTTAGGCGATGATGGTGAAGGGTCTTCTATAAGTCTGCCTAATGAATCTACTCCTGTTGTACATTCTGCATTACCGGAAGAAATAGAAAAACTGAAACTTGAGGTAAATCGATTTTTTACCAAAATATTATATACTTTTCTTAAAAACTATAATTTGTGAATATTTTTTAGATTTTATATATAGCCTTTAACTCAAACTAAAATTTAGAACATAAATTTGTCATTTATTTAAACAAAATTAAGTGTACATTGAATTTATTTACAGGCAAACTTTTTTTTTGAACAACAGGAGTATACAACCGCAATACGTTTGTACAACCAGGCAATTAATATTTATCAAAGTAGCGTATTGTTTTCGAATAGAGCAGCTGCATATATTAAACGAAAATGGGAAGGTGATCTTTACGCAGCTCTTAGAGATTGTGTCACTGCATTAAAACTTGATCCACACCATATGAAAGCTTTTTTTCGTATGACTGTATGTCTATTTGAACTGGGAAAGTTAAGCGAGTCGCAAATGTATTTAGAACACTTCAAGTTGAAGTTCCCTTCATACAAAAGTAGTCCGGCGTATAAAACTCTTAGTGCAAACATACTTTTTGCCAATGAAAAAATCAAAAAGGAATCTGCAACTAATCCAAACAATGGTATTCTTGTTAAAAGTTGATATTTAAGTATATAATTATATATTATAATTTATAACGTATAATTCACGTTTTATCATTATTATATTTATTAGATGTCAATGAGACGTTACACAATGAGAGAAAAGATGATCAACAAAATGATTTTGAACTAAATCAAAAAAGTAAACAAGAAGAATGCTGGCGTAAAAAAGCTAAAGATTATTATCATAGATATTATGGTCACTGCAACACTTCTACAGACATTAAAGAAGCAAATTTTTTTGGAAGGTATAAATGGAATGATTATTCCTTTTTGAAATATATGATGTTGTTTGAGTGTAATTGTTTTTTTTTTTCAGTCAAGGTCAATATATAGTGGCTGGTTCAGACGACGGCTTATTTTTTGTGTGGGATAAAAATACAGAGAACAACTTGCTAGTGTTAAAAGGAGATAGTTCAATTGTAAATTGTTTGCAGGCACATCCATCAGAGTTCATGCTCGCGACCAGTGGAATCGATAATGTTGTCAAATTGTGGACTCCGCTGCCAGATGTAAACATATATTCAAGTGTAAAATATATTATATTTTCAAAACTATTTCTTAAATTATTTTATTGGTACATAGGACATTGTAAACGAACATGAAGTAAAAAACTTTTCATCGACAGCAATGGAAAACCAAAGACGAATGATAGTAGATCCATTTGATATAGCTATACGTAACTTTGGCTTTAGTGTGAGTGATACAAGAGATAGACGAGATCCACCAGAACCTGGGCAGTTTTATTCGTGCAGAACTAGTTAATGTATGAAATAAATATATATATATATTTTTTACAAAGTATAATCTTTATTTATATATGTTTTTCTAATCCCTTAATATGTAAAAAAAATATTTAATTTTGTTTTTATAATAAAGTTATTTTACAGTTTCATTTTTATCAATCAACATGTTTTCTTTTACTCTTTCTAGCTTGGCTTCAATTTCATCCAATTCGGGTAATGACATGCTACCAATCTGAAAATAAAATTATGTAAATACTTATTTGTACAGAATGTAATAAAATGTATTAGTTTATAATAAAAATATTTTAAAAAATATATAGGTTAATCTTTTATTTTTTAAACCAATTATATCTTTAAACTGATTAATTTATAGCTATAAATACGTCTTATTTTAATTTTTAATGTTGATAAAAATCTAGTATGGACATTTAATCACAGTAAAGTACACATACAAATCTTTTTTATATATGTGTATAAAATATTTAATTTTTAATATTCTAACAATATGAAACATTTTATTATAAGGTTAATAAATAATCTTAAAAATATGATCCCAATAATATATATATATATATAATTTTTTTTTTTGTAGTCTGATGATGGCTAAACATTAAAAACTATATGTTTCTTATATGTATTTCGTAAATACCTCAGCGATATTTTATATTTTAAGATAACATACCATAATAGTTATAAATGTATAATCTGTATATATGTATCTTATTATATAGAAGTGTTGAAGATGTTACAGGCAAAGTGGAAAATTCCTTTGAACCTTTGGTAATTTAAAAAAAACACTTAATAAATGTAAAATTAAGATATATTAAGAATGTGGCATTTTGCCAAGATAGTGAAGATTATGCCCAGAATAACTTTGTTGAAGGAAATCAATTGTTGTAATATTATACATTGTGAAAAACGTAATAACATAAATAAATATATTATGTTTATATAAATATAAAAACAAAGAATTTATCTCATTTATATTTTTCATCTTGACAAACAAAAGTAAGAGTTATGGGTATCTAATATTAAAAAGCCTGTCAAGTGGCATCGAGATGTCACAGGTCATAACTAAATTATTATAGTTATTAAAATACTTAATTGCATAACTGTAGGTGCCAAAAATTATTAAATATAAGTACATTTTTAGACAGTAAATGTTTTACTAATTTTATTATTTTATTTTTTTTAAATTGACCTCAATAAAAAAGCGCAAATACAGAATTTTAAACTTGCTAGTTGATGATTGGGATATTTATAATATTGTATAAACCACAACAAATGACTAATATGAAAATTGATTTTTTACTGTATATTGGTAGTAGTATTTCTAAAGAATATCACACATAACTTTGGAAGTAATTCTACTATTTTAAATAAGTTTAAGCATGCCATAATTTTAAGTTGAAAAATCTATAACACTTTGAAGGGAAAGGGTAAGTTTTGGTCTCATAAAGACTCAATAAGTATGATTTTGTATCTATAGACATATTACATGAAGAGTTCTATTTGCTCGTTAAAAAGATATTGTGTGGCGAGCATAAGAAACAAAGAAAAATTAAACAAAAACACATTGTAAAAACAATAATTTCTTAGTTCCACCGTAAAGTTAGAAGTTATTTGTATTATTGAAAAAATATGACACATAGTTTGAAAAATTCATATCCTGTGAATCATGTTGTCTTTTTGGATGGGAACTATGTTAAAAGATAAACAATTTTAAGTCCGTAATATGTTACACATTTGTAATGTAGCATTTACTGCATGCTAAAAACTTGCCCCATTAAAACTAATTTCACCATTTTTCTTTTTAATACATAAAAAGTAGTAGAATGTAAATGGAAAATAGAAATAGCTAAACAGCCAATATAGGGACATTGTTTGCCTTTCCTAAGGAGAATGTTTCCTGATGACTTCGCTATCTGGAACGGATCATCAGCTAAACCCTGGAGAGGAGAATGTCAGCTCCTATTCATTAGATGATTTCTGACCAGTACACAGGGTCGCCCCCCAAGTGTTGAACCAAAAACAATAAATGCTAACATACTGCCACCTTACCCACTCATCCTCTAATAAAAAAAATGCTAAGAAACCTGCACATAAGGAATTAACTAATACTTACAGAAAGAAACAAGAAGTTTACATCTAAAGATAATTGACAACGGATCTTATCATCATCCATGTTAACTTTATAATTTGGATCCCTTACTTTTTTTAATTTTCTCAAGCTTTCTTCGGTCTTTTTAATAGCTTTAACTACATCGTCTATGTAAGCAACATACCTTAAAAATATTATAAATATAAAACATTATTAATAATCAAGGGAAAAACTACATTAAACTACTTACTGTGTCACTACATAATCCAATACTTGTTTTTTACAATCATTGTTTTGTAATATTTTTAATGCAGTTACAATTGATTTCATATAGGCACATGGCTCTGTTGGGCATTCTCTATTAGTATGTCTAAACAACCGAGGTACATCAGTTACTCGGATAACATGAGACATTGCTTCATCTATTACTATTTGTACTTTAAATTTACTTATACTATTGACCAATGGATCCAGACTTACATTCATAATACAATCTGGAAACAAAAAAATAACATTCATAAGAATTACCTATGAAGTTACAGATGCTTGGTTGGAGTTGGATAAACTACAGTTATAATTAAAATAATTACTTTTTTGCTGTTCTAATAGTTCCTTAGGTATCTTTGTTTGCAATAGTTGTTCCAACATACAACAAAAATCATTAAATTTAACATAAAACCCTTTCAAATCTTCCTCAAGATTTTCGAGAAACTTTACACGTGTAATAAATTCTTTTATATCCATCTTTGATTTGCTAATGACATCATTTGCCCATGTTTGGTATCTCGAAATTAATTGTAAAATCAATTTAAAAAATCTAAAAAATGTATTTTACAATTTATTATTAATTATATTTTAAATAAAAATAAAAAAGTCAGCACAATGGGGATGGAGAGGTCTCAGGTCTTCAAGAATTATTATAATTAAAAGTGATAAAATCATTTTCAAATGTTTTGATGCGAATTGTAGATGGTAAAAAGTATCAATTATAAGTAATTTAAATGACAATAAATGTGTTTATAATCATGTTATTTGGCATTTGGGTTTCCCCCAAAATGTTTTATGAATTTAATGATTAATTTGAATTCGTTTTGTTTAAATTTTGAGAAAACAATCTATTGAACATATAAAATGGACTTTATGAATTGGGAAATGTATCATACATGTAAAAATATTAATTAACATCACAAAAATCAATATAATTTTAGTAATAGAGTAAATGGGCCACAACAGAAAGGGACTACAATAAATTTATTGTTTTTGAGAAAAATATTTTAATAAAAATATATGGCCCTGTATTTGATGATAGTGAGCAAAAATGAAAAAGGAGGCCAAATGAGGAACTAAAGACTATACATTGCAGTTTGCAAGGGGTTCAAGACTTGTTTGGGCAGGTCATGAATGGAGAGCAGATGGCTTTTTTATTAAAATGGTGTTGGTAAATTAAGAGAACGAAAAAGACCACAAGACGTCCAAGGCAAAGATGGCTTGATGTGGTTAGAAAAGACCCAAAGGAGTTAAAACCGGGATTGGAATAGAATCTTGGACCTAGCTTATGCACGAGAAATATGAGGAGAATAAATTTTAGAAGCAAATAGCCTTATCACTTAATTAGTTAGTTGCCATTGTAATCATCATAATAAACAAAATAATGAAAATGTTTTTCAGATACCCGTTGACTGATTCATACATAAACACCTAGGAATTTAATATGGTCAAGTGTAAATTTTCCCTTTTTTTTATAACAGCACTATATAATATTTAAAACATCCCATGAATATTTGGAAGTAATTCAAAAAAAGTTATACGGCACCATAATTTTAACTTGAAAATGTATACAATTTTTGGGTGTTCTTCTCAATTTTTAAGTGGAAGAGATGAACATTTCAATTTTTAGGCCAATAAAGTACCTTTTAAGAACTATTTTTGATCTTTAGACTTGAACATGAAGAAATCAGTACAGCGGTTTAGGAGACACATCGGACAAGACAAAAAATATAATAATGTTAATTTAATATACATATATATATATATAAACAAAGTATGGGGCTTTTAAGACGCCCAATGTCCTTTTCCGTTTGGGTTAAATAAATAAAAACTTCTTTTTTTATATTTACCTATGACTAAGATCAATAATGAAAACATTTTGATCTAGACTAAAGCACATACAATCCCATATAGTCTTTGTTACTTTAAGCTTAAAATAATTGTCATCACACATATCATAACTTTCATTATTCATAACACTCTCAGCCCAATAACCAATTTCTTGGTAACTGAAATTAAAAATAAATAATTTATATGTTAAAAAATATAAATGTTCAAAAAAAAAAGAATAAAAAATTAAGAGAATTAGTAAAATACATTGATACAATATTTTTGTTAACGAGCTAAAAAAAGTTCCGAAACTATATAATTACAATATAAACAAATAAATGTATCAAACTTGACATAAAAAAGATTAAATATAATTTTTTCTATACAAATGATTCATCAATTATTTATAAATAATACCTAATATAATTATTGATAAAATAATAATATAATGTTACCGATACTGGTAATAAACTGGTAAATTCCAACGCATTTTAAAATCATTATAACTTTCTAATGCATACAACGGCTGAGATTCACATTGGGAAATAGATAACAGATTTAAATGTTTCATAAATTCCTCAAATGTAATTTTATAATTCTACAACAAATATAAATAATAACATTGAATTATTGAATAGAATTTTAAAAAATACTAAATTAAAACTACTGAATAATAACATACTTTAATAAAAACATCTGGTTCTCTTAAGTTATAAATGCTTTTTAAATTGTTTTGTAATCGGGAGCTGATCTCAGGCCAATAGCTTTTGGTTATGAAATCAAATTTGTATAATTTCGAGTTCCTGAAAATTGTACTGTATAAGTGGTAGTTATGTACAGAAATTCAATTTGAAGTATAAAGACGTACAATATATTTAGCTCCACTGCCGCTTCGAGAAGATTTTTTAAATCGTGTAAAAGGAAGTCATTAGATTTGTTGTACAAACTATTTAACCCATCATTACAATTTACCAGATTATTTTCATTTAACAGAGATGCAATTTTGGGCGCAATCATTTCTGATCTGCATACATCTTCAGCTGATTTAATCCTCCCCAACGATAAATACAACTCAAGGTAGCGTCTTACTGTTTTTGAATTGGTTTTCAGCGAAGCAATAAACATTCTATTTAAATTCGTAATCAATAGATCATAAATTATTGTTTTTTTCTAAAAAAAAAATTATTTTATTAAAATTACATATCTTTAAGATTACTAATTTGTTAAACTTAAAACGTGATGTGGAAAGCAAAAATAATTAATAATAATAAAACAATATGGCCGTTAAGCGATACCTTAAAGTGTACTTGCTTAACAATTTTGCTCGATTTTTCCATGTAAGACGTAAGACGATTGTACTCGGCAATAACTCGTGTCAGAATTATAACATCACAACCATTATAATTTAACAACTTCTCTAATTTTTCAAGTGAATTTTGTACTTCAATAATAGCGTAATAAGCTTGTTTATTTTCACATAACCGTTTGTTTAATTGTATTTCTTCATCTAAAATTTGCAATGTATTTTCTAAATTCTTTTTAGCTAACTATAAAACATTAAAAATAGTAAAACATAATAATACATATAAAAAATATATAGATATCATAACAATAGGTAAAATAGTAATTCTATACTTGAACTGAATGACTAATTGAATGTAATCCAGGTTTTAAGGTTGCCAATTGATGATCAATGCCAATTAGTCCACGAGATAAATGAAAATATTTATCACAGTCATCATTCAAAGAATTTATCATCTTATTACGTAGATCTTTCAAAAAGATTCCCATTTCAACTCTCATGTTCTCTAATGTCATTTTATTACGGTTTTCAGTAAGGAAATCGTCAACTGAAAATGTTTCCTAGAAAATAATAATAAATGTGTTATTTTATTTATTCAGTAATTACAATTAAAAATACACATTTTGTAGGTATTGTGTAAAAATAATTATATTGTTACATGATTATATCAAACACTTTTTATGTGACTTATAGATGTTATTATGCCATATCAATTTAATAATAATAAACTAAAAACATAAATATTATATATGTTTATTACCTTTGAAAAAGTTTGCATATCAAATACATTAGACAAGTTATCATTGTCCATTTAGATTGATTTTTATAGGTACCAGAATTTGCCACTTTTTTTTATTAAAACATTTAAGTAAAATATATTTTAAATAGACTATTAATGATTAAAAAATTTGCCAAAGTTTTCAATTATTTTTTAACTATTATTATTATTTATGAAAATAAATAAGCAAAAAAATTAATTAACACCATTTTTATTGTTTAAATAAACAAATATTTAAAATAATATCCAACATTTAACAATCATAAATGCTCATTATCGATAAGCGTTATCACATCTATCTCCATGAGATAACACGATTGCCACGAAGCACTGAACTCTGAATAATATTAATATAGGGTGTTTCATAATCATGGAAAAATTGGATGTTTACAAAATTAAAACGCGTATTGCCTATAGTCGGCTGCTTTGAAAATATCCCCTGGTAGGCTGCAATTTTGGGTATAGTTATTGGTTTTGTTCATGATATTTATTGTTTTTTCTATGATTGGAGACGTCTTCTTTTAAATTAAATAAATATCTTCTTAAATATGTTTTCTTTATTTTCTATTATATTACTAATACTGGGAAGTAGAAACCACTAAATGAGTATAAAAATCGACTTTTTTTGGAAAGGTACTGCTACAAATATGTCAAATTTTTACCTTCACAGCTGACTCAAAACACTACTTACCACATAATTTAATTTTAACTCCCAATGTTTTTAAAAAGAACAAAGCTAATTATTAAAAGTAGTTTTTTTATATTTATTTTCTTAAAGCCTAAGTTATAAAGCTGTACTTCCTATACTCTAGAAATCGTTAGATTTTCCACCTCTCTATACATAGACCACTCGATAGTTATTTTCCCCTATGAACAGGGTATTAGCCTCATGTAATATCAATAATAATATTTTTCACACAACCAAATAGTAATATTATATGGTACAGCTTTCTAACATGTATAGTTTGAACAGTATTCACACTGTAAGTACTTTTTTAAGCTTCGATGCGGAGCTGAATTTACAATGATTTGTTTTTTTTCTGTGTCTGGGCCTACGATATCTTTTAACCGCTGAACCAATTTCTTTGTGTAGCAACTCTATAAATCAGAAATCGAACCTTATTGGGCCAAAAATGAATAAAAGTTTACACCTAAAATTGAGAAAAACATCCAACAAATTTATATATTTTTCAATATAAAACGACAGCGCTTTAATTAGTTATAGTTTTAAAATTTCCTAGAAGGGATAACTTTTTCTTTATTTCGCTTTTTTAGGTGAAGTTTTAGGGTTTTAGGTATGAAAATTAGTTACCTTTCATAAGGTAGAATAGAACTAAACATATTTAATAAAAAAAAAAAAAAAAATGTAGTCAAACATTTTATTTTATTTAGGAAAAAACAAAGAGGGGAGGAAATTACTCTATGCAGTAAATTTGCCTAAAGCCCATTTGGCTTTCCTTTTCCCAAACGGCTCCAGCCACAACAAAAACGTCAATTCCCAAAACGGTTAACGGCTTTTGTATTTCCATCACAATTGTTTATTAAACCATAAAGCTAATTAAAGATTCATTAAAGAATAATAAAAAATAAAGGTAAAACAAAATTTGGGCTTAAGTATAACACGTAAATAAAAAACAATACAAAATGATGAATATCTTAAAAAAATATTTACACAATAAGATGGATTTACTAATTATTGACTTGATAAAACATCCATATTCTACATAAAGTATTATTTCTAGTTAGTTTTATATAAACACAAATTATGCTAAAATAATTAAGACTTACATATCTAATTAATAATAAATGTAGAGGTACATTTATATTCTTTGTTAAATTGTTGAATTTAATTTAAATATTATTACTACTAAAATTATTATTGCAACAATTAGTTTTACTAGTAACTTGAAAGTTAGGAAATATATTTAATTTAAAATAAATATAATTTCAAATCATCAATAGTTCTATAAATAGGTAATAGTAGATCACATTTTATAAAATAAAATAAAGTATTTCATATAATATTAATAAAATAATACATCATGAATAAAAAATGTAAGTAATATGTATAATTTTTAATAACTAGGAAGTCTATTGTTAATTTTACCAAACATTGTTCCAGAGTAGGTTTGTCGTAAGAAATATGGTCTGTGCGCCATGCTAGTTCTCCTGACTAAAAACATTTATTTTTTTTAATGATTATTATATTACACTATAATGAGAAATCAATTTTTATAACTTACTGTTATTTTGTTTAGGGTGAGAAGCATTATTCCTAAGATCATTATTGTTTCTTAAATGAGTGTCACGCAAGTGTAAAGTTTTTGTATCTGTTACCGCACAATCGATTTGTATCATTGTTACAAAATCAGATCCTGTAAATAAAAATTTGTTTGTATTATTATAATTTATTATATAATAAATTATAATATAATATAATATAATATAATTAATAATATAATATAATTTATATATTTTATTACAATATTATAAAATAAAATATTATAATCAGAAATTAATTCTCTAGATCTTTATCTCCAGTAATATACTGGAGCAATAAAATATTTTTTATTTATCTATTTGTTATACGTTCTGAAACTTGAAAAAAAAATTAAAAAATAGTACCATTTTTATTCTTTCTAGGTCACTGATTATAATGTATAAAAAAAAACAAGCTTTAAATCTAGAAAACTGAAATATTAAGGGAAAATCATTTAATAAGTAAAGGTAAAAATACATTAGAATTTTGTGTAATTTTTTATTTTACCATTTGATGTTAACGCAGGAAATACAAGTGACATTTTGGGTCGATGTGTAGTGTTAGAGACATTATGACTTGCTGGCAATAATAGATGATCACCAGAAAAGGATACAACATAAAATGTATCTTCTTGTCTTTCGATTGAATCAAATAAACTTTCTTTAGCATCAAATTTAAGCTGACCAAACATTTCAATGAAACTGTTTTTAAACAGACTATCTCTTTGTTTCCTAAATAAACAATTAAAGAGAAAAACTTAAATATTTTAACTTCAGTTTGGCTAATATTTTTAGTTACTTCAAGTTGGGATTATGCGATTTTTCTTTTTTTTTATCCTTGCTTTTGACAGTTTTGTTTTGATTTATATTTTTAGTATTTGAATTTAGCATGTTCGAGTCAATTTGAACTACAGTAATATCGTCTTTATCCAAATTTATATTTCTTGGTTCAATCCATTTTCTTAGTTCACTATCAATTCTAAAATTATTGAAAGTTAATATTTATTGCAATGTTATATTACAAAGTTAAAAAAAAAAAAGATATATTTATACCGATGGTTGAAAAATCATTGTAATATAATGCCTTTTTACCTTTTTGACTCAGATACATTAATATACATAGGACACATTAAATGTTCAGTAGAATTCCAGGAAGAGTTAGTATCTTCAAAATCGCTGACCCACAAAATATTTCTACTGTGATAATTAAACTTATCAATGCTTTTTGGTTTATTATTTCTTAATTGATTCATAGAAATTCCAGAATTGTCAGATTGCCTTGAATTAAAGAGTCTAAATAGACAATTTTTGTATAAACATTAGATGTTAATGCTAAAACTAGTTATATTACCCTAAAGGAATGATATTGAAAGAGATTACTAGAACTACAGAAAGTATAGCAGTAGCTTTTTTTGCCTTTTTGATTAACGGTCGATCAGTTATCATCGATAGTTTATCAAATATTTTGAGTCTTTCTTTGAGAGATGAATTTTCCTAAAAAATAATTTATTGTAAATTATTATTTAGTTATTTGAAAACAGTGATAATTTTAATTAATTACTATTTTCAATTCTAAATTTTCTTTCTGCAGCATGTTCACTTTTTCTTCAAGTGATGTGACATATTCTTTTTTCTTTTTTCTTGATAAACTCGCTGCTTCTCGATTTCTAATCATTCGCTGATGTCGTTTTATTGCATTTATCTGTTATTAATAATTATTACATTTTGAGTCTGTCTTATGTTGACAATTAAAAAGTTTCTTTATGATTTACTTGATTATACTGTAAGGTAGTTGGGCTGTGAGATCTAGTCGTAGTTAAATCAACTCTAGGAATCGATAACCGAGAACTTATGTCTGATGTACTCGTTACCAACGGTGCTGTTGGAATAGCCGATTCAGGTTGAACTTTTATTTCTTTATGCATTTTAGTTATTTTCGAAAATTGATCTGGAGTTAACATGATTTTTTGAGAAACACTTGATGCTAACAAAAACAATGTAATACAAAAACAATACGTTAAAAACCCTAAAATAATTATAATTATTTATGAACAAATAATTGATAAAACATATTTTTATTATTATTATATTTATTAAATATTTTAAATTTCAATAGTTTTTGAAAAAATTACTTGGTGTCCTTGAAATCTTAATTGGACGTTGAACAGATTGATTAGTCAACATTGAAGAGACATTGACTAAAATACAAGATTTAAAATTAAAATATTAACAAGTTAAATAACTATTAAAAAAATACATACAGTTATTGTGTATCAGCGTACCAGTTCTTGAAGAAATAATTTTATCAGGAGTGAGTTTATCTGGAGTAGGTATAAAATTAAGTTTTCGAAATTGTTGGTTTAATTCAATTGGCTTAGGGGCAATAACTTTACTGGTGTTTAATTCAAATTCTTTATGTGCATTGGGTGATGAGCTATTTGACAATACCTGTAGCATAAAAACAAATAATTGTATAATTGCTTTACATTTCTGAAACTCCCTAACTTTTATGATATGTGTGAAATTGGCACCTAATTGTAATTCTACTCTTTAAATTGGGTTTTTTTTTTAAGTATTTACATATAAAGATATATTTTTTTTAGCTTCAATATTTTTTTTTTTAACCTAATTTTTTTTAAAAATTAATCAAATTTATTAAAAAAAAACAAAATTAAAAAATCTCATTTTAGAATTAGTACAACGGGTATGTTTAATTGTATCCCACCTGTTTAAAAAATATATATACCTGGTTTGATTCGCATGATGATAGTGAATCTACACTAGGCATAGATCCATTGGATGAAGGTGAAGACGGAGGAGAAAAGTCATTTTTTTCTAACTCAATACCTACATAATATATTAGAATTAGGTATTTTTAAATATAAGAGAAAAAAAATTCATATGAGCAACACATACCGTTTCCAAAACATGTTTCAATACTCCATTGCATTGCAAGGTCATTATCCAAATCACTGACTTCTGAATAGAATTTAACTTCATCATCAAATGTAGGAGATAAAGATTCCATCTTCAACTCATTAAACTAGATAATAATTTAACATAATACATTTAAAAATATTAAGATTGCATGTAAGTATAATTCAAAACATTTCGCTTACTCCAAAAAGTTCGTTTTTTGGCTCAACTAAAAAATCCATAGTTTCTAAAACAAAAAATTAATTTATAATTTAGTATGGCATGATTTATTAAATGTTAACATTTAACATTATAGCAGTATCAGTTATCAGTTAATAAAAGTTTATAAATGCCAATTTTAATAATGAATATTAATTTTATTTTAATAGTCCACTGAAATAACTAACGATTATATAACATTAGTAAAATTATACTTTTATTTACAAAAGAAAAAAACTTATTTTTAAGGGAAAACTCCTCCCCTCATTCATTTTTTAATCTAAATATTTTAAAAGTAATAAATATGCATGGTATTTAATTGGAGGGAAAATTTATCGCTACGTTAAATAACGAGGTTATTTCATCTAAATTCTACACTAAAATTGTATTATTAAAACGTAATATTTAGCGATAAAAAAAAATTAGGTAACTAACTCGAAAATAATTTACTAGACGAATTTTATCAGTTTACAGACAACAATCAATTGTGAAAAGTGATTAAAATGAAATTGGAATACACAAAAAGCTAAAACATAATCATAATAAAACCAATAGTATTTCAAACTAAATAAAGATGACTGGCGGTTATTATGATTGTTGATAATTTTCAAAATTTTTATTTATGAAATTTAACTAAACATTGTATCTTAAAGGAACCTTTTTTTAATTAAAACGTACATTTTTATGGTTGACTATAATAAGTGATTATTTTAATTTTTTTAATTTGCTCTTGTTAAGGGTTAAGAAAAACGTATTTATGAGCATCTTTAAACATGTTTAAAGACATGTTATTGTCTTTAAAATCATAATGAACGCCAACACATAATTACTCATTGAGTAATTATGTAATTACTCAAAAATAGCTTTGTTTTTAAATAATAATAACAATCGCAGTATGTCATAATCGGTGCAGCTGCATAGAAATTACGGTCAATTTGCAGTTTACATTAATGTGCGTTTAGAACAAATTAGAATTAAGTATTATTTATAAGTTTTTGTAAGCTAAATTTTACAATAATAAACAGGGGTGTATGAAAAATACTGTTGAAATAAGACAACAATATAAAATCACGTGTAGCAATGAGTATCACTTATAAAAGATGAATGGCCTTGAACTCAACACAATATAATGAAGGAGGGTCAATGATCTTGTCATTCCGGGCACTAGCCTATAGGATACTGTGCCCTCGCAAATACAAAAACGATGGTAAAAATATTTTGTATTAAAATTTCATTATGAGTTGTTAGACATACAAACAAGTCTTATTTATATATCTCAATAAAAACTATTTTGTATTTTAATGTTAAAAATATATCTAGATACAAATACATATTTTATTAATATATATATATTTTACTTTTAGCAATGAACTGTCGTCAATAAATGTTAAAAACGAGACTAGTTTTAATAGATTGAATTTAGTTTATATAATTGAAAATTACACTATATTTATTTAAGTATAGTAATAATTAAAATAAAAGTCAATAATCTAAAAACTTAATTAAATTGTTAAAAAAACGCAAAAACAAAAATTAAGTATGGCCAACTATTAATATTAACATTACAAGTCAGTATAATACTTAGTATACATAAATTTAATGACGAAAAATAAATAAATTTTACCTGGTATGCATAAATTTACTATACTTCAAATAGCGAGCTCCGAGATTAATACCTAGGTAATAATACCTATGTACTATATTAATATAGTAGCGTTTCCAAGCTAAATAATGTTACAATAAATAAAAAAGAACGGTAATAATTATTTATTATAAGAAATATGAAAATTCAAAACAAGACATACAACACAGTATAGATGCCGGCTACGATTAACTATACCATATTATTTAACCGCATCCTACCTTGTTACTTATTTAAAAACTAGGCGGTTAAGTGTTACACAGTGTAGCCATAATACATATTTTTTAACTTGGCCTTAAGAAACAATAACAAAAAAAATGTTACTAAAGTCTAAACAACGAATTCATAAAATAAAAAATATATATCAACATAATTTGCAATTTATTGCGTATTAAATTAATGTCACAAAAAGGTGGTCAATACTATTTAGTATTTTATTAAATATCACACAATATTTGTGTAAACTCGTGCGAATTTTAGAAAGGGGGGAGAACCGATTGGATGCTAGTTCAGATTTTAATCAAAGAAATATTATAATTTCTAAATCTTGTATTATTACTAAGTTTTAGTTTTTGCAGTCCTCTGAGAAAATCCAGATATTAGTTTTTAGAAATAATTGTCAATTGTATCTAACATAATATAATATTTAATATTGTATACTAATATATTATGTACTTTACGTTGGTAAATTTAATTATTTTCTAAAACAGATGGTTGTAGAAATTTAAGTGTTGGCTCAACATTCTAGTTTTTTTTTAATCATACAAATATATTTCCTAGCTTCTGTAATAGACTTAACCCTAGTTCCAGCGGGACGTATTAATAATTAATCGAACTTGATTGGCATAATCAAAAATAAATTTTAAAAAATATTGGCAACCTAATCTGGAAAAATGTAGAATTTGTATTATAATTTTTGAATTTTAAATTTAAACACGACAATTTAAATTGTTTCGTAATGATTTATTTAATTCTTCTGGATTTCTAGATTTTTTTTATATCTTTCGTGTTTTGTCTAATGGCGATTGGTATTGTCACTCAACTATACTATATTAAGGCAAAGTAATCAATTTGCTGAATGTTGAAATAGATATTTACACATTTGTGTTTACTGTTTACGAAATGATACGATTTGTTGAAGTTTCTATGTTGTGGTAAAATAGGTACCCAATTGCGTAATGACGAAGTGTAACCAAGTAAGATTTTCATATTATTACATGAGCACGGACTTATGTACTCTTAAAATAGCTGAAATATGATACTTATATTCTCTAATTCACTTAAATGCCAAAATATGCACTTATATGCTATATATCCCATAATTGTGCTGTGTGCTGTCATCTAAAAAGATGTGTTTTTACATCACAACCCCCTACTAATCCGGTATTCGCGAATAGAGACTAGACCAACCTTTAGCTAGCATTCCCACACGATAAATGGTAAAATTAAAAATTATTTTCAGAATTTCACTACAATTGTATTGCGCCTAACATTGAAAATTACCGTAGACAAAAAATTATAAAATAAAAAAAATCTTGTTGCAGCGGTTGAAATGTCCATAGATTTTTAATTGATGTTAGCATTTAAACTTGCATATCTTTAATTAATGAAATATGCAAAAGTATTCTTCTCTTACAGACAAAAAAAAAAGCTTTTAATACAGTAGACTATAAGCCAAAATCAATTATTTAGGTATAGGCGAGCCTCTTATGTTTTGTTTTCATGCTATCTTACTAGGTACTCTCAAATGGTAATAATTAAGCAGATAATAACAGATAAGTTTGATTTTTCTCTGGTATTCTATAACGCGGCTAAAAAATTATATTTACCTATTAGAAATTCTGATGATATTAGGCTTCTTCAATAGTACTTTAGTGCCATTAGTATTTATTTCATAAACACATTTATTAAATCTAAATACAATTTTTCAAGACCGTGATCTAGGTTTGTTATTGTCAGAAGATTTGAATTTTTTTAATATGTAAATTTAATTTGTTATAAAGCTAATAGAAATGTGAGATATTTAAAACGTAACTGTTAAAAACTTAAGAATCCTAAATGTTTGTCAGTAAAGCATGTATCTTTGGGTAAGATCAGTCTTCGAATTTAGTTGTTTTTTGGAATCCTTACCAACTCGGTCTCAAAAATAAATCAGAGAAGGTTCAAAAGCGGTTTCTGTGCAATTTATATGACTGGTATAGATAATAGTGAGGTTGTAATTAAACCTAATATTCGTACGTTAGAACTAGAAGTAATTTTGCAAATGGTTATTTGTCTACAAATAGAAATATCTTTCTTTGAGTACTGCTAGTCTTGTAAAACTATAACTTTTTTCTCTGTTGTTTTTGTATGAGGCATGTTGTATACTCATTTTACTTTTCAAGGGTGTACTTTAATTAAATAGGTAAACTAGAATGCATTCAAAAACTGTTTTTTTTTTAAGTCATGAAACTGAATATGGAATTAAGTATGACTTAACAAAAGTACAAATATTATGAAAGTGATAATTACATACATTTTATGGTAAACAAAATAAAAATTCCCAAAAAAGTTAAAAGATTAATAATTAATAGATAATTATAGATTAATATTTAATACTAAGGTTCTTTTTAGGTCCAATACCAATTGAATCGGACCCGGTAACTCAAACCTAGTCGTCATCCCATATTAATATGAACACACTAAATATTAATTGTTAAAAAAACATACATATATATTTTGTTTTTTATATCTTTTGTTATTTTCAATTAATTTTTTTTTTGTGGACATTAGTCGAAGGAAAAATGTTCGATGCCATAAATATATATTTGTATGTACTATTTGTAACAAACATAGATTTAAAAGAAACTGATGAACTGTAATTAAATTTAATATCCAGTTTAAGTGTTATATTTTAATTAAAAAATAAGTTATTTAAACAATATTTTAATCAAGCAAATTCTCAGTGTTTTGATAGTTACAGTGGTCAGCTTTTTCAATATCCTAATGCAGTCAGACACATCTATGCTCAAAAAAACAAAAAAATCATTCAATAATTAAACATTTTAAATAATCAACACCGAATACTGAATGTAAAAAATAGCAATATTAATTATCAACCTGCAAAATTTAGGTTTAAAAAATTATATATTATCATCAATTTAAATTAAACTGTTAAACAAATTAGTTAGTTATTATAAAAAGTAACTAATCAATTTAAAGTTGCAGAAGCTAGATAATACCCTGCCTTGAATTACCTTCCATGCCTTGGATTACATCATAAAGTTAACTATAGAAAAATAAGCATTAATAACAATAGTTTTTTTAATGTTCATTATTTCCACTTAAGTTTTTCAAATTTATACAACAATATTAGCTTTTTAAGGTAAAGTTTAAAAACTATAAAAAAAAGTATGTGGCATGAATTTAGTACAATAATTAGAATAATTTATACTCTATATTATAACTAGTTTTATACTAATTGTTATGAACAATAATTTTGAAGTTATCATTATAATGTAACTATAACGCTTACCTGATGAGGCATAATTTAAACAGTTAAAAACATTTTTGTTCGGCATTAAAAATGATTAATAGGCATTGAATGTCATCAATACCAATTACCAATAACAATAATCAATATGTCCCGTAATAATTTTTTAAAGGATAAACGTTACATTACTGTAACTTAATAACAAAATAATAAAAACAACTTATAATAACGCCAATAAGTAAATATTGATAAATTAATTCTTTTTCCGTATTTTACTATTATCCTACAAGTTCTAAAGTGTAAACAAAACGCAATTGTAATGTTAATTTGAAAACACTAAACATGCGGGGTTCTTCAACTATAACCACAGTAGTAAAAGTGTAGTTGATAACATAATGATAACACAATTTTTAGAGTTTTTAAAACACTAACAAAATATTAAGAGACATCACAATCATTTCAAAAAGTAAAATGTTTCAACACAGGATAAAAGGACTGTCATTTTTTTTCGTAGGATAACAGCAGTACACAAGTATCAAATCATCTATGAAAAAAGTAAGCCAACCATAATACATATAGGTACTATGCTCTAAATTTTAGGTCCAACTAACATGTAAAATAAATATCTCATTAAATAATGAATAAACTAGGTGTAAAATTGGAAATTTTTATATACCATTGGTTTGGTTATGAAGCATTTAGTCAATAAATAATATGATCAACAATGCGTTGCGTACAGCTCTGGTTGGCTTGGTTGCGTGATTGGTTAGTAACAAAATGTCTTCAGCAAACAACCAAGAATCAAATAAAGATGATAGCAATGAACAATATAGTGAGTATTAACTATTATTGATGTAATAAATTAATAGTTTATTACAATAAATAACATTGATTAATTTTATGCTTCCCCAAAAATATCATAATTAATTTTTTTTTTGTAGAAATAGTTTACATTACATAAGACTTAAGTGAAATTTTTGTTAAAAAATTAAGAGAACTAGATATTTAGGACTTCCCATAAGATTCCTACTTGGGAGCTTTATCTTCCACAATCATTTACCTTAAAACAATTTAAACAACTATTATACTTGAAACTCAAAAACAAACTTAAGCTAATCACTATTTGGAAAAATGTAAGTCTTATTTTGTTCTATTGCAGTTGTATCAACGTCTTTAATTTTATGTTAATGTTTTAAAACTATTGCATGTGTTTTTCTTATATGGACTGAATGTGATTTTAAAATCTTCAGTTTAATTAATTTCTAAATACTAGTAACCACCCCATCCTTCTATCACTGTATTTTTTTTTTGTTGGTTATCAGAATTTAATAACAAATAGTTAAAATTTTTATTAAAACTGTAGTTTTTTTTGACAAAAATGAATTGGCATAAGTATAAAGGGAATTATTAGTTAAAAATCAGATTTAGCTTAATATTTTTTTTTATTAGTATTTATTAATGAAAATAATTTTTAACTACAGATTTATCTCATATGTGAGCATATTGAACATACTTTTACCTTTATTTGTTGTTTTATGATAATGATTTTGGTTTAAATAAACACTTCACGCCTCCACTGGCATATAGTACTGTAGTTCTACAAGGTATTTGGTCTGCTAAAGCATTAAATACCTTTTTAGCTTTGCATCAAATGTAAATTCTTGTATTGAAACAACTTTGAGACCAGTTCAAAATTGATCAGAAAAAACCTATCCAAATAATATTATTAACTAATATTTTATCAATTTTTTATAAGGATATAACCTTTGGTTAGGTAGAATATAAACATGGTTGTTAATTGGTATTGTATTATACTGTTGTAATGTAATAACTTGCCAATACTTATTAAAATCATTTTTTATTACAATTGTTTTATTTCTTTTAAATTATGAACTACAATTCATTATTATTCTAATTTATTTTAGAAAATAGTAGCGTCCTGATACAACAGGATGTAATTATAAAGTACTGTGACTCTGTCTATTAATGATAAAAATTTTTCGATCAATGTATTATAATTGTGAGTTACTCATTGATACTTAAATCGAATTATACTTCAATACTTATTTTCTATTTCTGTCAATAATTGTATGATACATATTTTTATTATATGGTATTTGAATAATGACGGGAAATTTTTAAAATAATAAATATGTTCAATAATAGCTGAAGTTAGTAAAAACCCAATTTCGAGGAGATGGACCTCTTGTTGATGATGGACACCCGTTTTCAAATTCGCAACTTTAAAATACAATAACTTAAGTAATTTTTTTAGCTGCTAAGGTATACCAAATCTCAAATTGATAAAAAATTAATCAAGATTCAGAAAATAGTGCTAACTTAATTTTGGAGAATGCTGACATCAGGTCCCTTATTTTCACTTATCACAGTACATGACATATCTTTTATTATTATGTATTTATTAAATCATGCAACAGTATAATATTCTTAGATTCATTTATTACAGCCGTTAGTATGACAGCAATAATAATAATAATAATAATAGCTTTAAAAAAGCCAGCATAGTGAAGACGGGGTATAGTGTGGACAAAACATAGTAGAACTAAAGTAGTTGCAAGTCTTGTTTTTTTTTTTTTTTTTTAAGAATTATTTTCTTAAAGTGATATAATATCTTAAAAACTTGTTTCAATACACAGCTATAGGTACAATTTGTTACTATTAGAGATATCCTGTCTATCCTAATAATTTGTTGCCAATGAAAGTACCTTTCAAATGAAATTTTTAATCTATAAACTTTGTACATGAAGAAATTAGTTTAGTGTATAAGGTAATATAGTGGGTTCAGACAAAAAACTAAAAATAAAAGTATAACATTGTAAAATCAATACCTTCTTTTTTTTATAAAGTTTTACCCACAAAATAGTCACCTTAAATATTATAGTATAATATCACCTTATTATTTAAGTTATTACAATTTTTAATACCTTTTTTAGTTTAGCAATGAAGCTAAAAAATCGGTAGTAAGTGGAAGCTTGTAATTAAAAAATTATTTTGCGAGGAACAAATAAGTGAGGCGGTATTTACAGTACCCGTATACATTATTCACAATAGATAGAAAAGAACTCTATCTATGCCGTACCGTTTTTAGTGTTTTGATAAGTTAAACACAATCAAAATTATTCGTAATCATTTGTAAAGATTACTTTTCCCCTCTTTTTTTCATTTGTTTATAAAAAAACTTTAAGTGTGGATATCAACAAAAATTAAAACACTACGGCATAGGTAAAGTTATAATGTATCTTCTCAGTAGATTGTTTTTGAGATGTTTAAAAACATCATACTTTTTTAACAGTATTTTATTTTTAATAATTTAGTATTGACCTACTCCTCCTCCTTAGAAGAGAAGGTAGCGCATAAGGGAGTTTAGCTCCTCTAAATATTTCGCAGCTCCCTCATACATCTTTGTGTTTGTAACAATAAATTAAATGTAAAAAATGTTTTGTGCGCAGAAAACAATTTAATTAAAATATTTAATTATATGCCCAAATAAAGCTGTTGCATATAAAGCTTGTTGCTATGCTCCATAAATAATATAATTTAAAGGAACAGTTAACGCCGAGTAGAATTGATCAAATCGCAAACTTAGAAGTAATAATCCGAATTACTTTGTCAAGATACTAAAAATAAAATAACACGAGTTAAAAGTATTTGGCACGATCATTTATCAAGTAAAGATTATATTTTATAATTCAGGTAGAATTGATCACCCGTTAGGTTAAGTTACAAATCGTAATAATTTGTTGACGTTTTTATCATTAAGCAATTTCGTTATCAACTGTATAGTAAAAATATTTTCCATAAACCTGTTTACTATTGCCTTATTCATACATAGAAAACTTAAAATGTCATATGGTCATAATGTGATCCCTACTTCTTTTTTTGTGGGTTTTTCCTTGATTAAAAAAAAGTGACTACATTTTTGTAAAAATCCTCTGACTAATTTTCAAATCTTAACCCCAAAGCTACGCTTAAAAAAGTTTCCACCCCGTTTATTAAATTTGTTTTGGTTTGTCAATGTATATTAATACTACTATAAGATATATCTAAAGAATATACAACACAAGTTCGCAACTACTTTGGTCATTTTTTTTTAAAAGTTATTTCTGACAATAATTTAAAGACGATAAATATTTTGGATGACCTTCCCGAATTCGAAGTGGAAATTAAGTTTAACCGAGTACAAATTAATTACGATTTCTAAACTATAGAGTTTGCTACACGAAGAAATTGGTTGTGAACGTAGGCCCAAATACAAAGCTAATAATAAAAATACATCATTGTAAAAACAGTTAAATCAAAACTTTATACGTAAAAAAAATGTCAAATAAAAAAAAAACAAAGTTTTGAAAAGTAATTTTTTAGCATTTTCTCAGAGTAAAATGTAATAATATATCAAAAGGTGTAACTTCAGCTAATCGGATCCTGTAAAATCTATTAGTATGTCGTTCTTACATGAAATGTTAAGCATAAAACATATTTTTTATTCTTTAGTAAAACTTGAAAGAGTATATTTTAGCAAATGTATACTTTATAACTAATTATGTGCTTTTAATAACATTTTTTTCTAATGCTTATACAACTTTAAAATTTGGATGAAACAACTTAAGTGTTAAATTAAGAAAAAACGATCACACGCATATATGTGCGCATGATATTGTTTTATATACTCGACGAGTGCTCGAACTTGGCAAAGCGACTGCCTACTCAATTGGAATGTCGTGTAGAAATTCTGAACACAAAAAAATAAAACTGATGACTGAATATAGAAAATAACCTTGGCCGTTTGAGGAATGGCAAGCGTGACGTAATTAATGTTAGTTTGGTACTTTTAATCCAATAGCCAACTGTTATACTGGTATACATTAGTGTTAGAAATACTGAGCAATTATTTTTAGACTTTAGATTATCATTGATTTTTATTGACAATAAAAAATAATAATTATTGTAGGTAGGTTCTGACTCTCCGAGTATACTCCGCTTGTTTAGGCAACTCTATTTTTAGACATTTTTATCTGGACGTGCAATAGAGATATATGTATGTGTTTAAAGCTTACGAGTAGCACAGGCTCCAGAGCCGCGTGTGTATATTTTGTTGTGTATTAGTTTTTAAAAATCGTGTTATTATTATTATTAATAATTAGGAGTGGGTGCCGATGATAAGTACAAAAAATGGACTAACAACATTAGTAACACCAGTGGCGGAAACAAATTTGCAAGGCGTGCTCGATCGTTTAAAGAAGATTTACTGGACATTATATCTGCAATGCGGTCGCCTAGTCATAGCGGAATCAGTTCCAGGAGCATTTCTCCTAGAAATGGAATACCAAAACAAAGGCACGCTTCTTCGGGAAGCAGTCCTAAAAGATCTCTCAACGATATTGATTTTCATGTTAGACAAGTATGTTTAACCATTAAAAATTATAAATACTTTGTTTTAACATATTATTACTTTTAACATCCTGCTATTATTATTAGATTCAGGTAGCCTTAAAACATTTTCTCGATGTTGTTGCAAAAAACAAATTAGAAATGTTGCCTGGAAATGGAACAGTAGTTTTAGAAACTGTTACTTCTATTTGCGGAGTATTTAAATCCTATGATATTAATGAACAAAGTTCTCTGGTAGTGTCGGCTTTGAATCAAGTATATCAAAGTGTTGCACAACTTATAAAACTCTGTGATGATGTTCTATTATCTGGAGAGAAAGCAATCGACACTAGCAATGTATCGGATACATTACACTTGGTCGACTTGGCTATTCAGGTAAAATATTGGTTATTTTTAAATAATTCACCTAATATAATTATATTAATTTAATATTATAGAATTTAGTGTCCTTAACAAACAAGAAAATAGGTCAAGGTACCATAAAAAGTGTTTACAAAGATGAAGACTCTCTTAAACTACCTGATGAATTAAAACAAAGAGTTTCACTTCCTGATATTCCATTAACACTGAGAGAAAGAGAAATATTGGAACAAACCAGCAACCACTCGTTTGACACTCTTGATAGTGTTTCTCATTCTAAACCCCCTTTACCTGATAGGTAAGCCCTATAAATATATATTATTTATAGTAAGTAATAAAGGCAATTATTTATTGTGTTTTAGAACATGGGAACAAAATGACAATAAAAATAATTCTCCCCCGCCTTTACCTCCAAAACGTCGTACTGGTAAAAATGTCGCTAAGTTTTATCCGTATAAAGTATCTTTAGAACCATTAAGTTTATCTGATAGTTCTTCATCAATTGGTTCATTGGATTCAATTTTAAATGACGATGAAGTTAACATTGTTATGTCTCATGACGATAGTTCATTTTTAACATGTATGTGATAAAAAATTTAATTTTTAAATATCCAGTTGATCAAATTTATATTAAATTAATCATTACCTCGGTGTGTGTCTAGGTGATATAAATCATGTTTGTGGTTATTGTAACTGTTCTTCAAGTTCCGCTTCGGTAGATCAAGGCAACGAAAAAAGAATATCTCCATTTTCAGAGTACCCACCACAACACAGTATGTATCATACCAAACTATTACAAGTCCCTTCTAAAACTCTAATTATTTTTAAAATAGTTATTTCGAACTGATGAATAATTTAATAAAATATATATGTTACCTTCAAAGTTTCAAAAATTTCCTGTATTCTTGCTACATTAGCCATGTCTTCTAGTGTCTCTCCTATAATTTCTTAAGTTAACCGAAACCGAAAAATCGTATTGTACTATGGTTAATCTGCTCAATTCTTTTATTACCTTTTCTAGTGCTATATTGAACATGACTGAGGATAGTGCACACCACGCTTAAATCCTGACAATCTTGAAGGGCATCAACATAGTTTTGTCTACCCTTGCTCAATATTGTGTATCCACATAACTTGCTTAAATGTTTCAGTTTTTTAGGGAATTCTAATTCAAGCATGAAGTTGTATAAACTCTATGTACGCTGTCATATGCTTTTTGAAATCTATGGATAATTGTCACATATTTGGTTTGGCATGAGCTAACACATAAGTGTACTTACATAAATATTTTGCTGATTAAGCTTCTATTTTTTGTATTTATTTTAACCCTCGGGTAGCCGCGCCTTTTCCCGGATACCCCATCCACGGCAATATGCAGCACGGAGTGCCGTCGTGCTGGTGCCCAAGTGTTGAATTTTTTTATAATTCTTGAAATTAAAAAAAAAAATGTTTGGTTTAAATAATATTTGTGTTTTATTTTGGTCTTTATTATAAAATTAATTCACTATTGACTAAACTTACTTGTATAGTAGTTATGTGGTTAGAACTAAATAATAACCATGAGCAATTGAAATAGTATTTTAAAACATTTTTTTTAAAGCTTTATTGGAAAAGAAAACTGCATATTTTCAACAAACTTCTAGTCAAGCATGGACGAAACAATCAAAATCTATGTCAGTACAGCAAATTGATAATCAAAAAGTGGTATTAAATGATATCAATCAATCAATGAAAAATGAAGTAAGCTGGTGTAATAAAATAAAATAAGTTTTGTTCAATTTGTTATGGTAAATAATGTATATTTTTATGTTTTGTTAGATTCCACCGCCAGTACCCGAAAAAAAACGTTCAGTACGGCTCAAAGTAACACATGAAAATTTATCAATGGATGAAATGGCTACACAATACAACTTCCATAGGAATAACAGCCATTGTAGTATTCAAGCTTTGACACACACTGCGTCACTTGACAATCCAGTTGCCGATGCTTCTAATCCACCACCTTTACCATTGAAAAAAAAACACAGTAAGTAAATTTCTGTTTTATTGTCCTAATAATATATTTTATAGACTAAAAAGCCTAAACTTAAATATTGTAACCAAAATTAAGTATTATCCTTAAAAATTTTTATTTATGATTACTGAAAATGATAACATATTTACTCACTAGAAAATATTATGATATTCTGTGATGGCAAAAAAAATATTTAACATTGGTAAAAATTACTAATGAGTACACAAATATACAGATTTTACAAAAAAAAAAAAAAAATATTGTTTTAATTATCTAAAGCCTTTTAAATACATATATTATAATAAAAATACAATACATACTATACTCGTTCACAAATAAGATGGCTTGTGCACGAACGACCAAATTACATTCGTTTCAGATCAGAGTAGCTTTACATCCTTTATTTTGACAACATATACTAATGATTTTTATGTAAGAGGTTGATGTTTTTTTGTGGTAAGTAGGACAAACTTAGTTAACCAAGTGATGGAAAGGTAGTTTTGGATGATTTTGGTAGACTTCTTCCTGAGCCCTAACGTAAGAGGTGTTTCTGATTTCTTGACTATTACTTAACTTCATAAAGTACATATAGGTATTATTTTATATAATACCATACATATACAATATAGTATATTTAAAACATTGAATTATTGCCAAGAAATATTAGTTCGAAAAGTTGTATAAGCTAAAAAGGTGACATTCATGAAGGTAAAACTTCTTAATCATCTGGACATTATCACACAACACATATTCTCAAAATGTAATATTAATTTTAATGTTTAAACTCCATGTGACTTAAAATTGTTAAATCTATTTTTCTTTAGTGTTTCATTCGGTGGCTTATTCTGGTAAGACTTATTAACATAATAAAGGTTTTTTGCATGTTACTAATTTGTTTGTTTTCCTTAGCTTTGTATAATGTTTTTAATTTAAATTTCATAAGAATTAGAATAATATTGATAAACTTTAATTATTTTAGTTATGGCGTATATGGAAATGTTTGGAAATTGTTCTCATGGAAACACAACAGAATTTTTACGCCATTCAGTCCATACATATACGATGCTTCATCAGACTAATTGGCATTCACCTCAAAAATACCAAAGTGAAGTTCAAAGTTATAGTGTTGAAAATTCGTGTCAACAATATTATATTACTAAGTATGTTGTAGATTTTTTCAGTTAAACGGTTAAAATATGTAAAATTGTAATAACTGCTTTCAGTGATTCTAATCCTCCAGCGTTGCCTCCCAAACGAGGAAAAATAGTGTCTCCTTATAAAGAGTTAACGCCTTCAAAATCTCCAAACAAAGTGTATGTAACTGATGTTAACGCGACCCCAAATACGGCTCATTGCTTAGAAACTCAGTAATATTATTTAAACAATTTTTTAACTAAAACTATAATTATTTATACATCAAAAAAATATTTTAAATTTAGGGAAATGGCATCAAGTGGTTCTGAATCCAATCAAGTTAATATCGATGAAACCAACATAATGGAAGAACTTAATGTTTCTAGTTGGCTATTGTTTAAAAAGCCTGAAGAAGATGGGCCTCTAGTTCGCGGCGGTCATTCTGATGCGCTAGTCGTCCTTGCTACAAATGTGGTGAAAAATGGTAAATTCATATCAATAGTTTTTGTAGTTTTACACACACACACACACACACACATATATATATATATTTATTTATTTATTACTAGATAGCCAACTTTTTTTTTCATGGAAGCTTGGTGGGGTCATATGCAGTGTGGTCACTGTTTATATTGTGTTATTGATATTTCATTGTATTATAATAATAATCATACGTCTTATAGTAATTTAACTTTTACTAAGTAAACCTTATACCTCGTTAACACTATAAAATATTGGTAACATAATGTAACATTGATCACACTACATATGGCTGCCAAGCTTCATTTTTGAGAATACGCCTAAATGCATGGTCGGTCATCTAGTAATATATATCTATGAGTTTTTACAAAAGTCATAATAATTATTGGAAATTGTTGATTTAGATTTTTTGTATCAAGAAGCATTTTTAACAACATATAGAACATTTTTATCGCCTTTGGAGCTCATACACAAACTTTGCACGCGACATCAAAGATTCCAAAATTCAGGGGATCTAAATAAACATCGGGCCGGCCGAGAGTCTTTTTCACTATTGGTGAGAGTTGTTAGCGACTTAACGTAAGTATTGTGATTATGAAAAATTACAAAAAAATATTAGTTATTATTCAGTATACTGAAAATATAAAAAATTTTAAATATTGCAAAAAGTGTACATTTTTTAAATTATTTTTAGATTAACTGATTTGGATGAAAAAGTGTTACAAGTTCTTATGGATTTTGTATATCAATTAGTACGTGCAGGTGATTTAACCATGGCCAAAGCTCTCAGGGTTAAACTTTTAGAAAGATATCAAGCAAAATTGATGCATAATACAACAGTTAACACTCTTTTGCCTTCACAAAATGTTTATACTCGTCAAGCAACATTATTAGATTATAAAACTGAACTTATCGCAGAACAAATGACAATGTTGGACTCTGAACTGTTTATGAAAATCGAGATTCCCGAAGTATTAATATGGGTAAAAGAGCAAAATGAAGAGCGCAGTCCTAATCTTACTGAGTTCACTGAACATTTCAACAAAATGTCTTACTGGTATGTTTTAATGTTTTGTAGTATTTAATGTTATACAAAACTACTTTTATTATAACTTTTATGTTTTGTTATGTTAAATAAAACTTAAATAGGGCGAGATCACGTATTTTAGAACAAAGTGAAGCTAAAGATCGTGAACGCTATGTTTTAAAGTTCATAAAAATAATGAGAAGCTTACGTAAAATGAATAATTTTAATTCATACCTAGCACTATTATCCGCGTTGGATAGTGCTCCGATTAGACGACTTGAATGGCAAAAGTACATAACCGAAGGGTTAAAAGAGTATTGTGCATTGATTGATAGTTCATCTAGTTTTAGAGCTTATAGACAAGCTTTGGCTGAAACAAATCCTCCTTGCATTCCATACATGTGAGTACCAAGTTTTTATAAATTTTCAACAAAAATTATTTCTGTTAAATAGTCTGCTCATTTAGGAGGTTATTATTAAACTAAAATTTAAAAAAAGTAGTATAAATGAGTACTTATTTTGGAATAAGTGGAATTTCAATGAGGATGCTTTCCTAAATGGTTAAACAACTTTTTTTTGCCCTACATGCAGAAGGCTAGTCTATTGCAACAACCCCTATAGCAACAGTCTTTAGCAACATGTATGTATAGTAACACTGTATGTTGGTAATAGCGTACTACAAACATTTGTTAAGTTAGGAAATAGTAGACATGTGTTGCAGTCACTACAGTAGAAAGGACGAAATTTTTTTTCAGTATCAAAAATTGTAATAAAAAAAATTTGTGCTTGTTCATTTTTAGTTCTCATTACTTCAATTAGGGCTTTAACATTTAAACAATTTTTGTTTGATGTTTTTATTATAATATAAATCAAGATTGTAATTTGTAATTTTTTTTTCAGAGGACTTGTTTTACAAGATTTAACATTTGTGCACATTGGTAACAATGATTATTTATCAGAAAATATTATAAATTTTTCTAAAAGATGGCAACAATTTAACATAGTAGAAAATATGAAACGATTTAAAAAAATGTATGTTATTTTTAATTAAAATAATTAATATGTTCTTCCTCATATTAAGTTTCATTCATGTTTTTGTATGCATACAAATTTTAGGGGCTACAATTTCAAAAAACATGATCACATCATTGCGTTCTTTAACAACTTTGATGAATTTCTCTGTGAAGAAGCTATGTGGCAAATCAGTGAAAGCATCAAACCAAGAGGAAGCAAAAAGACTACATAAAGTGGTTAATATTTTTTTTCATTTTAATCACAAGTTATTATTTAATTTTATATGCAGTGTGTTTAGTCTAGTCATTTTAAGTATGACTAATGATTAAAGAATACGTATGTTAAGCTTACTTAAATGTCTCTAATGTTATAGAATATCTAGTCATTTGAAAAAAAATTACTCATTATAATATTCTCTTCTTTCATCTTTAAAACTTATATTTTTTACCTTTTTTATTTTTTTCTTATATTTTGTTAATGATTTGTTGTTTTAAAACTAGTTATTTTAATTCATTTTTTTTTTTAAGTTTTTACTATAGATAATTTTATAACAAAATCATGTATACTTAACCAATCTTATTTATAAAAGGTGGCTCTAATTTATAAAATAACTTTTTTTAATTATTAATGTAAACTATTACTAATTGAGCGAACAATTTTAAGTTCCTATTTTACTTAATTTTCTAAAAAACTTTTATCATTATTTATTCTTGTCAATTTAAAGTGCAAAGTTTAAATTAAACTTTTATTTTTTTAGTTTTTATAGACATTAACAACTATCTATAAACATCTGTCTAAAAATGACATGATAAATAGAAAAATGACATATTAAGTATTTCAAAATAAAAATATTTGTACAACATAGGTGTAAATACACATTTGAATTATGTAATTATATATTAATATCAATATAGTAGTAACTATTTTAATGTTATTACAAATAACAAAAATGAAATTTACAAAATTTCATTAATATTAAACTTGAGATTAGGGTTAGCGTTGGCGCTAAATTGTTAGAGTCTTCATTTTTAAATAAGCCATTATCATTTATTTAAATTTAACTTTACTATTTATCTAACTTATTATTGTAAAATATTTATTTATAAAACAAACTAGGCAGATATAACTTTGTAGCTAATTATTTTTTTATTTTACTTAAGAAATGCATATCTAGGAAATCACCGTGTTGTAAAATTATATAAATTACTTTTAATCATATCATTAAAATTAGAATTTATGATAATATATGATCAAAATAATAATTAATTATATATTAATTTGGTTTTTTGGTAATTTTACTATTGTGACTATTATCTTAGATTTTTCAAAAAAATTAATTACTAATGAATTATTTGGCTTTTTCGGTAATAGTATTGTATAGTTTATAAAATACAATTATTTTTAACAGCATTTCTTATATATATATATATATATATATATATATATATATATATATATATACAGCGTTAATTTTTATTTTATTTTACTGAAAGTAACATAATTGAGCCTGGTAAATTTCCCCCAAAAAATGTTTAATATCAATCTCTCTTTAAATGCACAGTCTTTGATTACATTTTAATTAAGTGTCAAATGTTCTAAAATTCAAAATTATTATTTAGGTAAAACCAACTGGTTTTTTGTTAATAAGTAACTCTTCTCTAACCCCGCTGCCTATCAATCAGAACTAAATTTATACAGTAATTTCAAGAAAACCTAGTTATGATTTCCATATAGATACTGGATATAAAGAAGCTAAATTAAAATTGTTTAGCCCCCAAATATAAAATTGTATAGTTAATGAAATGTAAACACTAATATTTATTGCTTCATAAATTTCTTGGTTTTAACTGGTCTAGATAAAAAATACAAATGTAATTATTTTAAAAATTCCTAATTTAATGTTACTCGGTGTTTGTTGCAATTTGATTAATTGTATAGTATTAAATTTGTTAGCTATAAAGAAATTAGTTATTTATAAGTCCTTTTAATGTGCATTAGAATATTACTAATTAGTAAAATTCAAAACCAACTTATTTTAACAGCTCAATATTTTTTTTTTAAAACATTTGTACTATTTAATGCTAATATTACTTATGGAATTGCATAGCTGCTTATTCCACTAATAAAACATAAGTTAATAATATATAGTTGGCAATTTTGTTATGTTCAAATTCTATTTTTTAATAAATATAGGTACATAAAAATAAATTATCAAATGAAGATGACTTAAAAATTGTGTGTTCACAATTTTTTTGTGACTATTGACAAAATATATTGTAAGGTATTCCTATTCCCTAATGTATAATATTAATTTATGTTACAATTACCAATTTACAACAGGAAGTTTAAATATTATTGTTGTGGGAATACTATTATCCATTTTACTTTTTCATCTTCACAAACATTGTTACACAAAAACGGAACATTTTTTACTGAAAAACATTAGTAGTTACGCACTTCTGCGATGATGCTAAAAAATGAGAGAAAAAGTATTTTGATATGTTTGATTACAATACATATTCTTGGTACACCTCGTTATTTAATAATTATTAATTTTTTTTTCGAGAATTCCGGATCCGGTCTTGTACGATCGGTCTGTTAACTATTACGACCTGATTTGCCGTATTGAAAAATCCCACCGGAGAAAAATAAGGAAATGAATAAAACAGGGGGAGGAGGAGGGTAGCTTGGACGCGGTATTCGGCAGGGGAAAAAAACTCTGGAATCACTTTGGCGAGTGTGGTTATTCAAGGTATTCGTGCACAAAACAATTTTTCCAATTTCGAACGGTTATTTATTGTAAAAAAAAAAACTAATATTTATTCCAATTGTTATATTATATCTGTCAAGGATGCTATGAGATTTCGAAAAATAAATAAACTACCAAAAAGAGTCAAGATTACTTAACTAATAATTAAACATCACAGTTAAGCCTTTAATTACGATTTTACAAAAAATTGCCTATACCTAACTCCTTTATAAATAAGGGGTATAACGTCATCTTAAGAGTGAGGCGAAATAATTGTTCTGGCGGCGAACTGCGAAGTGTCCGGGTCCGAATTTATACTTTTCGCAGTGGTATCACCACCACAGTATCATTGCTTACGACAATAGTCGTGCTCGCACCACCCTCCCCGGATACTCCGTCTAGTAGTATAAGGTCTATGCATATCACCCACTATTTTCACATAGTCTGTATATTGTGTAAATCATAGAAAAGTTAGATGATGACAACTCATGTTTGATAAATCATAGAAAAAACAATAAATATTATAGACAAAACCAATAACTGTACACGAAATGGCAGCCTCCTACCAGGGGACATTTTCATAAGCAGCCGACTACAGGCATTCCATAAATTGAGTTCACAGGTTCACTGCTCAGTAATAAATATTAAATAGTAGCACAACGGCCTACACCTCGCAAGTAGCAATGTTCGTAAGGCGGCTAAAAGAGTTTTTATCTGAAAATATGAAAAAGCGAGAAACTGCTAGCGAGATACTGCTCTTTCCTCGTGTGCAACTCGTAGAAATTATTATTTTTCAGTGAGGATCCATGTTATATTCTGTCGCGTTAATGATAACAGCGGGTTATCAGTGCTGACTATATAAAATACATCGAGATAAAGAATACACTGGAGCGCGCACCCGAGAAAAAAACAACCCACCATCCCCACTACCGTACGGCAAAAACGTATAGTACGTAATGTGTTACGCCCCACCACAGTACGGTAACCGTATGCCGGGCGGCGGCTCGTTTTTTTACGTGCTGTGTTAGGGAGTCCGCGCTCTAGTGTATTCTCTATCTTGATGGTGTTACCTTAAAACATCTTTTGTACTGATTGAAAATTTATAGATATGAAAAATTGACCGTTAACTTTATCAAATATCAATTTTTAGGTCTTACCGTAGTCGCCAGTCGGTACTAATTATTATCAATTGCAAATTGATTTTACTTTTGAACTTTGAAGTAGCGTTATGGAATTTCAATAGTCCACACTATAGAAAACAGACAAGATCACACTACATACTTGATACTTGTATTCAGATAGTGTGGTTGTTTGCATTAAAGTAAGTGTTTTATACTTCCAGTAGTATGAAGTGTTACAATGGATAAAGACTTAGATTTTTTATTTGCTATTCAATTACAAAACGAATTGATTGATCTCACTAATTATGAAGAAAATGGTTTCATAGATTTAACTCAATCTTCATGTAACGTTACAATTGATTTGACAAAATTTAAATCTGAAGATAATGAACTTAAACGTGAGTTAATAAGCTCATCATCACAAACAACAAAAAAAAAGCGTTCAGATGTTGAAAGTATTGTGGATCATTCATGGGAAACTATAGATCCAAATCCTGATGTACATGGATTATTTTTGGCGTTTAATCGTCAATATTTTTGGAATACTCTTGATTCAGTTGTAGTTAAATGGAGCAATCGAATGACAGTTTGTGCTGGTTTATGTAGGTATCAAAGTGGACAATGTTCTATAAGTTTAAGTGAACCTTTGCTAAAACTCAGACCCCGTAAAGATTTAGTTGAAACTTTATTACATGAAATGATACATGCATATTTATTTTTAACTAATAATCGAGAACATAGAGATAGAGATGGTCATGGACCAGAATTTTGTAAACACATGTATCGTATCAACAAAGGAGCTGGTACCAATATATCCATTTATCATAATTTTCATGAGGAAGTCAAATTATATAAACAACATTGGTGGAAATGCAATGGACCATGCCAAAATCGTAAACCATTTTATGGATATGTTAAAAGAAGTATGAATCGAGCACCTAGTCCTATTGATTCATGGTGGGCTCAACATCATGCTACATGTGGTGGTTCTTTTATTAAAGTAAAAGAGCCTGAAGGATACGGAGTGAAAAAAAAATCTACCAATTCCAAACCACAAATAAAATCAGCTAATAAAATTACCAACTTCTTTAAAATTCCGTCTTTACCTACAAAACAAATAGAAAATTCTTCGAATATTCAGGTAGTGGAACCAGAACAATGTAAAGGTAACAGTAGTTCTCAAGATTCTATTCAAAGTGATGATAATGATACTACATTATGTCCAGTTTGTAATGAAACAGTTTTTACTAGTTGGTTGAACGTTCATTTGCAAAACTGCAATAGTCTTAAAGAAATGTTTGGTGGTGAAATGGAAGATACTTGTAAATGTGTAGTTTGTAATGAAACAGTCGAAAGATATTTAATGAATGAGCATCTGGATAACTGTAAAGGTTTGAATAATGTATTTGACAATGCATCAAACAACACAAAAAACATTAATTATGTTCATTGTCCTGTTTGTGATAAATTAGTACTAGAAAAAAATATCAATGAACATTTGGATATTTGTACATTGGAAGAAGAATCTCCTATTGAAAGTCATTCAATGAAGCAAGTAAGCTGCCCTTGTTGTGATAAGAAGTTTAAGAATGTAATTGAATTAGATGATCACATCGACAGATGCTTATTAGGAAATTAATGTGATTATTAAATATTATTAAAAACATATGTGATTATATATATTTATTGTTGAATTATTTGTATTTATAAGATTAAGTGTCATTTACAGTTTAATAAAAAAAGTGATAAATAAGTTGTTTAAAAAAATTGTATATTGTTTTCATAATTTGATTGCGTGTTCATTCCCTCTAAAAACGAGATACTACATTTATTGTCTTTTTTATTAATTTTTCAGATACAAATTTACTTTTTTTTTTTTTTGTATATATAAATGCTAAGAGAAATAAAAACAAGATACAGTAATTAAATGAATTTCTACATAGCTCTTTAATGTACAATATATTAGTATTTGTTACAGTTATATTTTGTGTTTTTTCATTATAGTATTTATATAGTGTTAATAATAATAAGTTAAATAATTACATAAGAAAATATCCCATCATATTAATGATTAAAAATAGGAAAGAACAAATAAATCATATATTTTTTATTTTAATATCAACCTTAAAAATAAAGACCAATAGTTAAACCTACTAATTATGAGGTTTTAAGAAACTATTATCATCATTAATGTATTGACAGTTGTACAAAGCATTATTTTGTATTACAAATACATTGGTTACCTAGTTACCAAATATGTGCAAACAAAACATTTTTTTAATTGTCTACATTTGTTTTTTTATAAGCTATATAGTATAATAAAAATATATTACTATTATATTTATTATGGCACCATCGTTACAATACCAAGTTTTACTTTACTTTAATCGTTATTATTTTTTACTGTATTATACAATTGAAATTGTAGTTAATATTTTAAAAACGTATAAATTACCTTATCCAAGAAGAACGTTGGCTATAGAATGGTTCATTGTTGTATTATTATATCCAGTTCAGACAAGTCGTATGGCCTTAGGTTCTAAAGGTAATCTCACCGATACAGCTTCGTCGATAGTGATTTCATCTACACTCAACATAGCAACAGTTTTGGGCACACTACATTTAATTCAATGGCAAACTTATGTAATTTTTTTAGAAGTTATCATTGGTTATATTGAAATAATATTTGAAATAATATGTTTTATATTAGGATTTATTCACTTATTAACTCAAAAATCAAATATGTACTAGACTTAAAAAAAAAAATGTATTATCGTTTTGTTTAAAATTAATTTAAAATTTTAACGTCTATTCAGCATTAGACATTTCAGATGAATCACTATTGTAATATGAAATACAAACACCGCTATCTTCAACGATTTTATCAATAAAACTTGATTGTAACTTTTGTACTTCTTCATTAGCGAGTCTGTTATATGCTTTTAAAATACTGTGCAATTCAAAATTGGATCTTTTCATTAAAGCATTATGTAACGTTAGAGTTTGAACTTTTTCAACCAAGTACTTGTAATCAGGACGATCATTTGCAAAATCTCGTTCATAACTTGTTAATCCTTCACTGGCAGTTTCCCAATCGAACTCCAATTTCACATTACGTAATTTTCTAATAACAATTAATTTATAATAACTAATACGTTTACAAGAGTAACTTTGTTACAGGATATTAAACGCATATTAATTACTTACTCTTTTAAATTAAATCTTTCTTCTTGTTTATTGGAAATCAGTTTTGGAAATTCTTTTTTTTTACACTTAAATTTTTCAGTATACCTAAAATAAACATATTTTCTTTCATTAAAAAAAAAAAACTATAAAACATAAACAACTTACTCTTTAATGTCTTTTTTGGAAGAACCTCCTAACAATTTTGATTTTGAAATTATATTTTCTTTTTCTTTATCAACCCAAAGCATATTTCGAAATAATTCTAAACGATCATCATTGGATTCTGAAAATAATGTAAATATAAAATTTGTTTATATAAAAAACAGTTTTAAACATCTAAAACACGTTTAAAGCCAATTGGTTTTGACAATTTATGTGTTTGAAGCCATTTTATGATTATTTAAAAAATGTTCTCAAGCAAACAAATAAATACAATTTTTAGTTTTAATTTTTAACTTCATTATTTATATCCTTCATAAACTTAGTTAATAAGTTTCTAAGTTAACTGGTTGATTGAAGAATGTATAGATAAATAAAACAGATTGCTTAAGTGATATTATTATTTATTTACTTTTATTATATTATATTAAAATGTGTTTTTGACATACCTTCAACTGGCTTTGGAAAAAAACTAGATCTTCGGCGTTTATGTTCTTCAGCCATAACGTTTTAGATTCAATGCGATATTATTTAAATTTATTAATGAAAGACGGTTTTTTTAACTACAAAAAATTAAACAGTAGCCCTGTACTTTTAAAATTTTTTATTAATAAATTAGATTTTTTATTTACCCGTTGTATTGTGATAAATTTAAAAATTGTAATACATTACAAAGCATAGATTTAATAATAAATAAATATTTACAGTATTTATGTCAAGATTTTTACGTGTATGAAGTTAGCCATAAACGAGCCAGCAATATTTGATAACAGAAAGTGTCATGGCGTTGGTGTATGTTGTATTGCCAATACACTTATTATTCTAAGGGGCAGTCCATATATCCCCATACACCGACGATTATTATCATACGATATCGACTTAATTAATTAAAATATATTCTAATTATCGAAAAAACAGTAAGAGTATATTATTTAACTTAAAAAAATGGCACTTAGGGTTTTGCGGCCGCCGAACCCAACCCAGCAATAAAAAAGCGGCCGACCGCCGACCGAAACCGGCGGCAGTTATGTCAATTTTTGACAATGTTCCGGAAGAGGTCTCCTCAATTTGATTATACCAATCGAAAGCTTACTAAAAGTGCCAACTTTTTTAATAGAAACAAATTTTTAGACATTTTAGTAAGCTTTCGATTGGTATAATCAAATTGAGGGGACCTCTTCCGGAACATTGTCAAAAATTGACATAACTGCCGCCGGTTTCGGTCGGCCGCTTTTTTATTGCTGGGTTGGGTTCGGCGGCCGCAAAACCCCAAGTGCCATTTTTTTAAGTTAAATAATATACTCTTACTGTTTTGTCGATAATTAGAATATATTTTAATTAATTAAGTCGATATCGTATGATAATAATCGTCGGTGTATGGGGATATATGGACTGCCCCTTAGAATAATAAGTGTACTGGCAATACAACATACACCAACGCCATGACACTTTCTGTTATCAAATATTGCTGGCTCGTTTAGGGATAACACCACTTTTTCCAAATTGCATATATTACCAAGGACCACTTTTTCCATTGTACACTTTTTACCAATGACCAGTTTTCCCAATATTAATTTATCCCAACTAGGAAAACATGTAGTTTGGAAAAACTGGTGTATGGTAAAAAGAATAACTGAAAAATTGGTATTAAACACATTTACCAATGTTTTTATTTTCCCAAATGGTAAAAGTGCATAAAGGTAAAGTGCTGCGTTAAACGTTTACTAATAACTAGTTTTCCTGTTATTTATTTATTCCAATTGGCTAATTGCTAAATATATATATATATAATAATAATAATAAGTCATAATTAATTTAATTATAAACACTACTAATATACATTTTTTTTATTTGTAATGAAATATTTTCTAAAAATTGATATGTTAAATATTACTATGAGTAGCAGGTTGTTTCATAACCCGTATAATTAATTTGTTTTAATACTTTAATTTAATATTTTATTCACAAATAAAAACATCCTACTGTTTAAGCTTGTATATTGATAAAAACTAATTTTATTCATAAGCATTTATTATGTATTTTAGGTGTATAATTTCAAATTATTATAAAAGTAATATGGAAAAAAAAGAAAATATTAGTTTTGTTTATTAATAAATAATATGTTTATTAACAGGGCCTGATTTATGCAAGTGCAAATGGTGCACTTGCACTTGGACCCCAAATTCTGGGGGCCCCGCAAGCTGCAGAACATTTTATTTCTTGTCAAATCCACATATAACATAATTCACATAACTTAATTTGTAAAATGTAATACAATCAATGTTCAGAGTTCAGTATATTTTTACAGTATGTTATTACATCATCATTAAATTCTAACTCTGTAATTGAAACTTTTGCAGTGAAAAAATCAAGAAAGAAATCTTTGTAATTTTTAAACTTTTTTATGATAAAATGTTATAAAAAAAAGAAATTTATCAATCTTTTTATTTCATTTTATATATATTAAACAAACTGTTAAATTAATAAGTTATTTTTCCATTATTATGCAGGACTGAAAATTAATTTATTTTAATTTAAAATTCTTTAATAAGTACTTTTAAATTTAAAACGTATTTTTTAAGTTTTATATAATATATTTTATAATATTTGTTAATTAGTATTATATCTTCATTATCCTTAATGTATAAAACCAAGTAACTAAATTATATTTAAAGTACATAAAATAATGTACAAATATTTTGTGAGTTATGTGATAAGTATTTAACATATTTAACAAAAGTTCTGCAGATTTTTTTCAGAAAAATGTTTGACTTGGGGGCCTAAAATAAGTTGGTGCACTTGGCCCTAATTTCATTAAATAATCATAAATAAATATATATATATATATATATATTTATTTATAGTGTATTTTAGTGTAAAATAAATTCACACAAAAAAGTTGAACATTAAATATTAGTATTTATTATTGAAAGCAGGCTACAGTTTCGCCCTACGATTGCCTATTGGCTTATTTATTGGCTACGATATCAAATACCTAATGTGACAACATTAGTTTCGACTTTCGTACAATTTACTCGATATAACTCGATAGAACACAACAAAATATGTTATCAGTCGAAATATCATAACTATTATTATGTAAAATTGATAATATTTAAACTTTGCTCTTGCCCGGCAACCATAGACCTATCTTTATAGGTCTATGCCGGCAACACGATGCATTGTATGGTTAAAGATATATATGTATATACATATATTATTTAGTATTTTCCAGGACTAACCTAAAAAGTACTATTATTTTATTTATTTTTGATGTTCAAAAATTAGCCTTTGACAAGTTAAGGGATAAGATTTGTATTTCTGTAGCAACTGTGAATAATTGTGTAAGTCGATTTCAGTGATTTTATAGGAGAGCGATTTTAAACTTTGACCAGCTGCCATAAATCCCTACTTAGCCAATAACTCACATCTCTCTCATGGTTTTCTTGTTGGTCCAATGAGTTAGAAATGTATTGAATGTGTGCTAGACGCCTCTGACTACATCCTAGCATACTTAGTCAATTTTTACCAAAATTCGACTTACACACTAATTCACAGTTGTTACAGATTTATTGTTTCTCCGAATAAAGTGGTCACTCCGAAGTGTCAAATTTGAGCATTACTGTTACGATGACTATGGTTATGTACTTGATGTAAGGTATCAAAAATATATATAATATAGGTAAGTAATCAAAATTTATTCTTTCCTTTTCCTTTCAACATTTAAAATTCGTAAGTTAATAGTTGGATTCCAGAGAACTCCTCGATGGTCGCTCTACATAACGGACAGTTAAAATTCTCTGTCAGGAGTCGTATGGCGCAAGTATTACAGTATTTGTGCGTACATGGCTGTAAGATGACGGTCGTCTCTTCATTCATACAAATGGGACATATATCAACAACTTCTAAAAGAAACAATGTAAATTATAAAGGGTACCTAAATAATTATTTATAATGATAATATCAATTATCCCATTACAAAATTAAACGACTCAAAGTATAAATTAGCTAAGAGTCATGCCAGTCTTAACTGGATAGTCATTATGAAATATAATTAGGCTTTTTAATTGTCATTTACTAACCTTCTTCGTTTTCGATTTCTATTGCAACTGGACGTAGTGGAGGAGATGGCGGTTCTATGTCCTCTAAAAAATAGTATATATAGATAAATGTATTGTGGAGTTATTTAATTGATGGGTTTTATCGTAAATTGACCTAAATCTATACACTAATGACATAATATTGTTTTTGTTACTAAAAGTAAAAAAATACAGGTACCATTTAACAAATTAAATTAATTTTAAAACTATTTATTGTTTGAGTTAAGTGGACTGAAAAAAATGTACTTAATTATATTATAATAAATATGGCAGTGTAGTACATTTTATGTGTAAAAACGGTATACAATGCAATTGTAACTTGTTGTTTGTGTAGAGTGTGTGAATATGGCCTATTTAAATTTTTAAACGGTTCTTACTAAAAAAAAAGTTTATATTAGTTTACTGTAGTTGTAATAAGCTTAATGCTACATAGATGCTAAGGAATTTCACAATGATTGCCGCAAAGTGCTAAATATTATTTCTTTATATAATAACTGTTTTTATACACATCTAAAAAATGACTTATTTGTAAATTTGGTAGTTAAATTGACTTTGTGATAGTTAATCATTTGGTACATATTTTGACACTTTATTTATTTATGGAGTACTTGGTATCTTAATAAGACATTTTTAAGAGATCAGAATATGATTACTGATGTTATATTAATAAAACTTATGATATATTAATATTTTATCTAATTTATTATTTATACATTTTTAATTTTCTGTTTACTTTTCAATATAAATTAAATTAGATTGTATGAACTATTAATTACTCATGATTATTATTTTAGTATTAGTTCTACATAATTTTTTTATTATCTTTTTAGGAACAATGTTGTCCATTCATACTAATTACCCGTACATACCATTTAAATCTTAAAATTCTTCCACAAGTCCATTCCAGTTAATTTGATGATTTGGTCCAATACGCTGGCGATTTACTAAAAGTAAAACATTTAATTATATTAAATGTTATGTACTCCAAAATAAATAAAGAATTTTGGTGTATGTTTATATTTAGTTGACTACCTTCTGGCTGTTGTATGGGACCCAACATTTGATTTATATAAGATTCGTTTATATGTCCTACTCTGCGTAAATATTGGACAGGATCTCCACCATTACGTATGTCTTGTAATGCATTTTGCAACAAGTTATTGTTGAGATGCCTTGATGTAGCAAATCTTCGACGAACCTTTAAATTTCAAGTGTGTTTAAGCATTTTATTTACTTATGTTGTTTTAAATTAAAATATTAATATACTTGTTGGCCATTTAAAACTTGGGTCATCTCTAGTCTGGTGATTTGTTCCACACCTCTGAGTAGGTCTAAAATTCAATTAAACAGCATTAATACCTGTCTGCAAATAAAGGGTTGAGAGGAGGGGGGGGGATAAACAATAAACTATGTAAATCAAGTTTTTGTGAATGTTAACTTAGGTGCTGAATGCATGTATTAAACATCAAGTCATCTAAAGACATTCTTTTTAACTTACTTTACTATTTCAAAATTTATTTTTGGTGAAAAAATTTGAATTTATTATTTCAAACTTTAAAATATATTATATATACGTTATTTACGCTCGCTTCATTGAAGTCGTTATAAAATTATCTTTTTTTTAAATTACAAATATATAAATTTTACATTTTTCAATGATTTCTTATGGGAGAATCTCCCCACATTAGTTTGTTAGTTGGCCCCTGTAAGCATACTGCAAGTGCTAGTTGTGCACCTGCAGTATGTCTTTATGAAAATGTAACTGCAAAATATCGTGAAACTATTTTTATGTTTAGACATATTATTCTACAGAAGTGCTTATTTGTTTTTTTCCAGGATAGGAGTGGCAAATGTTGTTTAAAGCCTATTTTAGCGCTGAACTAAAACTAAAAACTAGAAAAACTAGAAAAACTAGAAAAATTAGAAAAAATAGAAAAACTTGAAATCTAGAAAAACTAGAAAAGATAGAAAAACTAGAAAATTGAAAAACTAGAAAAACTAGAAAAAATTGAAAAACTAGAAAAACTAGAAAAACCTGAAAAAATTGAATAGAAACTAGAAAAACTGAAAAACTGAAAAACTAGAAAACTAGAAAAAATTGAAACTAGAAAAACTAGAAAAACCTGAAAAAATTGAAAAACAAATTAAAAAAGAAAAACTAGAAAAACCTGAAAAAATTGAAAAACTAGAAAAACTAGAAAAACCTGAAAAAATTGAAAAACTAGAAAAACTGAAAAAATTGAAAAAACTAAGAAAAACTAAAAAAACCTGAAAAAACTGAAAAAATGAAAAAATAGAAAAACTAGAAAAAATAGAAAAACTAGAAAAAATTGAAAAACTAGAAAAACTAGAAAAAATTGAAAAACTAGAAAAACTAAAAAACCTGAAAAATTTAAAAACAAGAAAAACCTGAAAAAATTGAAAAACAAGAAAAGATTGAAAAACTAGAAAAGTCTTTCTAGTTTTTCTAGCTTTTCTAAATTTTCTAGTTTTTCTAGATTTTCTAGTTTTTTTAATTTTTCTAGTTTTTCTATCTTTTCTAGAAAAACAAGAGAAACTAGAAAAACTAGAAAAATTAGAAAAACTAGAAAAACTAGAAAAACTAGAAATGCTAGAAAAACTAGAAAAAATTGAAAAACTAGAAAAACCTGAAAAACTAGAAAAACTAAAAAAACTAGAAAAACTAGAAAAAATTGAAAAACTAGAAAAACTAGAAAAACCTGAAAAAATTGAAAAATTAGAAAAACTAGAAAAACCTGAAAAACTAGAAAAACTAGAAAAAATTGAAAAATTAGAAAAACTAGAAAAACCTGAAAAAATTGAAAAACAAGAAAAACTAGAAAAACTAGAAAAAATTGAAAAACTAGAAAAACTAAAAAAACCTGAAAAAATTGAAAAAATAGAAAAACTAGAAAAAATTGAAAAAAAAAAAACTAGAAAAATTAGAAAAAATTGAAAAACTAGAAAATTGAAAAATTAGACAAACTAGAAAAACCTGAAAAAATTGAAAAACTAGAAAAACTAGAAAAAATTGAAAAATTAGACAAACTAGAAAAACCTGAAAAAATTGAAAAATTAGAAAAACTAGAAAAACCTGAAAAACCTGAAAAACTAGAGAAACTAGAAAAAATTGAAAAAACAAGAAAAACTAGAAAAACTAGAAAAAATTGAAAAACTAGAAAAACTAAAAAAACCTAAAAAAATTGAAAAAATAGAAAAACTAGAAAAAATTGAAAAACTAGAAAAACTAAAAAAACCTGAAAAATTTAAAAACAAGAAAAACCTGAAAAAATTGAAAAACAAGAAAAGATTGAAGAACTAGAAAAGTCTTTCTAGTTTTTCTAGCTTTTCTAAATTTTCTAGTTTTTCTGGATTTTCTAGTTTTTCTATCTTTTCTAGAAAAACAAGAGAAACTAGAAAAACTAGAAAAACTAGAAAAACTAGAAAAACTAGAAAAACTAGAAATGCTAGAAAAACTAGAAAAAACTTGAAAAACTAAAAAAAATTGAAAAACTAGAAAAACCTGAAAAAAATGAAAAACTAGAAAAACTAGAAAAAACTGAAAAACCTGAAAAACTAGAAAAAATTGAAAAACTAGACAAAACTAGAAAAAATTGAAAACTAGAAAAACTAGAAAAAATAAAAAAAATTGAAAAACTGAAAAACTAAAAAAACCTGTAAAACCTGAAAAACTAGAAAAAATAGAAAAACTAGAAAAACTAGAAAAACTAGTAAAACTAGAAAAATCAGAAAATCTAGAAAAACTAGAAAAACTAAAAAAATTGAAAAACTAGAAAAACTAAAAACCTAGAAAAACTAGAAAAACTAGTAAAAACAGAAAAACTAGAAAAACAAGAAAAGATTGAAGAACTAAAAAGCCAGTCTAGCCTAAATTCACTAGACAGAACAGCTGGACAGAACTAGAAAAACAAGAAAAACTAGAAAAACTAGAAAAATTAGAAAAACTAGAAAAATAGAAATGCTAGAAAAACTAGAAAAAATTGAAAAACTAGAAAGATCTAGTAAAACTAGAGGAAACTAGAAAACCTGAAAATCTAGAAAAACAAGAAAAACTAGAAAAACTAAAAAAACTAGAAAAAATTGAAAAACTAGAAAAAACTAGAAAAACTAGAAAAATCAGAAAAACTAGAAAAACTAGAAAAACTAGAAAAAACTAGAAAACCTAGAAAAAATTGAAAAATAGAAAAACTAGAAAAATGAAAAATTAGAAAAAATTGAAAAACTAGAAAAACTAGAAAAAATCTGAAAAACTAGAAAAACTAGAAAAAATTGAAAAATTAGACAAACTAGAAAAACCTGAAAAAATTGAAAAACTAGAAAAACCTGAAAAACTAGAGAAACTAGAAAAAATTGAAAAACTAGAAAAACTAGAAAAACTTGAAAACTAGAAAAAATTGAAAAAATTGAAAAACTAGAAAAACCTGAAAAACTAGAAAAACTAGAAAAAAATGAAAAACTAGAAAAACTAGAAATACTAGTAAAACTAGAAAAATCCGAAATTTTGAAAAACTAGAAAAACTAGAAAAACTAGAAAAACTAAAAAAACTAGAAAAAATTGAAAAACTAGAAAAACTGAAAACTAGAAAAACTAGAAAAACTAGTAATAATTGAAAAACTAGAAAAAATTAAAAAAATTGAAAAACTAAAAAAACCTGAAAAACCTGAAAACCTGAAAAACTAGAAAAACTAGAAATACTAGAAAAACTAGAAAAAATTGAAAAACTAGAATAGTTTTTCTAGATTTTCTGGATTTACTAGTTTTTCTATCTTTTCTAGAAAAACAAAAAAAACAAGAAAAACTAGAAAAACTAAAAAAACTAGAAATACTAGAAAAACTAGAAAAAATTGAAAAACTAGAAAGTTTTTCTAGATTTCTGGATTTAGTAGTTTTTCTATCTTTTCTAGAAAAACAAAAAAAACAAGAAAAACTAGAAAAACTAGAAAAACTAGAAAACTAGAAAAACTAGAAAAAATTGAAAAACTAGAAATAGTTTTTCTAGATTTTCTGGATTTACTAGTTTTTCTATCTTTTCTAGAAAAACAAAAAAAACAAGAAAAACTAGAAAAACTAAAAAAACTACAAAAAATTTGAAAAACTAGAAAAACTAGAAAAACTAGAAAAATCAGAAAATCTAGAAAAACTCGAAAAACTAGAAAAACTTGAAAAACTAAAAAAACTAGGAAAACCTGAAAAAATTGAAAAATAGAAAAACTAGAAAAATCAGAAAAATTAGAAAAAATTGATAAACTAGAAAAACTAGAAAAATCAGAAAATCTAGAAAAACTAGAAAAACCTGAAAAACTAGTTTTTCATTTTTTTTATAAATAACACTATAAATAACAAAAATAAATGAACCTATTAAACGATTTTAAATAATTTGTATTACTTATTATTATAAGTAAACAAAATTTAAAATTTTTTCGAGAAAAATCATTTATGTTGTATAGTATTAAAATGAGACGTTAAAAAATGTAAATAAGAAATCAGTTTCCAACAATTCTAAGAGGAAGGAATTTTTTTATACATTGTCGAGTTATTTTTCGCCGTCCTAATTGATATTTTTAATATTTAATATGTAGAAACATAAATAAACACGAAACAAAATTCATAACAATGGAAGGAAGATGGTAGGAGGGTTTAGTATTGGCGATTCGCAAAAACTTTTTAAAGGTTAGTTAGTAGCATAAATATGTTTCGAGAAATTATTCAAATAGGTTATAAAGTGGTTTGCTCAGGTTTTTTCTAGTATAAAACATTTTGCCTGTAATTAATTTTTTTTTTTTGATAAAATGGTATGAATCATTAAAACATATTTTGTTTTTTATTTTATTGCTTAGTTCAGGAGGTATATGCGTTTTACACAAAATTGTTTTTACTGCATTAGTCATTTTTGATATACCAGGTGATTCTCCTAACGCTCTACTAGTCTGCTTTTTTTTTGAGCCGCATATTATTATTTTATCAGTGCATTATAAAAATTATTCAAGCACAAAATACACAGATACATTAGCACCACCATGTTTTTCGTGTCTGTTAATACAAATTTAATAGAAAACGGTACAAACATTTCATGTTTTTAGAATTTATATTGTTCAAAAACACACTCTGCCCTCCATGCCCCAACCTTATTGTACTGGCTTTTTTATATTCCACGTGTGACACACATTTTGGTATTTTTCATAATGTTAGCGTCTCTCTTAGTTTTAAAGACTTTTTGAGCTGTTTTTTCTTCGATAATAAATTTTTTAGGAAATTTTGGCTATAGCGAAAAATTGACAAAAACAAGTGTGTCTTGGTGTTTGTGTAGGCACCCATTGAAATGTTTGAACTTTTTTCTAGCATGACCGTAAAACGTTTCAATAATTATAAAGAATAACTATTTTGTACCTATATTAAGATACAATTATTGTATACAATATAATAACTATAATATACACTATTACAGTTTTCTATTAAACTTACCATTTAACGTTGCACGAAAAGGATTGATCGTCTGACCATGATAATTTGATGATATAGTTTTACATTGAAAAAACATTATTTTCGGGCCAAATGAAATAAAGGTTAAAAAATCACGAGTCGAAATTGTTGAGCTTAAGTCATAAATCACAGTTTGGAAAAACCAATTACATTTCATATTATAGTGTTGCTATAGTTACACTACTTTGATAAAGAGAATACTAAAAAATTAGTATAAACTGTAATTTACGTTATTTTGTGATTTAATACTGTTTTTAAAATATACTTTAATTTTTCTTATCAATTAATATTTCTGTAGAATGTACAGGGTGATTGGTTAACTATGAACCAGTCAATAACTTAGAAGATATAAGACGTTGTTATTGTGTATTTTTCAGTATTCAGCACAATTTATCATAACAGAACAAGTGACTTATAAAAGTAGCTACTGAATATTAATAATTGTACTTTTATTAATCGTAGTATAAGCAGGTAACTTGTAAAAGTGAATGCTAACATATTACAAATAGTTATATCATTTATATTTCATAAATTTTTAGAATAATTATTAACTCGTTGTCAGTGTTGACTGCTAAAGCATTAAGAAAATTTCTGCCAATTTAGAACCACTTTGTATTGATATGATCAGAATGCTGTTAAAATGTACTCAAATGCCCCAAAATAGAACGTTAACACAGTGAATGCATTTTTTAACAAACAGTTATATTTTTGGTTTACTCGATTTTAACGATAAAGAAGTTTCCTTTTTCTATTTTTGACCCACCAAAGTACCAACCACATACAATTTAAAATGCATATAGATATTAATCGAGTCATCCTTGTGGTAAGGGGAGAAAGAAATCTACCAAGGTCTTCACACCTGTCGTAAAAGGCGACTAACGTGACGTAGTGCCATCCGATAAGCGGCCTTCTGACTGGTCACTTCATCTTGTGACACACCTTCCCCGGCCCGCAATTAGCACCCAGTGCTACTAGTCGGTCCGCAGTCGAAGGGGATCCCTTCGGGGCGAACCACTAAAGCCAAGGAACATCAGATATTAACCGAGTAGGTTACTCTACGAGAAAAAAGTTATTGTGATTTTAGACTAGAAAAAAAAACACATTTCAACATATCCAAAACGGTAAATTTACGACCGGTCGGTAAAATTTAATAAACAAGACAACTGTGGCATCCATAAAAGCCACCATTATAAAGACTGTAAACACGGTATACACTTTTTTATCAATATAAAAACAGCTGTAAAATTAATAGGTTTTTGGTTATGTTTATCAATGTCGATAAAATATTATCAATGTAACCACCGTGACTATATAATATATAATATTATATGGTAATCACCGTATTACAATCGTGATTGTCGAAAGTGACTTGTACACGTGTCATTGATTCATAAAAGAGGTTATAATTTCAAGTTTTATGTTAATTTCAGATATTTTATGACTTTTTCGATTTTTACGAAGTAAAACAATTCAAATAAGTACACAATGTAATTATTTATAAATTTTACATAGATGGTAGACTATTGATAAACGACTGTTCTGTTTTACACTAGTTTTGCGTTCAAGAAAAATACAAAAAGAACTATTTAAGAAAAAAAACTGTATTTTTAATTGCTGATTATAAAATGTTATAGTAAATTAATATCATTAAATTATATATTATTGAAATCGTTATGTTCTGTAGTTTTTAACAGTATATTATTTATCAATGTAACTAGTTGCGCACAGAAGATTTATGAGCACAAAAAGTTTAAATATATAGGTCTCAGAAATATGGGTGATCCATCTAACGTACGACACTCATTTTCTCTGAACTTTATGCTAAGTAGATTAATTTTTATTCAATGATTGCGATTGAATTTTATTTAATGATACATCGACACTTCTAAAACGATGTAGGTATGTACTAAATAAGTACATAGTCAAGGAAAATTCATAGCCCTTTATAGTTTGGTGGCATCTATTTCAGCCACCATCTACAGGACTTAATTTTAAAGTAACATTGATGTTCCCTTAAACAAAAATGATACAAATAAGTTGTAGAATGGTAATAGTATTCTAAAAGAACGTTTTAATGAAAAAAACAGTTCTGCCCATCTAGGGTATTTTTACAAGTGCCCTTCATAATACATGCCACAGTACGGTTTTCATAGAGGCCACTAACATATAAAGGGTTAATATATATATAGCTAATAACCATTTTTAATTATTTTTCTTAGTTGATCATAATAATTGTTTGATTTTGAATATCGAATTTTTTTTTTTTAGTTTTCAAAACGATGAGGTATTGTGTTTTTATTTTTATGATGTTTTCCGCAATGTCTCACTTTAAACGAGTAAGTATATTTGTTTTTACAAGTTTGATAAATAATTAGTTTTTTAATCGTATTCAATTGGTAGTTTGTGTTTTTATATGTTTGGCCTATTTTTTTTGTTTTGGAGTACTGTATGTTTACATATATTATTTTGAATGCTTATTTTATATATTTGTATTTTATCATCGTTGAAGTGTTCACAATGCCTTTATTTTACATATTGTAATTACATTGCTATTTTTCGTTTAATGCATGATAACTATAAGTTATCAACTAACAGTTTTAGTATCCTCTTGCTATACGAAAGCCAACAATATATAAGTAGTATTTGCTTACGCATATAATATGAGTTTAAAAATATGAAGCATATTTATTCCTTTTTCATGCTATTGACCAGTTTTATTACATATGTCTAAATTTAATAGGCAAACTGAATATGCATATTGATTGTGCTACTTTGATTGAATTCGGTGAATTAACCGAATTCAATCAAATCAAAACAATTCAAATCGAAGAAAAATAATATTTTTATAAAACATACTTTATCGTCACTAGTTTTTGATAAAATAAAAACTTTTAAACTACTATACATACTATGCGGAGTCGATATTATATCAACAACAAATAATGCAGTAAAAAACAATTTTGTGTAAAACGCGTAATAAAACATATTTATGCTACTAACCAATCTCTAAAAAAAAATTATGCGAATTGCCATTACTAAAACCTCCTTCCATTTTCTTTCCATTATTATTTATGTTGTTTCTGTTTTTATATATTTATACTCTAATTTTTAATTTATGAATTTTATTGTATACCCTCGCATTAATTAGGACAGTGAGATCAAACTCAACAAAATATACCAAAAATCCTTGCCCTTAAAAGTGTTAGAAACTGTTTCTTTTTTTTAATTTTTCAGTGTAGTTTAATATTTAATCTCTGAATATTAGAATAAATTCATTAAAGATTATTTTTAACTTAAATCATTTTAGGTAATATAATATGAAATTCATGTTCCGTCGCACAGGCTGAACCAGTGATCCGATAAGTAATCTAAAAACAGATTTGAATTCGTCTCAAAGTGTACTTGAGATCGGTCAGCGTACTTTTTTGATATCTTAATCCTACTATGTAAAAAACAAGTTTGAACATTATACAAAAATTCCAAATATGAAATCAAATTTGGAAAGGGTTAAAATTAAAAATTGAAAAAAGTACTCTGACCGATCCTAAGTAAACTGCATGGCGAATACGAATACGTTTTTAAATTGCTTATCGGATCACTGGTTCAGTCAAAAATGATGTGTTTTGACTGAAAACCCCGACTGCATGCAATCCCCTTAACATTTTAAATTAAGAATAATGTACTAACAATATTGACTGTTTCGGATAACTATTTTTGAAGTTATTGAAGTTTCAAGTTTGGGGCAGGAGGAAAGGTGGAGTGTATTTTTATTTTTATCTGCACGCATTACCCAGCCGCACTTCCCCTCCCGTCCTAACTTTTAAACTCATAATTAAATAGTTAATATATTATATACTAATGTACATAATATATGAACTAATTAATTTAGGTTTCAAAAGTTGCTATCAAAAAAACTAAATTGGGTAAAACAAAAAAAAATGTGAAAAATTGAGATCACGTTTTATAAAAACATTATAAAAAAAAAATTCAACTATTGATTAAACCTAGTGAGATATTGACTGGTTCATGATAAAATAATCACCTCTGTATGTATAAACTATACATATATTATATATTTATATATGTATATAGGTATATATAAACACTATTATGTACCCATCTGCTTGAGGTTTTTAAAAAAATTTGTGGTTTTTTTTTAAATTTCAGCATTACTGTAAAATTTAGATATTGTAGGTAAGCTATATAGGAATCAATAATTCACACTAAAAAAAAAGCTAAAAATTGAAACTGTAGTTTGTTTTATAATATTTTTTGAAATTGATACACACATATTATATTTTATTTTTTCCAATTCTGTATGTGATTTAATTTTTCAGATACATTTTTTTTAAGAAGTATTATTTCAAATTATTTAGTAGAGAAATGCTTATTTACCTATCTAGAAATAACATTATTTTATGGACTAATTAAAATATTTGTATGGGAGAGCCATAACTAAGGAAGTTTCATCTTCTGTATTAAGAAAAAAGAAAGGAATTAAAATTACTAATATTAAATAACGGTGAAGCAATGTCGACGGATGGGATGGATGGAGAGGAGTAGTGGTCTCGAAAAAGGACCTAAATGGCCTGTATATTAAGCCAATACAAATTATTGTAATTAGTGTGCTAATATACTAATAATATCGTAGAAATGGCATTATGCTCTGCCCTTCAACACCATGATTTTCGTCATTTACAAAACGTATATAATGGTTAATATATTTGAATGACCGCAAGACATCACTTCCATGACGTATGACACAAGTGCTGTCGGGTGGGGGTGAAACATCAGCACTTGTTACGGATGGTCCTCTAAGATCCGTACTCATGAACAATCCTATGAGTCGACATATGTGTTTAAAACCCATAATGTAGGTCTCCAGGTCTAAAAAAAAAAAGTTTTTAAAAGTTATCCAAATTTAGCTTGCTGCACTGAAAAAAATACATATATGGACAAACTAAAATTAAGGTTAATCTATTACCCATCTTATATCCTCACCCACGAGAAAAAGTGTATTGAGTCACAAAATGTAAATTTTACACGAGTGTGAAAAATAAAATTATT